AAGTTGAATGTGGTAAGCTATAGGAATCGTTGAGTGAATTTCGTAGAAACCGACTTCATTATCAGTCAATACATAATCATTGTCAAAAAAAAAGTAAATAGCAAACTAGACGATCACTAGTACCATACATGAAAATTAAAAAGAAACGAGATATGTAATTAAAACACATATTTTTGTTGTTGTTAAATCGAAACACATGTTAGACACATAACACTAGTAAGAAAACAAACAATTTGTGACGGAACCAAATCATCACAACTTTAAATTAAATAGCAAACTAGACTAATGATCGTTGTAAACTGAATTATATCGCAAGCGTTTCTTCATAGTTCTCCTTTTCTCTCCATTGTCTTAGGGTTAGGTGCAGCTCCATGTTTTGTAATTTGAGAAAAAAAACAAAAATAAAACTTTAAGACAACATTTAGTAGGAGGCTTTATTCGAAAGAAAAGAAAGAAAATAGGAGGCCTGTCGACCACATTTCGCGTTCGTCCGATTTTGCTGTCATGTCCATTTCTCTGTAGTTGATGCTCATCGGGTAACCTGATGTTTTTCTTTCAAACTGTAATAACTATTTTTCCAACTTTTGATTTTCCCTGATTCCTTTTGCGTTTAAAAAAAAAAAAAAAATACGGGGCTCATATCAGCGTCAAAACTTCATATGAGCGACTCTTTTTTTTCTTAATGCTTGCGGAAATCATATATATTATCTTCTATTAGACTCGTGAACTTAACTAAGGGTATATAATGAAATTAAATGGTTGTATTTTTTCTAGACACTAAAACCTAAATATGTTTGTGGTAGTATTAGTGAATTGAACTTAGTTATAGATTTAAAAAACTTAGATCAAGTAAGCCAAGAATTTTTTTTTCGAAGTTTTTTAAAATAAATTTAGCATCATGTATCTCAGTTTTGAACGCTTAACTAATCTCGAAAGTGAGTCAAGCCTTAGCATCATCTTAACGCTTAACCCTTACCATTGCGTTTTCTTAACATGGATAATATGCCTAGCGTTTCAAGTAGCCAACTAAAACTAAATCTGGAATGTAAATAGTTCTTTTGTTTGTTCGTAGGTAAATTAATTAACTTACAAAAAATACTATTGGTACCAGCACTAACGAAATTTTATAATGTAGTGAACAAAAAATAACTCGTGAAATAATAGTATTTGCTAAATAACGAGCTAGTTCTTTTAATAAATAGCAATCGACCATCGAGCAATAATAGAAAATACAGCAAGAAAGGGCAAGACGTCAAAGACAATTATATCCATTTTAGGTTAAAACAAAATCGTTATAGACTGAATAACCAAGTTACTGATGGTTTGTGACTTTGTGTATCGAAATAAATTGAAAAACTTATTATTTAGACAAAAATAGAGAACCAGGGCAAAAGAGGAAAAACCTGAATCCACATCGTTCCATAAATACACCCACTCACCATCGATACACATCAGCCAGCCACATCCCTTCTCTCTCTCACTCTCTCTCTTTCTGACTCTGTGGAGGTTTAGTGTACGCATAAGAAATAACAATGACGACGTCTGAGTTGACGGAGGAAGACTCGTTCTCCGGAAAGGACTACCAAGAACCACCGCCCGTGAAGATTTTCGAGGCGAGGGAGCTTGGGAAGTGGTCCTTCTACAGAGCAGTCATCGCTGAGTTCATAGCTACTCTCCTCTTTCTCTACGTCACCGTTTTGACTGTCATCGGCTTCAAGAGCCAGACCGATGCTCAATCGGGCGGCGGAGCTTGCGCCAGCGTCGGCCTCCTCGGCATCTCTTGGGCCTTCGGTGGCATGATCTTCATCCTCGTCTACTGCACTGCCGGAATCTCTGGTCTCTCTCACTCTCTCTTTCTTACTCTTTCCTTAACCATCTTTTGCATTATCTAAAAAAAAAAATCTTTTGCATTATCTTTACATCCATTCTCTAGCTAATCACTTCATTTTCTGAGTTATTTTCAGACTTATAGCCTTAAAAACGCTTAATACATTAATTTTCATAGTTAAAAATATACATGCTTCATAATTCGAGACTTATATGTTCAAACAAGTTTCCTCTTAACAAAAGAAACAATAATTATTTTTAAACAAAAAAAAAAAAAAAAAACAAAGAAGCAATAGATCACAAAATTAACTAGAGTTGTGAAGTGGTTGAAATTTGGCCATGTTGGTCGTGTGGTAAAGAATTGTTTCTCATCTTTTACCTTTCCATGTTGACCACTTTAAACGTTTTAACTGTCAAGAAAATTCGGATTTCTACTTATGATTGGTCTAGGTTTCAGTAAATAGTTTACTCAATTATATATATAAAGAGAAAAAAGAAACTAACCGAGGCACTGCTCTCACTCGGATCAGCTGGCTAATCATTTGTGTATCTATAGGTGGGCACATTAACCCTGCGGTGACGTTTGGGCTGTTCTTGGCGAGTAAGGTGTCATTGGTGAGAGCTATATCATACATGGTGGCTCAGTGTCTCGGAGCCACTTGCGGAGTTGGTTTGGTGAAACTCTTCCAGTCAACTTATTACAATCGCTATGGCGGTGGAGCCAACGTCCTCGCCGACGGATACAATGTTGGCGTCGGTGTTGCTGCTGAGATCATCGGCACTTTTGTCCTCGTCTACACCGTCTTCTCCGCCACCGATCCCAAGCGTAATGCGCGTGACTCTCACATTCCTGTAAGCAAGTCCATCTTCCCTTTCATGCTTCTCTTTCATTGAAATAATCTTTCGTTTGATTCATTATCAATTGAGAGGAAGTTGTGGTTACATTTCAATTTCCATTTACGACCATAACCTTTAATTGATGATTAAACCTAAGCTCAAAACATCTAACCATATTAAACAAAGGTCTCTTATCAAACAAGTGGATACACTTTACAAAAGTATATTATTATGAAATAAAAAGTAACTAAAGTCATAAGGAATAAATTAACATTTTAAAACTATAAACAACCCTAGCTAATTTTTTTTTCTCTTTCTACTAACTAAAATTTATAGTTTAAAAAAATATTGTACTTGCGATGACTACAGAAATCAAAAATGGAAAGAAAATTCAGGATAAAATTATCTTGATTTCGTTGTCAATTTTGGGCCAGGGGACGTAACAGAATCTAGTGCCAGCTATATAAAGCACTATAAATGCTGAAAACGATGTCGTCTAATAATTTTTGGTCTAACGAAAATAATACGAACCAAGTAATAATAAGTGTAGCGTCTACTTTCTTGTAATGAGATAAACGACGAAAGGGTGTCCAATTATTTTTCATTCATTTCTTGTATTTTTCTTTGGCTCCAAATGTCCTTTCACGAAATAACGACATAATCTCTCTGTGATTCACGTATCTTCACCACATTCACATGTCTTTGTACGTAAATGGTCCAAAGTCTGTTCGCAACGACCCATGTGTGTATGTATGTTCATACATGTGCCATGAATGATATTTGTATGATCTTAACCTCTCCTCTCAAATATATATTTCCTTACATAGCCAATCTTTCGGTTAACATTGTCCACATTACTTACATGATTATTTGTATATTCTAGTATAATTCCATCGAATTTAAATTTATATATCATTGTTAATAACATATATGTTTTATGTTTTATTAATGAATTGAAGGTATTAGCTCCATTGCCAATTGGATTTTCCGTGTTCATGGTTCATTTAGCAACAATCCCAATTACTGGCACCGGGATTAACCCCGCTAGGAGTTTTGGAGCTGCCGTCGTCTACAACAATCAAAAGGCTTGGGATGATCATGTTAGTATTTTCACCATTCTAATAACTCATTATTTCGCCTTAATTAATTAAACTTATTAACTAATGAGTTTATCTTCTATGATTTTAGTGGATCTTCTGGGTCGGTCCATTTGTGGGTGCAGCCATTGCAGCATTCTACCATCAGTTTGTGTTGAGAGCTGGTGCTATGAAGGCTTATGGGTCAGTCAGGAGCCAGCTTCACGAGCTTCACGCTTAAATTTGATATTTCAAACTATCGAAGAGGTGAAGAATTCTTTGAACCAGGAAAGGAGGAAAAAACAAAGAGAGAGACCCAAATATTAGAAAAGAAAAACAAGAATATTATTAAAGATGGTCGGGGAGTGACAATTAGTGTCTTATTTGTGGCTTTGGGTGGGAGGTTTGAGTGTGACTTATTAAGGCAGTTTGTAACACACAATCCTTGATCGTGTTGAATCTATGTGTTATTTTGATGTATTTGATATTTATATCCTCTACTTATTAATGGTTCTTATTATATCTGATATATCAGAATTATAAATTATATCTTCTTGTTTAAAAATTACTTTCTCCCTTTTACCATACTAACCTTATTTTGTACCGCACATAACTAAAGAGCATACAAACTAATTAACGGCCATTGACTAAAAATAAACTAATTAACGGTCACTAAGATTGCATTAAGAGACACACACATAACTCAATTCTCTACGTGTTTATTGTACTCTTTACCATAAAACGAAATGAGGTTTATCTCTTTATACTTCTTTATAAACAACTTACTCTCCTTCAATAGTTGAAAACCTAAAATAATACCGAACAGGTTAATTAGCAGTAGAATAGTGTACGTTCGAAATTACCAAGACATTTTCCATATCAAGTAATATTTTAATTCTATTTTGTTATCATAGTTGAGCATTTGACAATGTTTTCAAACTTGTTTTCGAAACCGATTAGTGAATTTTAAATTCGTATTATCAAATTTTGTCATCCATTAAAAAGCCCATTAAAAGAGTAATAAACTAATCCCACCCAGGCCCAATAAAGAAACCCAAGACCAACTTGAGTAAAGTAATGACTTGCATGAGCAAACACGTTTCCTAAACAAAATGCACATCTCCCAATAAAGGACTGTAACGCACAAAGAAAAAATCTGTAAAGAAGAAGTCACAACAGTAGAAAACCATTTCTCCGGCTTCTCTAGAACCTCTCTCTCTCTCATTCTCATCCTCCGAAAACCCTAATTTCAAACCAAAAATGGCAGCTGCAGCGCCTCCACCGCCTCCAACAGCAGCACCAGAGCCAAACATGGTGCCGGAGACTTCCCCGATCGGCCACCCAGTCTTCTCCCGCATCCGCCTCGCGACTCCTTCCGATGTCCCTTTCATCCACAAGCTAATCCACCAGATGGCCGTCTTCGAGCGCCTCACCCACCTCTTCTCCGCCACCGAGTCCGGTCTCGCCTCCACTCTCTTCAACGCTCGCCCATTCCAATCCTTCACCGTCTTCCTCCTCGAAGTCTCCCGCTCTCCGTTCCCCAACGTCGTCGCGTCTCCCGATTTCACCCCTTTTGTCAAAACGCACAACCTCGATCTCCCGATCGATGACCCGGAGTGCTACAATTTCTCGCCGGATATGTTAAACGACGTCGTGGTGGCCGGATTCGTCCTCTTCTTCCCGAATTACTCGAGCTTTCTGTCGAAGCCTGGTTTCTACATCGAGGACATCTTCGTGAGAGAGCCTTACAGGAGGAAAGGGTTTGGGAGTATGCTGTTGACGGCGGTGGCGAAGCAGGCCGTGAAGATGGATTACGGGAGAGTTGAGTGGGTCGTGCTTGATTGGAATGTGAATGCGATGAAGTTTTATGAGCAGATGGGTGCTCAGATTTTGCAGGAGTGGAGAGTTTGTAGGCTCACTGGTGATGCTCTTCTCGCTTTCGATAAGGTAAGCATCTAGGGATTCGATTGCATTGCTGCTGAAGTGCTGCTGAGAGCTATGGGTTTGTTTTCCTTTTCTTGCTTAAAGTTTGTGTTTTTCTTTGTTTTTGTTGTTGTGTAAGTGTTGGCATTTGATGATGATGTTGATGATTCTCTCTTGCCATTGATACTGAATGTGAAAACCTTTTGTTGAATGAAAGATCTGTTGTTTTCAAGTAGAAATGTCAATTTTATTGTGTAATTCAGAGCATTCAAGCAAACGAAAGACCACACATTATTTAGTGGAATGCAAATTTGTAGAGGAAACCACACAATACACTCTTTTCAACGTCTAGAAGGACATTGCTCGGCTTAAAGGTCGCAATGAGCGTAGGTGGTTCATGACAATGAACATGAAGATAGTCCAAACCAAAGGCCACGTCTATGGCGATACTAAGCCACTCATCTAGGCTTCCATTGGGCATGAACTTATAGATTAGAGCTATCAATTGATCTCCTTTGAAATCATCAAATCAATACTCGAACACGCAATTAACAGTTTCACAAGATTACGAAGCTCTATGTTCTTTAAAGATTCACATTCCGCCATAAAACTTCTGTACATTTAGAACCTTCACCGCAACAACTCTGTTCTCCACTGGGAACAATGCTTTAAACACAGTGCCCAAACTGCCTGATCCAAAAATTCAAGGATATTTTTGTGTATCTACTAGTACTATCTACAATCAATCATATCAATTACCATGATACTGTAGAAACAACATACCAAACTTAAGCCATACTCACAAATAAACAACAAATCCAGCACACGACGTTTCCGAAACTCAGTCGTACTCTTACACTTCATGGACAGAAGAATAAGTGATTAGAGAGAGATTTGTGGTGCAAATCGAATCAAAGTATATTCATTAATTAGATAAACCTTGTGAAAAACTTAACACACGACACATATTTTATTAATTTTTCATTAAATACTCTCATATATTAAAGCATCAATATCGATGGTACAATGAGTGACAAAGTTTTTCCCAATGGGATACTGATATTATCTTTACCGCGTTAGCATATAAAAGTCATTGTGGCGGCGTGAGACCTGGCAGGGGAGGAAACCTAAAGCCAGGGAAGCCAGGGAAGCCAGGGAAACTGGGAATTGATCCCGGAGGGGATGACTGTGATGGCAATGGAAACGGGAACCTAAATTGCGGAAAGCCAGGGAAGACGGGAGTCAATCCTGGAGGTGATGACTGTGACGGTAATGGAAACGGGAACCTAAACTGTGGAAAGCCAGGGAAGCCGGGATTCGATCCCGGAGGGGATGACTGTGACGGTAATGGAAACGGGAAACTAAAGCCAGGGAGGCCAGGGGAACTGGGCATGGATCTCGGTGGCGATGACTGTGATGGAAATGGAAAGGGAAATGGTAACATAAAGCCAGGGATACCGGGAATGGATCCTGACTGTGGTGGCATATCAGCTTTTATTTCAACAGTCGGCTTCAGATCGTTGAGAGAGCGAGCTGCGGTTGTTTCGAACGTGAGTTGGAAGATCAAGATTATGGTTAGGGCTAAAGTGGTGGTGGTGACTGGAGAAGCCATGTTTGTTTATGTGCTTTTTTTGCTTGTGTCTTGCAATAGCAGATGTTTAGTGTGAGTATATATAGGCCTTTTTGTCACACAACATTTGTTTTTAAAAATCTGTATACATTCTACCAACCATGCATGTATCTCCAAACTGTAGATTGCATTAACTATAAAGGGAAATTACACGTACACAAACACAATTATGGTGACAAATCTGTGTACCATTCCGAAATAGTTGGACTGATTTGACAGTTACAAAATGCATGTGTATGGTATGGTGGGCTGGTGCATATCAGCATATGCATTCCAATAAAAAGAAAAAAAAAAGTGTAACATGTAAATTGGTTGAATAAAATGAGAAATATGAAAGTTGACTAATTAAATAAGAAATACAGAGGTATATGCATGCACATGAATATGTGTCTCTCCTGCAGCCTGGCTGCAGCTCATAGAATCAGATTCTTCTACTTATAACAGACAGGTTGTATACTAACACATTTTGCATATTATTCAAACATTCACATTTCACTATCCTATATATTATTTTGTTCCTAAATAGTTTGTAAACATTTCCTTATGAAACTTAACAACTTTTGGTGTAGATATCTACTAATCTCTATGATATCTGATTTATAGTTTAAGATTTACAACTTTTAGTTTCACATCATCTAGATTTATATGGCGAATGATGATTCACTACGAAAGACAAGTGTCACTTAATGCGCTTTAAATATATATATAATATATATATATATATATATATAAATCTTCGTAAATATTACTAGCTGCCATTTGTTGGTAAAATAAGCATATTGAACCCTATAAGATGGGTTCAAATTTTACCTTTGCACCCATTAATCTAAAAAATAAAATTTGGACCCCAACTAAAATTTGTATTCTAAACTCCCAAATTTTTACAATTAATCGTTCAATTAATTCCTCTAAGGGAGTGACCATAGTGATTTTCGGTAATCGATGATAGTATTTGCTCAAATGTTGTTTGATCGATTTTACGAGATTAGTTACAAAATTGTTGATTAGTTCTGGAAATCGGCGGGCCAAATTTATATTTTTTTCTGAAATATATTTTAGCCTACTTCATAATTTGTAAAGTTCGGCCCAAATATGAAAATCTATTCCTTATAAAGTTATCTTAGCAAAAATAACATGTGATTAATCGTTCTTGAAAAATTGATTTGGGGATTTATCTCCTAAACACAAACCTTAATTAGTTTTTTTTTGTCAAAATAAAAAATAATAGTTATGTTTTGTCTTCTAGAGTAGATGTGAATTTGGAAAATTATTTAGTATAAGTTAAAAATATATGATTTGCATATTAATGTGTCATCTTATATATACAAATATTTAATATATATTATATAAAAATTGAGGCTATTAAGCAATTGAGGCGTTCACATGAGATCGATTTTTTTTTTTTTTTTAATTTGATTAGTCCATGTAATTATTTACATGATTATGAAAATTTGTAATTTTTAATTATGTAAGACATAAGAAAATTAAGTATATAAGATTTTAAACAACCAATAGTATCATTCCACATCATCATTAAAATTGATTAATTATTTTCCTTTTTATTTTTCAGAAAAGTTTATTAATTAAATACTTTATAAAATAAAGAAATTATATTTTTAATTACAACAAAAAACTATGTTATAGTTTTTTTTTTTTTTTGTTCAAAATAGACTTTGATTAATAAAAGCGTTTAGTCTCCCGGCGCTAAAAATGCTCGGAGAGCCAATTTTGCAGAGGAATCCGCCAAACAATTAGTTTTCCTCGAAACAGAAATGAAATTAACTTCAATGAAAAGAGAGGAGAGATGAGCTATATCCTCGAGAATTCCGTAGATCTCAGAAAGTCGGTTTCCATTTGTAATCGCTGTTACGATCTGCTGCGAGTCCGACGCCACCTGAATTACAGAGATTCCAATTGATAAAGCGTGATCCAGTGCATGTCTGATTGCCAACCCTTCTGCCACCAAGGGTGAGGATACGTGTCCTCTTGATGAAGATCCTCTATTGATCTGCCGCTTGTTTTTATCTTGGAAGATCCATCCCATTCCTCCGGCTCGGTGCTCTCTGCTCCAAGCTCCGTCTGTGTGACAGACAATTGCATATGGTGAGCTCCTCCCTCTGGATTTTACCTCCACAAACGGGGATTTAGGTAACTCCGATTGAGCCTCTTTCCATTCCCTTGCTCTCATCAACCCTAGATTTATGGTGTCTAGAGCATTAACCCCTCTTGACATTAAAATTTTTGCTATTTCTGCTCAGCCAAATACTCCATAGGATCCAAGGGGTCAAAGATCCAGCTTGAATTCCTATAGGCGGAAGGGGTAGTAGCATTTTGATTCCTATTATCAAACTATGTTATAGTAAATTAGTTATATAATACTTTAAACAATCAATATTATTAATACACATCAACTAATCCAAAACTAATATTTTTTTCAAATTTTAAAACTGTAATATCGATAAAGATAGGTAAGAGATAAAGAACAAAATATAGAAACTATAGTTGTATTCTTGAATATTCCTCCCGTTGGCAAACATCCCTCGAAATTGTTAATGGATAGATTGAGATATTGTAACTTAGAAAAGTTTGCAAGATATGTAGGTATACTTCCAAAGAGACGATTGTTCGACAAATCAACATTTTGAACACCCACCAACTTGCTTATATCCGGAATGGCTCCATCAAAATAGTTTCATTAAAGAGAAAGTTCTTCCATCGAGAGGCAATCCCTTAAGGACTGTGAAAGTTGGCCTGATAACTTATCATACGCAAAAGATGTTATAACAAGATTACCAAGCCGTCCAAAATCTTTTGGTAGAGAACCCGTCAAGGAATTACGTTACATGCTTAAGAAGAAAATTCCTGGAATTTTCATAATTTCTTCCGGTATAGTCCCATTCAACTTATTAGATCCAATGTGCAACAATAGCAACTTGGTACAGTTACCAAGACTCGGTGGAACGATTATTTCAAAATTTCCTTCTTCCCCATGTACCACCATGCATCCCCTAAATAACAACAAAACTTAAATTAAAACAATATATGCATATCAAATGGAAAAAACAGGCATTATATAACCTTAACATAGCTCTAAGAATTCCAATTTGGTCGCACATAAAGACGAAAACAATTTTTTTTTCTTTTTTATGTTACACAAGGCTATGAATAGTATTCAAAAAGAATTCAAAGATATTTTTGTGTATCTACAATCAATCTTATCAATTAGATTTAGAGATGATTTACCAGGATACTGTAAAAACAACATACCAAACTTAAGCCATTCTCACAAATAAACAACAAATTCAGCACACGACGTTTCCGAACTCACTCGTACTCTTATACTTCATGGACAGAAGAATAAGTGATTAGAGAGAGATTTCTGGTGCAAATCGAATCAAAGTATTTATTATTAATTCGATAAACCTTGTGAAAAACTTAACACACGACACATCTTTTATTAATTTTTCATAAAAATACTCTTATATATTAAAGCATCAGTACACATACATGATCAATATGGATGGTACAATGAGTGATAAGTTTATTCCAATGGGACACTGATATTATCTTAACGGCGTTAGCCTATAAAAATCATTGTGGCGGCGTGAGACCCGGCAGGGGAGGAAACCTAAAGTTTGGGAAACCAGGGAAGCCAGGGAAACCGGGAATCGATCCCGGAGGGGATGACTGTGACGGCAATGGAAACGGGAACCTAAATTGCGGAAAGCCAGGGAAGCCGGGAGTCGATCCCGGAGGTGATGACTGTGACGGTAATGGAAACGGGAACCTAAACTGTGGAAAGCCAGGGAAGCCGGGAATCGATCCCGGAGGGGATGAAAACGAGAAACTAACGCCAGGGGAAGTGGGCATCGATCCAGGTGGCGATGATTGTGATGGAAATGGAAAGGGAAATGGAAACATAAAGCCAGGGATACCGGGAATCGATCCTGACTGTGGTGGCATATCAACTTTGATTTCATCAGTCGGCTTCTGATCGTTGAGAGAGCGAGCTTCAGACGTGAGTTGGAAGATCAAGATTATGGTTAGGGCTAAAACAGTGGTGATTGGAGAAGCCATGATTGTTTATTTGCTTCTTTTGCTTGTGTCTTGCAATAGCAGATGTTTAGTGTGAGTATATATAGGCCATTTTTTCACACAACGTTTGTTTTTAAAAATCTGTATACATTCTACCAACCATGTATCTGCAAACTGTAGATTGCATTAACTATGAAGGGAAATTACACGTACACAAACACAATTATGGTGACAAATCTGAGTACCATTCAGAAATAGTTGGACTGATTTGACAGTTACAAATGCATATGTATGGTATGGTGAGCTGGTGCATATCAGCATATGCATTCCAATAAAAAGAAATAAAAATACGTGTAACATGTAAATTGGTTGAATAAAAAGAGAAAGATAAAAATTGACTAATTAAATAAGAAATACAGAGGTATATGCATGCACATGAATATGTGTCTCTCCTGCAGCCTGGCTGCAACTCATAGAATCAAAATTTTCTAAATATAACAGACAGGTTGTATACTTAGTTACACATTTCACTATCCTATTTATTATTTTGTTCCTAAATAGTTTGTAAACATTTCCTTATGAAACTTAACAACTTTTTGTGTATACAAATCTACAAATCTCCACGATATCTAATTTATAGTTTAAGGTTTACAACTTTTAGTTTCACATCATCTAGATTTATATGGCCAAGCCACTAAAAATGATAAGTGTCACATGTCACCCTTTAAATATTATAAAATATATAAGTGTATATAAATCTACATAAATATTACTAGCTGCCTTTGTTGGTAAAATAAGCCTATTAAATCCCTATAAAATGGGTTCAAATTTCAACTTATATATTTTATAATATATATATTTCTAAAAAACGATTTGGACCCAACTATAATCTGTATTCTAAAAGTCCTTAATTTTTACAATTAATCGTTCAACTAATCCCTTCAAGGGAGTGACCATGGTGATTTTAGGTAATTGATGTTATTATTTGGTCAAATGTTGTTTGATCGATTTTACAAGATTAATTACAAAATTGTTCTAGAAATCATTGTTCTGGAAATCGGCGGGCCAAGTTTATATTTTTCTGAAATATGTTTTAGCCTAGTTCATAATTTGTAAAGTTCGGTCCAAATATAAAATCCATTGCTTATAGAGTTATCTTAGCAAAAATAACATGTGACTAATCGTTTTTGACAAATTGATTTGGGGATTTTTCTCCTAAACACAAACCTTAACTAGTTTCTGTCAAAATAAAAAAATAATTATTATGTTTTGTCTTCTAGAGTAAATGTGAGTTTGGAAAATTATTTAATATAAGTTGAAAATATATGATTTTCATATTAATGTGTCAACTTATATATAAAAATGTTTAATCTATACAATATAAAAGTTGAGGCTATAAGCTATTATTATTATTTTTTCATTTGATTGTTCCATCTAATTATTTACATGATTATGAAAATTTATAATTATTAAATATTTAAGAGGTAAAGAAATTAAGTATATAGGATTTTAAACAACCAATAGTATCATTCCACATCATCATTAAAATTAACAAATTAGTTTCTTTTATTTTTTTAGAAAAGTTAATTAATTAAATACGTTATAAAATAAAGAAATAATATTTTTTAATTACAAAAACTATGTTATAGCAAATTAGTTATATATGATTTTAAACAACCAATATTATTAGTACACATCAAACTAATCTAAAACTAAGATTTTTTTCAAAATTTAAAATTGTAATATCGATAAAGATAGGTAAGAGATAAAGAAAACATGTATAAGTTTTTATTTTTTAGTAACACCAAAATCTACTTAGAATTAAATTATAAACTGTTCTTAATTTAAAATGAAGGTTTCAGTTATATCCTATATAAGATTAAATTAAAGAGGATTAAAAAAAACTTTTTATAAAAGGATAAAATGGGAGAATAATCAAGAAGAAAAAGAATTTAAATAAAAAAGACTATAGCAAAACCATAACAACTGCGACCGTCTAAAACTAATCATTGTAGAAAAATACAAACAATAATCAAGACGAAGATAACAAATTATAAAAAAGTAAGGATGAAGATATCAAACAATGAAGACAAAAAATAAACTCCAAAAATGAACAAAAATGAAAAAGCAGGACAAATAACTTAATAAGAAACCACAAGGACGAAAAAACTGAAGAGGAAGATGAGAAAGCGTAAAGATGAAGAAGAAACCAAAAAAGAATAAAAAAAACCTGTATAAATGAGAACAAAGCAAAAAAAAAAAGAACATCGCCTTGAACACATGCTAAAATGATTCCTGGATTCGTTAATTATATCAGTACGTATGTAATCTACATAACTAATAAGGCTTGGACACTCTCAAGTCTTTGACACGTGGCACTCTCTTTTTTTTTTTTTTTTTTCGCCTAACACCAAAACGACGTCGTTTTGCGCTTTATTTTTTTTTTCGTCTTACACCAAAACGACGTCGTTTTGCGCTTATCTTTTTTTTTTCGTCTTACACCAAAACGACGTCGTTTTCGTAAAAAAAAAAAAAAAATCTAAATCAAAATTATGTGTAATGTTGTTCGTTTTGATAGGCTTGATTATTTATCGGACCTCTTCGTTTCCATGGTAGCTTTAAATGGGCTTACTGGCTAATTAGCTCATTTCATTTCCTTTTAAAAAGGGTTGCAATTATTATTATCTATGAGTCTGTAGGATAATAATCAATCTATAATGATTGTTAGTATAAGGAAAATTAGAAGAACTCAACTCCAGTCGATAAATTATTGTATAAAAGAACAAAAAACATATGAAACTATTCACTATGAGTCTATATAAGATTTTACGTAAATAACAACTAAATTTTAAAACTATATGAAAAAAAAAAAATGCAAAACTTACAGAATCTAATATATTCGAGTAAAAAACAAATGATATATTCGAATCTAATGTTCTGAATAATTAAATTAAAAATATTTGGTTTAATAAACCCGCGCATTGCGCGGGTTCTCTCCTAGTGTACCTTAAATTTTGTTAAGGACCTTTTTCATTTTTCCCCCATACACTGCGATAAAACAAACAAAGAGTAAAAATAGTGACATTTTACAAACCAAAGATAGCAGCATTACGAAAACATGTTCTTTGAATCACTCTCTTCTATAGCTCTCCATGCGTTCACAATGTGTTAGCTTTCTCTTCCGCTTTTATAATCATGTCTACTGGTTCCAAACTTGGTCATGTTTCCTATAGAAAAAGGTATCTCTCCAGACATTGTATTTGACAATACACTCGATAACTCCAATCCTTTGAGCTTACCAACAAATGTTGGGAGTGGTCCCGTCAACATATTTTTGCTCCAACCGAAGTGTTTGTAGGCTGGTGAGATTCCGTCGCATTTGTTTGTTTTCCTCTACTAAGCGTTCCTCTAAGGTTGTTTACACCAAGTTCTAAAACAACAAGCTTCGTAAAAAAACCCTAGTTCTAAGGGAACATCTTTCCCAAGATGATTTGAAGATAAACCAAGAGTTAACAATCTAGAGCAGTTAAACAGACCGAGTGGGATTCCTCCTTCAAGAAAGTTAAAGCTCATATTCAAGTGTTTGAGTCTAAACAGCTTTCCCACTTCTTGAGGGATGGTGCCACCAAAAGAGTTATCTACGAGATTAAGTGACGTGAGAAACGAAAGGTCACCGATAGATGGCGATATCACACCGTCTAGCTTTGATCCTTCAAGGTCCAAATTAGTAACTCTCTTGTACTTGCCACCACATGTAACACCAACCCAATTGCAGAGAGGGAACGATTTATTCCATGAGGACAAGACAACTCGTTTGCCTTCTGAAACTTTTGACTAGAAGTCTAGCAACGCTTCCCTATCTGTTTCGCAGGTAAAGCCATATGCTTCGTGAAACATGAAGACACTAAAAGCAAGTAAAAGAAATAGTCTCATGGTTTTATTATTATGATTATTTTTTCTGTTAGATGTTTCTGGTGCTTCTCATATGTTTTGCAAGAGGGTGAATATAAGGGGACGGACAAGGCAAATGCAGAAAATTTAATTATCTTTTGGTGTAAATAAATACAACTTGAAGAAATTAGCTCCCAAAATCATATGTATGAAAGCAAGAATTGTTTTTTGAATAACAACTACTTGTTTATCAATTTTCCACATCGAGAAGAGGTAAAGTTTTTTTTTTTTTTTTTTGGTTTTAAAAGGGTAAAGGTTTTAAAAATAATACTATCGTCAAAGAAAAATGGCACTAATAAAATAACATTTTAATTAGAGATTCTGTATTCTTAACCAACTTGTGTAAACACAAATGATTCCCCTGTTTCATTAAGAGACTAAATATCCACCGATATATTTAAAGGAAAATAAACATGCTTGTGATTGGAAGCCAACAACGGTCAAGTGTTAATTAGACTTGTTTTGACTTTGAGTCATCATGAAACTGAAAGAATATAGTTATGATAATCGTTTGAGGATGAGGAGATCGATTTTACAATCAAGATGGATAAACTTATTTAGGAAGAATTTTATTGCATTGATTCAAAATGAAGATATAGAACATGTACTATATAACCTTGGACTTGGATATGGACTTAGACATGATCTTTAAAACATACTGTAACAAATATCAGAAGAATCAGAAGATGATATTACATGAAAATTAAATTACGGTAACGAATTGGATGGAAAGTAAATTTATTAGTTGATGACGCGACAGTTGTCGCGAATCTCACCACCTTCATCTCCAAGTGTAAGGACTTTGATGGAACTCATCTTGATCATAGACCGACCAAACTGAGCAAGAAAACTTTCGGAGTCCTGAAAAACACTGGCAATGGAGGCGGCGGACGGATCAGTCAACAAGGCGGCGTCAGAAGTGAAGAGTCCTTTTTGTTGGAGGAGAGAGACGAAGTATCCACTGTCAAAGGTGAGAGGTCCAGTTGGGTCCATTCCCACCTCTGCGGATGAGTTGACTCTTAGAGATTTATCGGAGCATTTGGATTTGAGGAAAGAGGCGTAGCTAGAGTTCAAGGAAGGATCTGTGTCCCCTTTGCCAGTGAAGTTTAAGAGCCTCCGACCAAACACACCGCAATGTGCTGTTCCTATTGTGTGTGCTCCTGTTACATACAAGTTTCGTTTCTTTTTAGTAGAAAATTTATCATCGATTTCTTGTCGACTATGTATGAATATCAAAACAATTCTCAGCGGATGATATGATTCTATTATTTTGTCTATGAAAAGTTGATTGCATTCAGCAGTAATAATATGTGAAGTGAAAAAAAGTTTAGCTATTTAATTTAATGAGTATATTAGTAGATGATAAGTATCATATGATTTCTATGAAAATTGTCACGTGCGATGTCTCTTCCAAGATTATTCTCAAATACTTGATGTTCTTTTTTTAACAAATAAAAAAATCGTATGTACGATATTATACTATTTCTTGAAGATTGGAAGAATTAAATTTGTAACATCCTAGTCCCTTCCTAGTTACTAACATGGACATGCACGTGCTCTGATATTTCCGCGATTTTCTTTGTTCCCTGTTTCACAAGTTTGGTCTCTTAGTAACGTATGCATCTTGTGTAAATATATGAATCTAATTGCTAAAGGTAATGAAATGGAAAATGATTATATAATAAACCTGATAAAGCCACGAGGTCAACGACGTCTAAATCACTCTCAGCAAAGAGTGTCTGTAGAGAGGTGAAGTTGGCTCCAGCAGACGGTAAGTCTCTCACAGCCTCACTCGCCAATGAAACTTTTCCATCAAGACGTCCGGTAAAGACGTTCCATAGCGGCCGTCCAAACTATATAACATCAATTTTCGGATTTATAATTTCCCAAAAAATAAAAAAAATCTGACTTTCTAAAGTATCATTTTAAAAAAACCAGGTAAGTCATAGACCGAAATCTAAAATTATGTAAAAATCAAGAATCAATTCTCATTTATTGAATTCTTGATTTTGATCGGCAAAGCGTTTTCTCAACCAAGAAACTAAACTTCTATGGTTGATTACTTGGTTAGTGAAAATTGTATCATCATATCGCGCGAGTCACAAAAAGGTACATATTTAGATTGTTTGTATTACTTGGTACGAGACGGCGTCTCGAGCGGCTAGTGTGAGAATGTCGGCGCATGAGACTGTTTGAGGACATTTGTCTTCAAGAAGGGACTTAATTTCGTCTATGATTTCAAACCCGGAAAGCGAGAGATTAGGTCTCGCTTCTTTCTCGGAGTCAGGTTTTCCAGAAACCGAATCTAAAAGCAGCGATGCGTCGCACCCCTAATTAAATATCATCAATGATCCGCATTATAAGACTTATCTTAGAATTCATTATAAAGACGTCAAGGAAAGAAAAGGAAAACTTTTTAAGACTATATATATTAGATCTATCTAGAATTATAATGCAGTATCATACCCTAACAAAGCAGTCATGGTAATGGACCCTCAGTAACTTGGGAGCCAAGCTAGGGTTTGTTTTGACTTTCTGCGACACAATCTCTCTTACTGTTTCCTCGGCTTCAGGACAGCTCTTGTGATAGAATTTCATCCTCAGCTTATCCTCCCATCTTCCTCTTCTCATCTCATGGCCATTGTTATCATGATTAAATGATTTGAATCTCTTACCATCAACACAAAGTAACACACCGAAATACAAAACAAGCGGAAATAATAACTGAATTTTTAAACTCTGCTGACTCTTGGCCATGACTTGTAGCAGAAATAAAAACCGGTTAAACTACAATTTTAAGTTTGCTTTGAAGAATTTGTTCTTGTTGTATTTGAGAAAGTTACTTTTGCAGAGTTGCTTTATATTGAAACTCAATCTCCATACTCCACATCCCCGTTGATTTTTCCAAATTCTTTTAGCAATTTGATATTGTTGTAATAATTTCGACCAAAAAATAATATTATTGTAATAATTTCCCTGGGTGCTCAAGCAAAGTTCCCTGCATATGATGTGAGAATGAAGGATTAATTATTAAGTAGAAAGTCAACAGAAATAGAATAATATTATATATCCCGCAAATAATCATTTTGCTTCATTACTTGAATGAACCATAACGTGAACAAACCATAATGCAGATATTGCTGTCTCCAGGAAAAATTTACATTAAGTCATTAATCATGCATTACCTTTTTTTTCTTTTATACTTTTAACTTTACTCTGAAACTTTATCCCTCTTTGTAAAAAGTTCTTTTTTTTCAGTGGCCTTAGCCTTCATGGCTTAATCCTTTTCCATTGGCCTTGCAATAGCCTGGAATCAGAGTAAGCCCTTAAAAATAATATTATTGTAATAATAACAACAATCAGTTAAAAATAATATTATTGTAATAATAACAACAATCAGAGCAATATCTCAACTTTAAACGCAAGTCTTTATCACTTCCACCAGGTAACAGTTTACCTTTTAACCAATAAAAAAAAGGTTGCTTGAGTTCCAGATAATAATAAAAGAGTACAATTTTACAACATAAAGTTGATGATACGAACTAGACATCTCCATTGCCTTCGGACTACTACTCTTCCTTGATCTCTCTGATGACCAATGGATTCTGAAAAGAGCTTCCTTCACCAGCATCAGCAACAGTTTCCAGCTTTATCCTCGGAACAGCAGAATCAGGACCATTTACTGCCGATGAACTAGCATTTCCTGATGCCTGTATCCTGCCTGGAATTGATAATGTTACCTGAGCTTCATTTTTTCTCGGCCTACCACGCCCACGTTTGACAGGTTGTGTTCCTTGGCTTGCAGTGCCTAGCGAAGTAGGATGAGAAGGCTGTGTTCCTTGGCTTGCAGTGCCTAGCGAAGTAGGATGAGAAGGCTGTGTTCCTTGGCTTGCAGTGCCTAGCGAAGTAGGATGAGAAGGCACTTTCCTCGGCCTACCACGACCACGTTTCATAGGTTGTGGAGTCATTTCCAGCGCCGGAGATGTATGGAGTGGTGTGCCACCAGAGTTTTCAACCGCCACACTCTTTCCCTTTCTTTGTGGAGGAGGGGATGGGGATGGCTCAGCTTCCCACACGTCTTTAATCTCGTCTTCGCTAAACTCGTCTTCGCTTAAAATTTCTACATAAGACTTAACCTAGAAAAGGTGCAAAATTTGTCATTCAATTAAGTTACAAGCAAGAATGCTACCTGAATGATCATATATAGTAAGGTAATCAATAAATGTGAATATTTAGGAAGATAAAAACTCAGGACAAACCTCTTTAATTCGTTTCCCTCTTCCATATTGGTTGTGACTGTCCAAGCTTTCTACAGCACCTCTCTTCCGCTTCTTGCCAACCTTTAGTTCCTTTTTAACCATTGGGACATCATTCGATTTCATTGTTTCATATAGTTGTTTCAAATCATCTTCAGTAACAAGCCGAGAGGGTGTAGGTGGTTCAACGGAAACACTACTTGACCCTTGTCCCTGTACCAAGGTCTTCCATATTTCCTGCAAGGTCATATATAGCTTTTCAGATAAATAACACCATAAAACAAAAAATTAGCCAAAACTTTTTTTATTAAGAACAAACTTACCATCTCATCTTCTTTCCTTTGTTTGTCCATGGACTCGAAGATCTCAATCTCTGGCTCGCTAGTAAGACAGCAAGCAAAAAGTCAGGTTTGCAAGAAAGTTAAAGAAAGCTCTAGATGCATGGAAATGTAAATGGACTTTCAACTAAGAATTAGGCTTTATCATTCAACAGATAACACATGAAAATAAACAAATTTATGCAAAACTAGCTTGGGAACTAAACTATCATGGCAATCTAAGAACTAATGACCCATAGGCTGTCATAAAATTAAAACATGGGCTCATGGAAAAAAGTTCTGAAAGAAACAGCACTATACCTTCTAGCTATAAGATCATTCAAGGCATCATCTTCCAGCACTGGAGCATTCTCCTCTTTCTTTGATCCACGCAAAAGGGATTCCAAATATTCCTTACGGTCTTCAGCACTGTCAAAAAGTTAAAAATGTTTTACAGGGTTTGGTAGTTAAAACTTGTTGAAGCATGATAAAAGGGATGTTTCTCAATTCACCTTGTGGAATTGTCAAAGAAGCCAGCAGTTATACTCTGGTTAGCAACTCCAAGTTTGTGCTCAGCTGTAGCTCTGACTTGCTCCTCAACAGTGTTGGCCTTAGGATACACATAAAGACGGAAGACAAACAAACGATCAGTATATTCCAGAGCATAAGTTACAACCATTCACAACTTATTTATATTTTTCAGACGTTTTAGTTCCTTGGAACACACGAAATAAACAATCTTACCGTTTCAAAACGAAGAACAAGCACATCTTTTTTCTGCCCAATCCTGTGAGCCCTTGCCTGAGCTTGTAAATCAATCTGAAATATATAATAAATTTCATTCAAAGTCTGACATGATCAATCATGTCCACAACATTCAACTATATTTTGATATTAAGGGAATGTTATATCTAATCTAACCTGAGGATTCCAGTCGGTATCGAATAATATCACAGTATCAGCAGCCTGAAGATTGATTCCTACTCCACCAGCTCGTAGGCTGAATATTTTACGAAAGAGTCAGCAACCACATATTAGTTGTACTCAATGCCTATATAGAAAGCAAGGCCATGAAAATGTGATGCATCACCTCAAAAGAAATATGAAATATGGGGAATCAGGGTTGTTGAAATCTTCAATAAGAGCACCACGAGCACCCCCACATGTCTTCCCGTCCAGCCTAAGGTATTTGTACCTCTTGAATTCGAGGTATTCCTCCATGACATCAAGAAGCCTAGTCATTGTGCAAAAGAAAAGAACCTGCGGGAATCCATGCATACCAACAGACAAAAAAAGTAATAACCATTAATAAGCGTCTGCATCAAGTTAGGGCAAACATGCAACAAAACTTACAAATTATGACACAATTGTGTACCTTTCACAAAGAACAGAAAATTGTATAGTTGATGAGTTTAAGTTATGCATAAAGTGATATTGAAGTAACAAAATAAAAAGGGGAAAATGCTAGCTAAAAATGTAAAAATGCGTCATGGAACCAAAATATATTGTAAAAAAAAACGTTTTATGGTAAGACATCCAATGTTACACTTTTTGTGTACTTAAGCACACTGCTTGAAAACATGTAATCCAACTTCAACAATAAGCTGCCTTGTTTAGAGCATTGAAACTATTCTATTACCATGAGGACTGAGGAGGTAGAGAGGAAATATTACCCGATGGTCTGTTGCTTTGAGCTTGGGCAAAAGCCTGTCCAACATCTCAAGCTTACCACACAGTCTTATAACTGGGGGCAGAAAATGCTGAGGAATTTTGTTATTGACCTAAACAAAAATGATCGTCCCATCATCAGGCTTGTCCATAAAGAACTAACCAACGATTCATTGCATTTACATATAAATAATTCCATAGAGAATGAAGATGATTACCTCCTCTGAATGCAGTTGGCTGAGATATGGATGATTGCATATATTGCGAAGCTCAACTACGGAGTTTTGGACAGCACGTGACTGTAATAAAAAACAAACAAATGTTAACTTAGAAATAACTCAACATTATCACAGCAACTGCCAACACCTGCAGCATAAAACGGTACCTTGACATTTTCATCAATAGAGCCCAGATTATCCCTAACCCTCTTCATCAACAGCTTCTGATAAGCAGATGCCTCACAGCGTATCAATCTCTCTATCTTCTTAGGAAGCTCATCCTCAACCTACAATAACAAGTTAAGTTAACACACAATAATGTTACGAAAATGTTACATAAAACTTGAGAAAAATATTGCAGGACTCTACAGAGAGGAAAAATGTTGCATATATATAAGATTCTTCTATGAGGAGTATATATATATGAACCTTATGTTTCATCCGCCGCAGCATAAATGGTCGAAGGACTTGATGAAGTCGATTGATGAGAAGCAGACTCTCCTCTTCTGATAGCAACGCCTAGTCAGATGGAAAAACCATAAGCGTGTAGTTAAAAACCATAATGTCTTAATACTAGTATATACTAGTTAATATTTTTATATAAAAAAACAATCGATAATACCTCTTCAGCAGAATTATCTCCTTTAGTTTGAAATTTATCTCCATTAGTTTGAAATGGTTTGTTGAACCATTCTGAAAAGTCTTCCGAGGAGTTGAATATATCAGGCAGCAAGAAATTAAGCAGAGCCCACAATTCTTCCAGGTTGTTCTGTAATATATCAGACAGGAAAAAAACAGCAACAAATATGGTTGTGAAGATAAAGAAGTTTCAGTATCAAGATGAGAAGAGAAAGAACAAGGAAAGAAACTATACCTGTAATGGGGTCCCAGTTAAGAGAAGTCGGTGGGAGCTAACGTACTGTTTCAGCTCTACATTCAACTTGCATGATGCATTCTTTATGCGATGTCCTTCGTCAATAATGATATAATGCCAGTGGATCTTGCTTAGTTTAGGTCTATCATTCTTGTTCATTAGATGCTCATACGTCGTCAGAAGAACATTGAACTTCTGTTGAACCATTTCCTCCCTACAATAAAAAATTAAAGGAGAAAGTGAACATTAAACATCTGATATATATGCAAAGAACAAGAAAATATAGGTTTTATTCTCTGTACTTGAATAGTTTGCGCCGTTCCTCAGGAGTCCCACGGTAAACAATTGTATTAATTACCGGAGCCCAAAGTTTGATTTCTGACTGCCAACCAGGCAGAACAGAAGATGGTACAACAACCAAAAAGGGACCTTTATCATTTTTTGTCTCCATGAGATAGCAAATCAAAGATATAACCTAGAGAAAACCAAAAAAACATTACAACTTATGGAGCAAATGCATCTTATAAGCAAATCTTACATGTGTGCTTATACCCAAATAGGGCGTTCCATTAAATTCATACCTGAACAGTTTTCCCAAGACCCATCTCATCAGCAAGAATGCCATTTAAGTTATTGTTGTAGAGTGAAATTAGCCACCTTAGGCCATTCATTTGGTACCTAAAATGTCAGGTTTTGTAGTTGTAAGCATCCCACGAAAAAATCTTACCATAAACTAGGAGGTTCTCAAATGCATGATAGTGATAACTTTAAGGCAGGTCATTGTATACTTACTCTCTTAACTTTCCACCCTTTAGGCACGTAGGCTGCTCGTTAATATTTTCTTTTATACTGCAAACATCATTTCTTGTGAATAGATTGGAAAAATGATAATCCACATATGATCATATTTACAAACAACATAACCACCTTTTTGGACAGATTTCAACAAGCAAGAAATATGAAAATTCACATGGGAATTAGAGACAGTAATTATAGGATGCAGTAATATTTACCTATGAGCCATCAAGTAGTATTGTTCATTGCGTTCCAGGTAGTCCTGCATGACATATTTTGTAACAATGAGAAACAAAAGGAAGAAAGCACACACACAAAAGGAAAAAAACAAAAACAACTCTTGAGAAAGAGAACTTGCCTTTGCCTGGTCACTCTCATCTTCAATTTCATCTGAAGTTTCATCCTCAACAGCAGTTGAAATAGATGTCGCATCTGCCTCATACTCAAATCGTCTGGTCAAAGATTTGGACTCCTTTAACTTGGATCCAAGTGTCTGTAGGTACTTCTCAGTCTCTTTGAGTAGTTGCGTTATTCGATCTGACTTGACATCCTACATATTCACCAGCATTCCAAATGACACATCAGCATATAAAAAAAAGAAGCAATATAAACCTAAAACACTTCCAAACTCAGTTAAGAGACCAAACCTGCGCGATCCGGAGATAACCCTCCACATCATTAACCTTTAACAAATCAATCTTCTCACGTTGAATTTTGTCCATCTTCTCACGATGAAGCCGTTCCTTTCTTTTGTGGAACTCCTTCACATACTTATTGAAACCCTTGTGCCTTTCTCTCCTAGCTTTGCTACATTCCTCTATCTTTTCCCTGAAGCAAGGTTTCAAACAAGAATTTCAGTACAAAAACAGTTTAAAATATATATTCTTCTAATTGATTTGCATAAAATAGAGAGAATCCACAAGTAGGTGCATAAAAGAGAAGAATGGATTAGGTCAGAAAACGAATTTCACATACTTTTGAACCTCTATCTTCCCAAGGAACACCTTCTGCCTCTCACGAAATCTTTTTTGTCGTTCCTCCCTCATCTTCTGCTCATACTTGGCAATCTGCTTATCTTTCCGGCCATGTTTGTGTTTTTTCTTGTATGATTTTACCTTCTCAAGCTCATCTGTAACTGGTCTGAAGTAGTCCTCAATAACCTCTCTGCTTCAACAAAACAACATAACAATAGCAGCTGAGAGGTGATACAACCGGTTGATATATGTATCCGCACATATTTACAGATAAAGAAGAAAAAAAAAATCATCAATTAAATGAGAAATACATTATAATAGTTAATACACTTTACCTCCTCAGACGCCGTTGTAAACCTACTAGCTTAAGCTTTCTCAGTTCTCTCTTTAAAGATTCTGACAAATCCGGAGTTTCCTGCACATTAGGAAGCCTAAAATTTAGCATCATTCAAATCAAGAATAGATAACAGTGAGAACCATTATGGACACAAGTACAACGAAGTTATCTAACTGTTAAAAAATAAGAAAAGTGAGAGAAGAAAGAAGGTGGCTAGAGAGAGAGAGACCTGTAACACTTTGATCCGTGCAGCGATTGCCTCGTCAGTTTTCTTTCGTTTAAGAGCCTGTATTTCATCATCCAATCTTTTCTGATTCTGGTGATCCATAATCAACTGCTCTAACATGGTGCGCATAGGTGCCGATCGCATGATATCTGGATTGTCTGAAATGTTATCAACCACATTAATTTACAGTCATTAGTTCACTCCATAAATGGAATTATCCATCAATATCAGAATATTTATTATCGACTTAAGGTACTCCACTAACCCGGAACATTAAAGTTTTTGAGTTGAATAACAGAAGTTGAGAGGTCATCAACACCATCTGAAGAAGAAGCTAGTTGAGAATGACTAGCAGCAGCCTGAGCTTGTGCTTGAGAGCCTGGAATTTAAAAAGCTTTTGACCGTCAGAAGAATATAGTATGTGAGAAAATTGTGTCCCCTAATCTTGATCCAAAGGGAAAGCATGTAGTGAATGATTAGAAATAACTCAAGTGAGGTGAACAAAAAGAGAATCATTATTACCATCTCCAGGGAATTGATTCTGAAGAGCGTCCTCTAAATCCTCTTTCTTGGGGATAAAACCATTTCTACGAGAAGGAAATCAGCCAGAGGTTTACAATCGCACGGTGTCAAAATGACTAAACTAGAGAGGATTAGGAATTAGAAGAGTGTAAAATACCTGAGAGATGCACTCACAAGCCACTGGGCATTCAGCTGCTTCAGTTGCTGATCCATAAAAGGAGAGCCTGGTGAAGGCAGTAATCTTTGTACTGCAACATTGTGGCCATGTTCTCTATGTACCGGAGGCCAGTTTGGAGTGACTACGGTGTTTTGCCAGCCATACTGCCAAAGAAAATAACAAGTCATTTTATGTAGAGTGCATGAGTTTCAACTCGGTATCTTGGATAGGAAGTAAATGAGAAAAGACATGAAACACAGGTAAAGAGTCATCTTAAAATTAAATGCATGCAAGATTCAAAACTTCATATAGAAGACAGATTTAAACGAACCAGGTTTTTTCACAAAATGGATTTAAATTTTGAAAAGCAAACAAAACACAAAATTAGATTAATTATTTATGAGAGACAAATATTTTGGAAAATAAGCCAGCATGTGATAACACTGTATCCTATTTATATATACTTAGAAAAATGTTTATGTGCATCACAAAGTCCTAAAATATTAGAAACCGACAAGGTCAGGGAAGCGAAAAATGATAATCATAAACAAAACGCTATGCACATTTGTAGAATAGTGTCAAGGTATGTACCTGTGGAGTCGTGTATGCATATGATGATAACCCAACAGGAAAATTCTGAATGTTACCTGAGAATATGTGGCAACAGTATAGATACAATTAACAAGAAAGTTATGATCCAAGGGAAAGCATGTAGAAAATGACTAGAAAGTAACATAAAGTGAGAACCATTATTACCACCTCCAGGGAAATTAATCTGAAGAGCTTTCTCTAAGTCCGTTTGGTTCGGCACAAAACCATTTCTACGAAAAGGAAATCAACCAGGGGTTTACATTTGGTTTGACGAGTAAAGTTAACAATAGGTTTAGGAATTTGGAGAGTGTAAGATACCTTAGAGCTACATTCACGGACGACTGGGCCATGAACTGTTTCAGTTGTTCCTCTTTAAAAGGTGAAGTTGATGAAGGCATCATACTCTCTACAGCAACACTTTTTCCAAGGTCTCTATGTACCGGAGGAGTCATGTTTCCAGGTTCTCTATGTACTTGAGGAGGTAAGCATCCAGGTTCTCTAGGTACTGGAGGAGGCCTGTATCCATGTTCTCTAGGTACTGGAGGACGCCTGTTTCCAGGTTCTCTATGTACTGGAGGAGGCCTGTTTGCAGTGACTACAATGTTGTTCCAGCCACACTGCCATAGAAAACAACATGACATATAGTGTCAATATGCATCACAAAGTCCCAAAACATTAGAAACCGACATATTGATATCATGGAAGCTCAAAATGATATCATAATTAAAGAAAATGCTATGCACATTATATGTATTTCATCTGGAGGGATCCAGGATCCTTAATAGTGTTAATTAATGTAATGTACCTGTGGAGTAGTAGTGTATGCAGCTGATTCCAATCCAACTGGAATATTCTCAATGCCACCTGAGGTTTTGTGGCAACAATAAATTTACAAATAACTCATCAATTCATATGCATCCATGACAAAACACTAGGGAAATTCAAATGATATTCTCAATTCAATAAGAAAATATTCTAAAGCATATATCTATCTCTACCTGAATCACGAGGCATTTCCATTCTTCTTTGTTCACCAGTCTGATCACCAATCATGCTCCCAGGAAGGTTACCAAACATTTGAGAGGTATCGATATATTGCTCCCATGAAGGTGGTGATTCACCTACCTTCCTCTTTCCCAGTGACTTGGCAACCCTTTGATCCATTGCTTCATTCTTATTGTGAGATTGAGAATGCAAGGTAGACGGCGTGTCATGATCAAATGGTATGTTACTTTGAGTGCCAGACAATTGGTAAAAGGCCTGTGATGCAGTGTTTGATCCACCAAGCTGTGAAGCGATCAATGCATCATATTTTGTCATCTCATTTTCAGATAGACTTGTTTTGCCCTTATCTCCAGCTCCATCCATTTGAGACCCTATATTCCACATTAATGCAGAAATTTTAACAAAAACATTAAGACCCGCTACCAAAGTTTTCTATCTAATAAGCAAAACTTCTTACACAGAATCAAAATAAAAGAAATGGATCATAAGCAAAACTTCTTACACAGAATCAAAAGAAAAGAATGGATAATAAGCAAAACTTCTTACACAGAATCAAAAGAAAATAATGGATAATAAGCAAAAATTCTTACACAGAATCAAAAGAAAAGAAATGGATCATATGTATATACCAGCCAAATTTCCAGATCCAGGATCTTTTGTTTGAGTATCACCAGCTTGAGGAAGACACACAGATGCCTTTAAAACTTCAATGTCAGGACTGTGCTGATTGACTACGGTGTCCAGGGACCTTAGAGTTTGAGTATCACCAGCTTGAGGAAGAGATGACTTTAGAACTTCAATGTCAAGACTGTGCTGATTGACTAAGGTGTCCAGGGACCTTGGAGTTTTAGAAAGACATTAATCAATTAGTCTGACTAGAATGAAAAAACAGGCAAGAAAGTGATAATTGCATCTAAATCAACTTAAGGCAGTAACATAATTAAATAACGAATGATTGAAGATTATTAATTAAGGAAAACAATACCTAGATACGACTTGATAAGGCATTGTGTGTTCCTGGCCGCTAAATTTCATGTCCTCCAATATCTTGTGCAACCAAAAGAATAAAAATAAATGTAGTTAAAGAACATGATAAACAGTTGAATCCAGATGCAGCATAAAACGGATCAATAAGCCATACAAACACACCACATAAAGTTTGGTAGCTAGCTCTGGAGGTTCGTCTGTTGAAACTCGAATGAGCCTGTGCAGATACCTAGCTGCCTCCATTTCAATGTTATCCGAAGATGACATCGCAATCGAATTACACCAAAGCGTACATCAAATGACAAATCCCTGAATCAGTGAGAATGCAAGTTAAGTACGGATTATAAAACAAGATCTGTAAACTATTTCCAACCATCTGAATTGTGCAGAAAATAAAACAAAATAAAAAGACAAAGACGTTACATAAAAGACACAGAAGATATTCGAGCAAACTAGACAGAAACTAACCTCAGAAAGCTTATAAATTCAAGTCAAAACCGGATTAATGAAAGCAATGCATAAAATTTCGTGAATTCATCTAAATGAGCCAAATTTCTCGGCTTACTCTTGTTGTTAACGCTACCCAAATCAAACAAGAGTCATAACCAAAACCCTAAGTAGCGAAAAAAAACCCTAGATAGAGATGGAGGAGTAAACAAGAAGAACAAGTGGAAGCGTTACCCAGTCTCCTACAGAAGACAAAAGTCTTATGCGATAAAGTTGAGTTGACAGGTGAAATGGCTTTTTCGTTACTTTCGAAAGTGTAGCAAATGTAAAATGATAATCTACGTTTTGATAGTTGTCATTAGATAGATATATGCACTCATTTAGATTTGTTTTGCCTTTTAAAAATTATAAATAAATGGTAATATGCGGTGGCATGCATGCATGGGCATAATAAAACTTGACCAATCAGATAAGAATAAATCTAATCTTTTAGAAATTTTAAATAAAATCTTCTACTTCTACTTTTAGCACAATTAAGAAATATACATTTCCTTTTTTTGTCAAAAAATGATCAAGCTAAGTAAAATCTTATGATCCATTTCTACTTATAATAGAAAAAAACCAACAAGGTACCTTTCATTTCAAACATTTGAAATACACAGAAAGGCCCGGGCTAAAGCGGGAAGCTGGTGCTTTAGAAGTTAACATTTATTTACAATTTCAAAGGCGCCAAATTACGAAGAATTTCCACATATAACCCGAAATTTGCTTTTTTCTATAACCATAACCCGAAACTTGAAAGTATTGCAAAACTAACCTGTTTGGGTAGCGAAATTACAAAGGTCACCCTCATGAACAAACAAAAAAAATTTGCCGTGATTACCAAATTAACCCGGAGCGTAGGTCTACGCTTGCTGTCTACATATAGACTTTTATAGTCGGTCTACCTTGTATTTTAATTTTATATTTTAATTGGGAAAAAAAAAAAAAATTTTGATGAAACCATTTGCATACATAAATCATAAATAGTAATTTGCATCTTGGAAAATTATAATTGCATACAAATGAGTCAAATTAAACTAACATAGGCAAATTAGTTTGGAAAGCTGTAAAAACGTAAGAGGTCTACGGATGAGGTCTACGGTTTAATTAAATGAAACTTTTAATTTATAAAATAAATAGAAAATATTTAGATGAAAAATTTGTATTCATAAACAAGACAAAGACAATTAGAGTCCATATAAAATAAACATACATGTTAATAAGTGAATTTAGGTTGACAAAAACAAATTAGGTTAGAAACTTGTAAAACCGTGAGAGGTCTAGCAACGAGGTCTACAGGAAAATGAAATCTTAAAAATAATTTTTAAAATTGATAAAAAATAATTTGATAAAAAACTTGTATGCATAATTAATTCTTATACATTTGACATCTATTAAAAATAAATTATACGAAAAATGAATCATCTATAAATGTCATGAGTAAATGTTTCAAATTGATAAGAGTTTGGATAGATAGTTTAGGGTTTAGTTGTCCAATTCTTAGGGTTTAGATAGTTTCAATTTGAATTTTTTATTTTGATTGGTTTTTTTATTTATATTTAATTGTTTTGTTATCCAAACCATAAATATTGTAAATGACAAACAAAATTTGATATTTGGTTCATGTTTTTTATAAAATTTGTGGTTTAGGGTTATGTAGACCTCAGTTGTAGACCGCACAAAAAGGTAAAATTGAAATTAACCGGAATGGTTTAGAAATTAAAATAGCGGGAATTCCAAAATTTGAAAACCAATTTAGCGGGAAAAAAAATTTCTAATTTCGATGGACTGTGTTTATAGACCAAGTTCGTAGACCACATTCGTAGACAACGTTTGTAACTCATGTTTGTAGATCTCAAAAACTATGATTTAACCTAATTTTTTTAAATAAACCGAAAAATAAAATTTGATAAACCGGAATTTTCTAATTTAACCGGAAAATTTATCTCATGTATAAAAGAAAGGGAACCCTAATTGTTGATAAAAAAATGAAAGAGAACCTCTCTCTTGAAACGGCGCTCTCTCTCTTCTCTCTTGTCTCTTCTCTCTCGCCTAGAACCTCAACCTCACTATCTCACTTCCCTCTCGCCGTCGCCTTCTCGTTCTCGCCGTCACCGCTGTTTCGTTCTCGCCGTTGCCGCCGTGTCGCGTTCTCGCCCATCTCTCCCTCTTCTCTCGCTGTGAGCTTTCTCCCTTGCATGTTGCCTTAGAGTTAAGCCTTGTTCTTCTTGTTGTTCTTTATCTGTCTTAATCCCTCTAATGCTTCTTTTCTTTCTCTGTTTTCACTTTTTTGTTTGCTCATACTAGATCTTTCATCGATGCCTCCGCTTCACCTCTGCGTTTGGTACATCCCGTCCGACCTGTCTCCACCTGATCTACAGAACTCCCCACCTTCTGGGGCTTCTCCGGAGAACAGATTTTTTAGTCTTCGTCGGTGGACATTTATACCGTCGAGATATTTCTCGGCCTCGTCCAACTTATCGTCCAGTCTCTAGCCGCCGTCGTTTGCATGGTAAGCCATTTATCTTCTCTCCAGAACAGATCTAATTCAGATTTGAGCCACAACATAACATATTGGCCTATTTTTCTAGATCTAAGCGCCAAAGAAGCTTCAGAGGAAGGAGGTCCGAGCAGAGATTGAAGCGGAGGAGAAATGGTGGGGGAGGTTTCATGAAACAATTCCGCTTTGTACTCTGGAGGTACAATTTGATTATGAGATGAGAAACGATTTCTTAAGCAATTAGAGAGAACTAGATGTTAAGCTGAGAAGGAAAAGATATGATTTTTTTGGTGGAATTTTGCAGGAAGAAATTGGTTCGTCTTGCTTAAGCTCGAAATTGGTTCGGCTCACGGCTTGTGTTTCTTCCCAGGTAAATCTGACTTTCATATTCTCTTCATATTTCTCTACATATCTTCTTGCTTATGCTTATACTGTGTATCATATTGATTATGAGTAAGAGCTCTGATTTTGGATTTGAGATGATGTATTGCTGAATTGCTGATACAGAAAAGTTTATCTTTTTTTAGCTTGTCTTTTTCCCCAGATTGTTTTTGATTGATTGATAGTGAAGAGGCATGAACATTGTGTCGCAAATGTTTAGGGATTAGTTTGAGCTATTTGGTAGCTTTTATGGTCTGAAAGTCCTGAGCAGTGTTTTGGGTTTGTTGTTTTTCAGGTATCTTTACTTGAGAGGCTGCATCACCGAAATATTGTGAACATGGTAGGATATTGTGTTGATAAAAGTCACAAGATGTTGATCTACTTGTTCATGAGTAATGGAAGTTTGGAGAATCTTTTGAATGACGGTGAGTTCATGAGTAATAGACGTAGCAAGAGATTAATTTCTCTAGTGTAGAGGTTCACAAGATTTACTTCTTTGATTTTCAGGTGAAGTTGGAATCTCGTTCTTGGAAATGTAGAGAAGCGTTCATAGCCATAGTGTTTTTAATGATTTTCTTTCTTTCAAAATGCTTCTAAGTTATGTAAAAACATTGTCATAAAGGAAACAAAAGTGTTTTAACGGAATAATTTATGTAACATCACCATAATCTTTATAGATGTCCATAACTTCTGTCTTAATTGTATTAATCTGTAAGAATCATAATTTTGGACTTGTCTCCTGTTGCAAGCTCACAATACACAAACCATGATTAAAAAATAGGAAATATGCACTAACTATGATTATGTACTTAGTAGAAAATAAGAAACATGCAGTAACTATGATTATGTACTTGATGATGTTGTCACTGATTATGTAACTATGATTATGTACTTGATGATGTTGTAATCAGTGACTAGGTTTATTTACAAATACATTGTGTAGCATAATGTATACAACTATCCACCTCAAAATGTTAAGATATATTTTACGTTATCATTCATTTTTCATAAACAAAAGATAAACAAATCATTTTCCTTACGGAGCACATGCATCTTACATAACTTGACCAAACTGTGAACTTGTGTATCGTTCATCACTTACATAGGAGGTGAATCCGTTGGCAATTTCTCCATCATAGCAGCTGGTAATGGATATGACAACTCCAGCAGCTCGCCTTTTGCAACATGTAGTCGTTCACAACCATTTCAACCAGCTCTTCATGTTTACAATCATCCTGCAGGTAGAACATTCTACCTCCTCTCGTTTTATCAACCTCAAAATACCATTTTCTGTCTCTGATAGTCCACGCTCCATACACGGATGCCAAACAAACCATGATCTGCATGAAAACCAAAGGGAAAACACATTAATATATATTGATGGATGCCCTGTAGACGGAAACCTTAGACCTCCACACACGGCTGCGGTCTACAGAGTTTAACCAAGTTACCAAATTTAACCAAAAATCTAATACAACCTTCATTACATAACATTAGCATGCAAAACTCTCATAGGGACAAGTTATTAGGCTAATAGAAGTATTTATGAAAAAATATTAACAAAAACAATTTTAGTTTTCGCAGAAAATCGATTTTAAAAAACGGAAAAATCGTAGACCTCCAAACTAGATCGTAGGCGTAAACCTAGCAAAGAGGTCTAAAAAAGGTTAGTTTTGCAATTGACCAAGGGAAGACTTTTTTGAGATCTACAAATGCGGTCTACAAAAAAAGAGGTTAGTTTTGCAATTCATCCAAAAAATTTGGGTAGACCTCACGAACAAAATAGACCTCAACCTGTAGTCTAGAAAAATTATACGGTCTACGGGGTAGGTCTACGAAATCTGTAGACCTCAGACAGGTTACTTTTGCAATTGTTTGAAATTTTTTTCCACCTGTAGACCACTATCGTAGACCTCCTATTATTTTGCGTTGACCAACTTTTTAAGGTAGACCTAAGACTGAGATCTAAAACCTATGTAGACCTCTGACGTAGACGTCAGCTTAAAAATAGTTGTTATAGACCACATTAAGAGGTCTAAGGTAAAAACCAGAACTTCAGTCAATTGCAAAACTAACCTCTTTGACCAATAGACCTCATCTGTAGACCTCAAAAAAAAAGCCCTCCCTTGGTCAATTGCAAAACTAACCTGTTTTCAAAATAGACCTCTGCTTGAGGTTTACGATATTTTTTTTGTTTTCAAAGGGATTATGTAGAACTCTCTACGCGGTCTAACTCCACAGATTTGTCTTAGTCAATTGCAAAACTAACCTCTGCGTTGACCTATAGACCTAACCCTGAGATCTACGATATCGACTCAGATCTGAAAAAACGAAAATGGAGTAAACCACAACCTGGCCGTCGTCTTTAGGGCCGCCGAGGGATGAAACTTTGTCTTTAAGCCTTCACAACCGTTCGGTGGTGAGGAAAGCCACAAACCCGATTTTGAGAAAATCAAGAACTTGAAATATGGAAAAGTAGAATTAGAGAGTTTTTGGGATGAAAATGTGGAGAAAATGATAGTGTTAGAGTGTATGGGATGTGCAATTATGTTTGGAGTATCACAATTACTAGTATCAAGCATTAAAAGCTTGAAGTTAGTTGAAAATGGTGGTTGGGTTCATTGATGAGAGTGGCAGTTTCGTGAATAAGTGTAGAGGATGAGGTTCTGTTGGTCTTCTGGTCGACAACGTAGACCTCATTCGTAGACCACAAGAGATAAAAGTAATGGCATTTTCGTTATTATCTGGACAAAACTGGGTAAAGCCCAAATGAAAAAAACAGCAGGTTACTTTTGCCATTGACCAAATTGTGGGTTAGAAGTGCAAGAATCCCCCAAATTACAGGAAATTAATGTTAGTTCAGTAGTCTTGTCCTATAATAATTGCTTCATGATCATGGTTCGAGTCTCTGCCTGCGGGAGCTTTATTTTTGCGTCAAGCAAAAATTTATGCTGGACCGGCCAAACATGATGAATATATGTATATATTTATATACAATCACTGATATACATTTTTATTGAATTTGAAACATAAATCCTAAGGTCCATATAAATGCAGTTATATTGGAAATTCCAACACAATCCAAAAAGAAATGGCCACAATGTTATTGAACATACGATGATACGAAGATACGAAAGTTCTATTGTAGAACAACCTGTAAGCTAAAACCATCTCGCTAAGAAACCTATAAATTAGTCTTTGCACGAGTTTGTGCTTTTTCTCCTTGATATTGTTTAAAACTATCATTTATCAAAAAATTGTTTAAAACCATCGTTGCAGGTTCGAGTGCATAGACCTGGTTGGAGATGGGGTGATCTCCACATGAAATGCAATTTTTCTATGAAGAAGAGCAGCTGCAACGAATGGAATGCATAACAGAGGAAGCTCTACTCTTTTCTCTAGAATTTATACCATTTCGAAATGGCATTTTTTGCCGATGTAGGCAAAATCAGTAGACTGGATTGATAAATTTATAAGCTGCTAATAATTAATATTTATATGCATCGGAAATATGTTCTTAGGTGATACAAGCACCTCGATCAGCGGCTAACCATCCTGCTAACACCATATGACTAAATAATACTTGTTTAAGTTTACTGATTTTCAGATATTACACTTCTATAACTTAGTCCAGATGAAACTAAACGTCTTCATCAGCGCCTTTTGACACCTCTGGTTTGCTCTCTTTGGAGTCCAAGGAACTCGATGGAATAGAACTTGCTTCTACAGCAACAGCGACTGAGTTTATCGACTCTGGTGGCGCCTCTGAATCCAACTCTGCCGATTCGCTACTTCCGACACATTTCTTACCATCTCCCTTATTGTCAGATTCTGAGACAGAGCACTTAGCTTCCTCTTCGTCAATACCACCAACTGTTGGATCCTGCGTCTCGGAGCTTCCCTTGTTCCCTTCCTCGGAACCTAACGCTGAAGACGAATCCTCTCGTTGATCCTTTGCTTCTTCTTTTTCTCCCAAGACACCAACAGTCACATTATCTTCAGACTGGTCACCTGCATTGCCCATCTGTGTGAGCTCCTCGGGCACAACTAGATTCCCGGACAAATCCTCTGGCTGAACCGAAACGGTTGTACCACTGGCTTCACCATCCTGCATGTTTATCTCGTCTGATGGGTTTTCGGTCCCATGCTCCTCCTGGGAACTTAACGCTGTAGACAAATGCTCTCCTTGACTCTTCGATTCTTCTGTTTCCCCCAAGACGCCAGTGGCCACATTATCTCCAGAATGGTCACTTGCATTGCCAACATTCTCCATCGGTGTGGGCTCCTCAGTTCCAACTAGATTCCTGGACAAATTCTCTAGCTGAACCGAAACGGCAGTACCACTGCCTTCACAATCAAGCATGTTTCTCTCGTCCGATGGGTTCTCAACCTTGTTCTCATCCTCGGAACTCAATGCTGAAGACAAATGCTCTCGTTGATCCTTTGATTCTTCATTTTGCCCCAAGACGCCAGTGGCCACATTATCTTCAGAATCGTCACCTGCATTCTCCATCTGTGTGGGCTCCTCAGTTTCAACTAGATTCTCGGACAAATCCGCTGGCTGAACTGGAACAGTTGGACTGTTGCCTTCACCATCAATCCTATTTCTCTCATCCGATGGGTTCTCGGCGGCCTTTTCTCCCTCTATCACTGGGAGAGACGAAGGGAAGTCTGTACCTTCAAACAAATTTTTAAAGATGTATTTTATTACTTTAAAAAAATCATATTTAGATTTATTTTATTCCCCTAACGTCAACATGCTACAAGATGTCACTGATTGAATGAACGTGCATACCTTGAACTTGAGGTTCTGAAAAACATCCAGTCGAGACATCAGCTATCTCACATTCAGCAGTGTTAGCTTGTTCTTTATCCTCAATGTTCTTTTGCTCAACTATAAGAGACGATGAGCACTGGACATCAGATGGTCCTCCCACTTGCACTGCGGAGGAAGGTAACTGAACTTGAGGTTCTGAAAAACATCCAGTCGAGACATCAGCTGCATCACATCCAGTCGAGACATCAGCTAGTTCTTTATCCTCAGCGCCCTTTTGCTCGGCTATAACAGACGATGAGGGCTGGACATCAGCTAGTCCTCCCACTTGCTCTGCGGAGGAAGGTAACTGAACTTGAGGTTCTGACAAAGATCCAGTCAAGACATCAGCTATCTCACATCGGCCAGTTTCAACTTGTTCTTTGTCCTCAATGTTATTTCGCTCAACTGCATCTACCACCATTGCGGCACTTGTCTCACTATTGCTAATACGATCGACTTCATCAGTTTCAGGATCTTTGGAATCTTCCAGTCCAATGATTACACCATCAGTATCCTTTGGCTCATCCAAACTTAATGCTGTAGATAAATGCTCTCCTTGGCCCTTTGATTCTTCTTTTTCCCCCAAGACGCCAATGGCCAAATTATCTTCAGAATGGTCACTTGAATTGCCGACTTTCTCTATCTGTGTGGGCTCCTCAGTTTCAAGTGAATTCCTGGACGTATCTTCTAGCTGAACCAAAACGGCTGTACCACTGCCTTCACCATCAAGCATGACTTCATCAGCTTCAGGATCTTTGGATCCTTCCACTCCAATGATTACATCAGTAGTATCCATTGGATCATCCAAACTAGTGGGATTAGCTGAATTATTTACTGGCATAACAGAGGTTATTTCTACTCCAGATCCTTCACACAATTGATCTCTTGAATCTATTTGTTCAGCTATTTCTGAGTTTGAAAGCAGTTCAGGCTGTGACAAGTTATTGGCTTTCTCATCCTCGGACTGGATGGAAAATGATGGCTGACACGTCTTCCCTGAAATGCTGCCACTGGAGATGTCCATTTGCTTGGAGTTTTCAACCTCTGATTGTCCTGGCGCATTGTATCTTGGTGACTGGTTTTCTTCAGACTGGAAACCAGCGATGTTGTTTGTTCCTTCCTGAGGTGATGCAAGCTCATCCCGGTGTTCTTGCAAATTTTCAGGTACTAGACCAACCAGGGGAATACTTGCTTGATCCGGTGACAAAGAGTCAGACACTTTTTCATGTGAAACATCTAGGACCTGCCCAGATGAGATATTCATTATTCCGCCATCAGACATACTTTCTGACATATCAACGTGACTTGTATCTGTATGAACCTGTGTCTCTGATTCAAATCCTTCATTTCCCGTCACTTCCATTAGACAAGAAACATCACGCTTAGTTTCTTCACCGTCTGTTACGTTCTCAGAAGGGGAAGGTTTAACAGCATCATCATTGGGTATAATGGATTGAAGAATTTTATCTTTCTCCTCAATCTCAACCGCCAAACCCACCTGAAGTTTGGCATCATCGTCAGTCTCCATCTGTGTGTCAGTACTGTTAGTTTCCCCACCAGCTTTGTAACTATCAACACCTTGAATCGAAGCAGATCCTTCAGAATCTTGTTCTGTATTTGCAGAATCAGATAGAGGACTGCCATAATCCTTATTAACAAGTGATACGGAGTTCTCGTTGCTAGTGTGGGTCTTTTGTCCATCAGTGTGCAGCATTGAAGGTTGAATTGCAACCGAACTTGATCCGAAATTGCAAATCTGATCCTTAGGACTCTCACCCTTTTCACTTGTTGCCTCAACTTCTTTAACAGTCTGGTTTGCGGTCTCAAAAGATTTGTCATCCATATGTGAAATATCATCAGTTCTTCTGGGAGATCCTTGAAGTTCCTCAGAACTTGTCTCAACCTTGGAGTCCACATTCATCTGTTCTACTGGAATCAAGGGGATAGTTCCACTTTGTTCACCATCGATTTTTCCACCCGCAGCTTCAGAAGCTAGATTGGTTTCCTGCTGTTCTTTCAGTAAAGGTTCTCCAGTTGTCGACTCAGAGGCAATAGACTCAGGTAAAACATCTCTTGATGAAGATGATATCTCTTCTGCCAGTAAAATTTTCATATGGTGTGCATCACCATGACTGTTATGTGTGGTTTTACCTTCTTGCGACAATTGTTCTTCAACAAGCTTATTTGCAGTGCAACTCTCAGCAAAAGCATCTCCTGAAGACAGTTGTTTCACAGAAGAATCGGTTTCAACACCAAGGGTCTTGACTAGGTTATTTTCAGCATCCCCAATAACCACAGACAAATCAGTGCCACCATCCTTGTCTGCAACCAGTCCAATCGGATCCCCAGACCCAGGGTTTGGAACATCTGAGACCAAATTTTTCTCCTTGGTCGAGTTATACGAAGATCCGAGATTCTTAAGACCAGAAGTGGCCTCTTCCATTACAATCTGGTCTGCAAGAGCTCCCTCAGACGAAATATTAGCTGGAGAAGTATGGCCTACAGGAATTATTTCAGCCTTTTGAGTAGCATCAGCATCACCGGAGCCAGCGGGATTTACATGCACGCTTGTTTTTCTGGCAGTATCAACACTCTGACACGTCACACCTACGGCATCCTTTTTGTCAGAATCAATGATACACTTCATATCATCAGAATTAGATGTCGGACACCCTATTTCCATTAAGTCTTCAGATATGGGAACACTCATCTCCAAAGTGTGTTTAGTCAGAGAATCATTCAACTTTTCACGTACCACTGTACTAATATCAGAAATATTGCTACCACCATCAACTTCCGCAGAACTAGGAGCGATGCGACAAACCGAATCATCACTGATAGATTTATGGATTTCAGGTGACTCAATTTTCTTTGGAGAACCCTGTTCATTGGAAGCCGAAGGCACTTTGGAGTCTTCAACAACATCAACAGTAAGAGTTGGACCGGCTTCCACGGAATCCTCTGATTTCTGTCCAAACAAATTTTCAGTCATCTTCACTCCTCCAGGAGAAATTGAAGGTTCTATAGATGACCCTGCACCTTTGTTAGAAGCCTCAGCGAAATCAGCATTAGGAGCTGACAACTTCTGCGCATAACCATCATCCATAGGGCTTTCTAAATCAACGGGGACAGTGCCTTGAGATTTATTATTATCAGACCGATCAACAGGGGCCTCAAATCCAGGTGAAGGCTTTACGATTTCATGGAACATCAAAGAAGAATCAGAAACTTTGGATGTTCCTATTCCCATGTTTGGATCGGTTGATGTTGCTACTTTCAGTTTCGGCTCACCCGACTCACCACCCACAGAAATTTCCGAGCCACTGACCATAGTACCTTGAGGTTTTATATCATCAGACTGAGAAACAGGAGCCTTCAAGTCAGATGAAGTTTTAAGAATCTCATCAATCGTCACTGAAGACCCAGACTTTTGCTTTTCGACTGTATCGGAAATGAATGTTTCTACTCCCAAGTTTTGATTGGCAGGTTGGATAATATTCTCTGCCTTGCTGGTCTTAATTATGTGCATATTCATCTGTTCTGAAGATTTATTATCAGGCTCTTGTGTTCCCATTGTTTCAGAAGGCTCCCCAACTTTATGTTTTAACAGGGAAGTCTCCGAAAATATCTCTTTCATGACACGAGCAACATCCGTCACATCAGTAGTTTGTTTCCTTCCAGAACCACCAATAGCTGATGTTTCTTTTCTTTTTTCCTGACTTGTACTGGAAAAAGTGTGTGCCACTGACTGGTTGAGATGGGGCTGTTCTTGGACAACATCAGACTTATTTTTAGAGCCTGATGATTCACCAAGCTTGACCTCAACTAGTGGTGTTGATCTTGTGCTCCGGGCTGAAGAGCCATCAGCAGCAGGTACTAAAGCTTGAACATGTCTCCTTCCTCGGCGTCTAGGAGTTTCTCCTCTGTTTGGCATCTTCCGACCTTGCCTCTTAACAGGCATGGTTGCAGGAGAAAGAACACTGGCGCCTTGAGCTGCAAAGACGACATTGCATAATGTAAAAATTGAGAATCCAACGCAGGTGAAGTAAGATTCGATGCTTCAAAAATTTATACCTTCAACCGTAGAACAAGCAAGGTGGGGACTCAATGGCCGATTAGCATCTAAAGGTGCAGTTGTCATGGTAGATCCATCAGAAACAGATGAGACACTTCTCTGGTTTTGACCTGGGGGACGAAATGCCAAAAAATGATGCTGTGAGATTTTCGTAAACAATATATTCTTAGGCATGTATGTGGAAAAATATTAAGCGATGTGCGAGTTATATACCTAAAGAAGTAGAGCTTGGTAAGTTAACTGGCTGTTTTTCTCCTGAACCATGGTTTTTTCTCAAATCTGGAATAGAAGGCTTGTTCTTTACAGCAGCAGTTTTTTTCCCCAAAGAATCCTCCGATATGTTTAGCGAATGTACATGTGATCCAGAACCAAAACCAGGTGGTGCATCTAGATCTGCTACTACATCTAGACTACTCTCCTGTAGGGAGACAGCAGGAGAGGACTGCACAGCAGTAGTATCAGAAGGCACGGAAGGCGCTGGCTGAAGATTTGAAGTACTTCCGTCAATAGGTTTAGGGAGTGCTGTATTGATCTCAGCAGCAGAGACCGGAACAGTTACTAAATTTGACGCTACGAGGTCACCAGGTGCAAGGGGATTAGTTTTCTGAGAACCTATGGAACTGCTAGCACCATGCAACATACTTTCCACTCTCCTTCCCCTTCCTGCGCCACGTCCCCTGCCTCTTCCCCTGCCCCGACCTCTTGTTGGCATTGGAGTAGAACCGGAGGGTGGAAGTGGTTGAAAACCAGGAGGAACAGATAAATCAGGTGAAGTAAGAGGAATAGACGAACCAGAATGAGAAGCTGTTCCATCCTTTCCTCTAGGGATAACAGCATCAGCACCAATAATTGCCAATGATCTAGCATCCCCTGTAGCCTGTGACTGTAACCCAGCTGGAACTGATACAGATAAATGATTCAACGTTTTATCGGCTCTTTTTGGCCTACCACGGCCCCGTTTTACAGGTTCCCGTTTTATAGGTTCCGTTACTTCTTTCAGTGGCTGCTGTAAATTCTGTAGAGGTTCCACGGATTGTGAAGTCAGTGCCGATGCCAGAGATGTGGGGAGAGTTGTGTCACCAGTGTTACCAGCCAGAATATCTACTTTATCATTTGCCGAGCTCTTCTCACCAGTGTTTCCCGCTAGAAGATCTGATGTAGCATTTGCTAAGCTCTTTTCACCAGTGTTTCCAGCCAGAATATTTGACGTATCATTTGCCAAACTCCTTTCATTTCCTTCTTCATTGCCTCTGGGAGAATCAGTTGACTCAGTCTGACACATCTTCTCAAACTCCTCCTCTGTAAGTTGCTCTTCATAAGATCGAACCTTGTGAAGTTGAAATTTTTGCCACATTAAAGCAATAAGCAAAGGTACTACCAGTAGTATCATAGTATAGTAGATAATTAAATGTTAAAAGAAGTTTACTCAACAAACCTCTCTTGCTCGTTTGCCTCTTCCATAGTGCTGAGTATCGAGGACTACCGAACCACCCTTGCGCTTCATGCCAACATTTGTTTCTACTGCAACCATCGGAACATTATTTGTTTTCATTGCTTCATAAAGCAGTTTTAAGTCATCCTCAGTAACAAGGCGAGAGGGGAAAGGTGGTGGTATATGTGCAAAACTTGTTGACCCTTGCCCTTGTACCAAGCTCTTCCATGTTTCCTGCAGGTCAATGGTAGATCACATAAACATCATGAAACCAAATAGAAAAAAAAACCAAAATAAAGTTATTAAGAACAATACCATCTCATCTTCTTTTCTTTGTTTGTCGATGGATTCAAAGATATCGATCTCTGACTCCCTAGAAAGACAAAAAATGTCAGATCAACAAGAAAGTTCAGAAAAAAAAACAAAACAAAAATCGAGATGTATGGAAATGTAGAAAGAGTTACTTCTAAGAGCAAGACAGATGAAACTCAACCTATCATTTAACATAGGAACACATAAAAATGCCTAGTAGATGATATGTGGATAGAAAATCTTGTATGGAAAATGATAGCAGTAATCATAGTGCACGATTTAAGGAACCAAATAAAATCAAATATATACACAGAAAAAGCTAAGTCAGCAGCCACCTTCGGGCGATAAGATCGTTTAAGGCATCATCGTCCAACACTGGAGCAGCCTCCTCTTTCTTTGGCTCACGCAATAGGGACTCCAAATATTCCTTACGATCTTCAGCACTGTTACAAAACAACAAAATTGATTACATTTGAAAGTTGGTAGCTAGTACTTTTGAAGCAAAAACTGGATCTCTCTCAATTCACCTTGTGTTGTTGTCGAAGAAGCCAGCAGTTATACTTTGGTTAGCAACTCCAAGTTTATGCTCAGCTGAAGCTCTAACCTGCTCCTCGACAGTATTGACCTTCGGATAAAAGGAAGAACGAAAGACAGCCAGTTCAATTACACATATACGTCTCAGTGGAAAGGAACAAGCAGAGAACAAAATAGAATGCAACAAGGCTACATATTAAGTCATGGCAAACAACAATAGATTTAGGATAACTTCACTACATTAAGAAGCCACAAAGATTAAATGAAAGAAAATAAAGAGCACATTTCTTTTCAGAAATTTGAATTCGTTGCAGACAAGAATAAACTAACCGTTTCAAAACGAAGAACAAGAACATCTCTTTTCTGGCCAATCCTGTGCGCCCTTGCTTGAGCTTGTAGATCAACCTGAAATATATATAATAAATGCCTTTCAAAGTCCGAATTGATGGCCATGCCATTCCAGTATAACTTGACATGAATGACTTTTATGTTTAACCTGAGGATTCCAGTCGGTGTCAAATATTATTACGGTATCAGCAGCTTGAAGATTCACTCCTACTCCACCAGCCCGTATGCTGAATTCCCATAAAAAACACAGCAATCACATACAAATATTTATGTGTTAAAGCAACTTTACTATGACCAGCAGAGAGTTTAATGATAGCATTTACAACTTGTAATTTCTTAATGTAACTATAAGTAACATGAATCATTTTGGTAAAGCATAGAGATAAAGAAAGCCAACCATGAAACATCATGTATTACCTCAACAGAAAAATGAAATATGGCGAATCAGACTTATTGAAATTGTCTATAAGGCCGCCGCGATCACCCCCTGATGTGTGCCCATCTAACCTAAGGTATCTGTAATCCTTGAATTGGAGGTAATCCTCCATAACATCAAGAAGCCTAGTCATTGTGGAAAAGAAGAGAACCTGCCAAAAATTTATGTAAAAAAAGGTAAGAAAACACTTCTATGCAGTCAACTAAGGGTCAACATGCAACAGAATAAAAAACCATGGCATCATTGTGCATTTCACTACCAAGGTAAAGGAAATATGCTAGCCGAAATATTTCCAGCTCACTACCAAAACTAGTAATGCTTCATTCAAACAAAGCATATATAGATTAAATTCTTGTGATGTGCATATCACAATCTTTCAAAGGCGAGGGAATTGGAAGGTACTTAAGGACATTGCTTATAATCTCATATACAGCTTGAATAATCAGCTGTTGCTTTGTTTAGCACTGAATCATCAAAACTAGTCCATTGCCATGATAAAGAAGAGGAAATCATTACCCGATGGTCTGTTGCTTTGAGTTTGGGCAAGAGCCGGTCTAACATCTCAAGCTTCCCACACAGTCTAATTACCGGAGGCAGGAAATGATCAGGAATTAAGCTATTGACCTACAGAGAGTGATCCAAGCAGGCCGTTCATCAGAACTTTCCCTGTGCCCTACGCATTGTCGTAAAAAACTTCCGGAATATGAAAATATTACCTCCTCTGTATGAAGTTGACTGAGATATGGATGATTGCATATATTCCGAAGCTCCATTACTGAGTTGTGTACTGCACGAGACTGTAAAAAGAAAACTAATTAAGAGATCACTCAACATTATCACAGAACTGACAATACGAAGAGCACAAAACAGCACCTTCACATTTCCAAGCGAGCCCAGATTATCTTCAACCCTCTTCATCAGCAGCTTCTGATATGCAGAAGCCTCGCACCGTATGAGTCTCTCTATCTTCTCAGGAAGTTCATTCTCAACCTACCACAGTAAATTAGCTGATAAAATTAAATTTAAACTATTTAAGATGCATACATTTTATCAATATCCTTCAATATCACTAACAGAATGAAAGCTATACTAAAACGACAAGGTTGGAGTCTACAAAAAGGAAGAAAAAGGAGAAAAATGATGCACAGAAGATTATCCTATGAAGAGTTAGCATGTTATTGACCTTATGTTTCAACCGCCGAAGCACGAATGGTCGAAGAACTTGGTGAAGACGATTGATGATCAGCAGATTCTCCTCTTCTGATAGCAACGCCTACTCAGTGGCATTCATAAGCTTTTAGTTAAAACCATGATGTCTTACGATTAGTATACCCGTTATTATCTGAATAACAAGACAGTCATGCTACCTCTTCAGCAGAATTATCTCCGTTACTTTGAAATGGTTTGTTGAACCACTGTGAAAAGTCTTCTGACGAGTTGAATATATTAGGCAACAAGAAATTAAGCAGAGCCCACAATTCTTCCAGGTTGTTCTATAAGAGATATAACATACTAAGGTGATGAGCAATGTCAACAGCATTAAAAAGCAACAAAAAGTGAAATCAAGAGAATGTGTCAAAATAAAGATGAGGAAAGGAAAATGTACCTGCAATGGTGTCCCAGTTAACAGGAGTCGGTGGGAGCTAATGTAGTGTTTCAGGTCTGCATTTAACTTGCAAGATGCATTCTTTATGCGATGTCCTTCGTCGATAATAATGTAATGCCAATGGATCTTGCTTAACTTAGGCCTATCGTGTTTGTTCATTAGATATTCATATGTTGTCAGAAGGACATTGAACTTCTGATGAACAATTTGCTCCCTGCAAATATCAAAGAAAAAAAAAAGGTGAACCTTAATATCTGATACATAACGACAACAGTAAAAGAACTTTGCTTCTCAGTACTTGAATAGCTTGCGTCTCTCCTCCGGAGGGCCGCAATAAACAATTTTTTGAATTGACGGGGCCCAGAAGTTAATTTCTGACACCCAGCCAGGCAGCACAGAGGATGGTACAACAACCAAGAAGGGACCTCTATCATTCTTTGCCTCCATCAGATGGCAAATCAACGAAATAACCTGCAAAAATAAAAATATTATAACCTGTGCAACGAAGGCATCTTATAACCAATATAAAACTAAACTACCATGTGCGCATATGTACCAACTTGGGTGCCATATAATACCTGAACAGTTTTTCCGAGACCCATCTCATCAGCTAGAATACCATTCAAATGGTTGTTGTACAGGGAAAGAAGCCACCTTAGGCCATTCATTTGGTACCTAAGAAATCAGAATTTGTAGTTGTAAGCATCCTACGACAAACTCTTACCAAAAACTAGGAGGTGCTCAAATGTGTATAGTAGCCAAAAAAGGGAGGTGTGATCCTCTTACTCTCTTAATTTTCCACCCTTCAGAGAAGCTGGCTGCTCGTTAATGTTTTCTTTTATGCTGCAAAAACAATTTGTTGCAAGGAGAGGAATGAGGAAAGATGCTCCAAAAAAACCCTATTTTACATACAGCATAACCACCATTTTGGATAAAAAGTGAAGCCCACAAAATAACAATTCAGATATGAATCAGAGAACTATGAAGTTAACAGTTCGTTTTGGATGATGTTTGGCAGTTATGATAGGAAGCAGCATTTTTACCTGTGGGCCATCAAGTAGTACTTTTCATTGCTTTCCAGGTAGTGCTGTGTAGCATACAAATTGTAACCACATCAGAAATAGAGGGAGAACACTAAAAAAAATATGAAATCTTGAGAAAGATGACTTGCCTTTGCCTGGTCACTCTCATCTTCATTTTCAACTGAGGTTTCATCCTCGACAGCAGTTGACATATGTGCCTCATCTGCCTCATTCTCAAATCGACTGGTCAAAGATTTTGCCTCCTTTAACTTTGATCCAAGTTTTTGAAGGTACTTCTCTGTCTCTTTGAGAAGTTGCTTTACTCGATCTGACTTGGCATCCTGCATATTCACCAATCTACTTAATTACACAACATATAGGAAGTAACTTAACCCTATAACATTCAAAATTATTTAGGAGGCCAAACCTGCACCATACGAAGATAACCCTCCACATCATTAATCTTTAGCAAATTAATCTTCTCCCGTTGAATTTTGTCAATCTTTTCACGATGAAAGCGTTCTTTTCTTTTGTGGAACTCCTTCACATATCTATTGAAACCCTTCCACCTTTCTCTCCTAGCTTTGAATACATCCTCTAGCCTTTCCCTAAAGCAAGGTTCAATCAAATTATATGTTTTCAGAAAGTTAAAATTAAATATATTAGTGTTCTATTAGGCTCATAATAGAGTCAAGCAGAAGTAAAAGAATAAAAAGAACAATGGATTAGGATTAGGATAGAAAACTAATTGCACATACTTGTGAACTTCTATCTCCCCAAAGAACTCCTTTTGCCTCTCACGAATTCTCCTTTGTCGCTCTTCCTTCATCTTCTGCTCATACTTCTCAAGCTGCTTAATTCTACGGCCATGCTTATGTTTCTTATATGACTTGAGATTCTCAACATCAGTTGCAATAGGTTTGAAGAAGTTGTGAAGAAACTCACTACATCAACAAATCAACAAAGCACTAGCAGCTGAGAGATGATACGACAGGTTGAATATATACACATAAATACAGATAAAGGTATAGCAATAACAAAATAGCTAGTTGTATGTCTTGTAAGCTCGACTTAAAGGGATAATAGGCGTAAAAGGGTGCTAAAACAACCATCAAATGAGCATACAGTCAAGCATTTTGAAACCAAATTACATTCATTTACCTTCTCAAACGCCGTTGAAGATTCAACAGCTGAAGCTTTTTCAATTCTATTACATTCTTGGTCTTTGTAGATATATCCTCCGACGAACTGACAGATTCCTGCATATTAAGAGTCGTAAATTAGTATAACCTAGATCCAAAAAATAACCAAATAAAGTATGGACACAAGTACAACTAGTTTACTTCAAATGTGTGGGCTGTTTCGTCAAAATGATTCTAAGGCCAAAACAAACAAGCCTGGGAGTTACTTCAAATATGAAAGCAAGGGTAAATGTCAAATACTAACGTGTTCTATATAATGAATCAGATTAATGTTCCTTCATGGAAGTAGGTAAACAACTAAGGTTCATTTAGGTTCAAATATTTGTTTTAAATAACACGTTAACTCGATTAAAGTACATATTGAGGTCAGTCCAAAGGTAACAATGGGTGGAGGTCAAGCTTCTGAACTATTGATCTGTTCTAATCACAAGAAAAAGATACAGGAACCACCACAAACAGAAAGCAACATGCATAAAGTTGAACACTGAAAAAAATTAATCTGTAGTAAGAAATAAGAGGGGTCGCAAACTGTTCAGAAAAATTATTAGACGAATGAAAGGGCAAGAAAGAGACCTTCAACTCATTGAACCGTGCACCAATTGCCTGGTCTACTTTCTGCTGTTTAAGACCCCAACTCCGTTCAGCCAAAAGTCTCTTATTCTGATGATCCATAATCCATTTCTGTGACATGGTGTATTTAGGCGGCGGTTGCATGTTACCTTCCTCTTCATCTGAAAGGTGACATACATCCATGTTAGAAAGTTATCAACCACATTTTTACAAAGTGTTCCACTCATATCAACAATTAACTTATCTAAGGTATCCACTAACCTGAAGCATATAATTCGTCGACTTGATTAGCGGAAGCGGAGACGTCATTATGGTTAGTAATTCCGGCCCACCCTACCATCTCTGACGGTGCGTGTTTGGTTAGACCACCTGAAGAGGAAGCCAGCTCAGTATCACTACCAGAAACCTGAATTTGCGCCTGAGAGTCTGGAATTTTAGATGCCAGAAGATGCTTTTGTCCATCAGAAAATACAGCATTTGAGATCTTGTCCTCTAATTGTGGCATCTCCATTTCTTTTGATGAGAAGTCCATTTCAGCCAATCTTCCAGAGGGATTATCTATTCTTGCTGATGAAGCAGAGACTTCGTGAATGCTACCCGATTCACTGAGAGAATTTGTTCTTCCTTTCTGCTCAAACAGTTCTCTGCGGAAACCATCTGTATGGCAGAGCAATTACAATCCACGGAAAAGCATGTCGAAAATGGCTAGCAAGTTACACAAGGGAAAGCAAAATTTACCATCTTTGGGGAAAATATTTCCAAGGGCGATATCGATGTGCAGTTTTTTTGGCATCAAACCGTTTCTAAGGGAAGGAAATTAGTCAGATCTTTTCAAAGTAACAACTACGCTATATTGACTAAACAAGAGGTTTAGGAAACAGTAAAACTACCTGAGAGCTAAGAACACAAGGCACTGGGCTCTGAGCTGCTTCAATTGCTGCTCTTTAAAAAGTGGACCTGAAGGCAGTAAATCCTCTGCTGCGACAGATTTTCCAGTATCTCTATGAGCTGGAGGCCTGGTTGCTGCGACGTCACTGTTTTGCCAGCCACCCTGCCATAGAAATGAACATTAAGAGGGCATTATTTCCAACTAGGCTGGCAGAAAGTAAAGAAAATGAGTTTTTATAGAACTTAAGACATGGTAGGTTATATGCATATAAGATTCAAAACCTCACACTGAATGCAAGGTATTGACAGAATTGGACATTTCTTGGAAAAAAAAATTACCAAGGGAAATTCAAGTGAATTCTTCATATTTAAAATACTGGAAAAAAAAACGGATCAAATACTTATACATTGAGGCAAATGCTTCCGCAAATAACTCATCAGCAAAAAACTGCATCTCACTATTTAAATTTGTAAAATGTTTTGTGCATGAATAAGATTAGCGCAAAGTGGTATTATGTAAGAAACTTCAGTCAGAAAAGCTCATCAATATGATTCAATTAGCAAAATGTTATAAATACGGTGTGTAATGCAAACTGGTCCCAAAAAAAAAATGTAGTGCAAATGTATGTACCTGAGGAGTCGTGTATGCATCTGTTGAGAACCCGGCATGCAAATTCTCGTTGTTACCTGAGTTTTCAGAAGCAAAAAAGTACACAATTAAACTAACCAGTTAACATGCATGCATAAATAACAGAATTATAGGTTGCAAAGCTCTGTTTCTTTTCTTTGAACGGAAAAAGCTGTTTCTTAGCTTTCAAATTATACCCAAAAAAGTTGTGTTTCTTGATTTAACAAGATTATTCTCCAAATTCATCCTTACCTGAATTACCAGGCATCTCCACTTTGCTTATTTTTCTAGTCTGGTCATCAACTGTCCCGTGAGTATCAAATATCTGAGAATTATCCATATTTTGCTCCCACGAAAATGATGATTCACCCCTCTTCCTCTTTGCACTTGACTTCGCATCTCTTTGATTCATTGCCTCACTCCTGTCGTGAGATTGAGAATTTCCCGACTTAGAATCCAAGCTGGATGGACTCTCATGATCAAAGGATCTATTACTTCGAGTTCCAGACCCTTGGTAAACGGCTTGTGATGCACTGTTTGATCCACCAAGCTGCCTACCAGAAGGGAATGCATCATATTTTGCCATATCATTTTCAACCAGACTTGCTTTGGGCTCATTGCTAACTCCAGCAACTTGGGAAGACCCTAAGGCAGAAAATTTAACAAAACAATCAGACCAGCACAAGAATATCCACATAATACACAAAACTCTAAAACTCAACCATAAGAGGAGAGATGGATATACCAGCCAAATGTGCAGAGCCAGAATCTTCCATTTGGGTACCACCAGCGTGAGGAAGACGTGATGATTTCAAAGCTTCAATGTCAAGACCATGTTGGTTGACGACAGTCTCCATGGCCCTTGAAGTTTTGTACAGAAAATAACAGAAGCTCTAAAGTCAAAACATGAACGATAGAGATCATTCTCAAAAGCATGAAACACAGTTTTAAATCCAACTAACTATATGCCACATTGCAACTGCATTACGACCTTTATGACAGCTTATGTACTAAACCAGCAGCCAAATCTTTGCAAACAAATCAGGACAGAAAATGAGAAACCCACCAAAGATTCGAGTTAAATAAAGGATACAGCATACGATTCAGTGATACAAAACATTTTCAGTAACATGTAACCCCACTTCCTTATATTATATCATAAGAATGTAACCACCTCTTAATCACCATATGCTATTACCAAACGACTAGTGGAAAGCAATACCTCGATATGACTTGATACGGCATTGAGTGTTCCTTCCCGCTGGTTTTCATGTGCTGCAATATCTGAAGTAATCAAAAGAATAAAAATAAAAGGTTAAAGCACATGATCAAAGCTTTTAAACACAATCGAAGCATACATCGGGTTAAGCCACCTAACCACATAAAGTTTTGTTGCCAGCTTTGAAGGTTCATCTTTAGAATCTTGAATGAGCTTGTGCAGAAACTTAGCTGCCTCCAGCTCAATATTATGTGACGACGATGCCATCTTAATTGAAATTTACACCAGCATGTACATCATGTGAGAAACCCCTGCATCAATGAGCATGCAAGCATATTAATCATACAAGTGAGAACAAAAGCGGAAGCTATCTACACGTGAAGACATGGCATCAAAGCAAGCTAAAATCTGACAACTTTAAATCCAGGGACCATGCAAAAAGAGCTCCTTTCCCAAATCAAAGTAAACCCAGAGGAGCAAGAATCACAGAATCCTGCTCATCCAGGGACGGTTAAGGTTTTAGCAAAGGAACACACACCAAAAAAGCATCTTTCTGATAGTGACGGAGAGAACTCAAATGATAGAAATTGACGAAATTGAGATCAAAACGGTCTTAAGCAAAGCTGTGCGTTACATAATTGCTTCGTAATTAAGCTAAATTCCCCGAAAAGGGAGAAAAAGTCGACAACTTTCTCCAGGAAATGGAAGCGAATCACACAAGGGTCGGAACAAAACCCTAAAATAGCGATCGAGCAGCAAAGAGGGCAAAGGAAGAGCTTTTACCCAGTGAGAGATCTGCCTGAAGGAGACAAAAGCACAAGTAAAATTTCAGGCGAGAAACGTTGTGAGCTGAGAAGTGAAGCCGAGAGGCGAAATGGGCGTCGTCGCTGTGAACGATGGGGAAAGCGCACAGAAGCGACTCACAATTGCTACTTGTACTGTATTCCTAAAATTGAACTCTTTTTAACTTTGTTAAAATAAAAAAAATTAAAATATCTCAACACAATATTTCCCCAACAATTTTTTATTATCTGAAAGTTAAACCATGAGTTAACGAAGTAAATCGGAAAATTACATCTGATTATCTGAATTTACATGTTCATAGACCGTAACAAAAATAAATAATAAATTCCTTTTTTCAACATATTATAATAATTTTTTTCTGTGATTTCTTGTTTTGACGAAAAATAAATAATATTTTCTTGTTACATATTTTTTGTTTATATACCGCAGAAAAAATATGGGGATCGGTAGTAGTTGGAATTTGGAAATATATGTATGTGTATTTTTTTCATTTTGACAATTTTAATTCTTTATTTTATACCCAACATTGGATATTTCAGTGTAATTAATTTTCAATTGATCGGAGAAAAAAATAATAACTTCAGAGCTAAGAGTAGATGAAGAAGACGTGACTAATAGTGACTTCCCAAAACCATTTGTATTGCGCCAACGAACAAATATCTCTTCCTCAATCATTCTCTTCCTCCGATCACATCAGAAACTTAGCATCAACACTAAAAGCTCATGGAGTATCCACGCAACCACCAGCATCACCGTCACCAACAACGCGACGACGGCGATGAAGATGATCGTCGATCCTTCGGGCAACCACCGCCACGCAACAACTTCGCCGATGGTCCGCCACCTCCTGGCCTTTACCAGCCACAACAGCCTCACTTCGATCCCTACGGTCCTTCGCCGCCAGCTCCGGCGCCGTACCGATCAGAACCTCATTTCGATCCCTACGCGCCTCCTCCGCCAGGACCGGGCTCTTACCGATCAGAGCCTTATATGGAAGCTCCCGCGCCGCCGCCTCCATTTGGTCAAGTGAGCCACGTCGGCCACCAGAGCTCCAACGAAATCAACCCACCGGACCACCACCGCCGTTACGGAGGTAACCCACCGCCTAATTCGTCCCTAGGAAGCTACGGAGACCAAGTGAGCCATGTCGGCCACCAGAGCTCCAACGAAATCTACCCACCGGACCAACGCCGTTACGGAGGTAACCCACCGCCTAATTCGTCCCTAGGAAGCTACGGAGACCAAACTGGCGGCGTTGCTCACGTTTCTCACCACACCGGCGGCGTCAGTCACGTTTCTCACCATAGCTCAAATCAGACCGGCCCACCTTCTGGTGCCCACCACGCCTCTGGTGAGAACCGTCTGCCTGGTAATCTCGCCGGACTCGCCGGAAGGTCAACAGTGAAGGTGTTTTCCAAGGCGGATCCTGACTACTACCTGACGATCAGAGACGGTAAGATCATTCTCGCTCCATCCGATCCATCTGATCAAGCACAGGTATTATCATCTCTCACCTTCATCCACCAAATTCATCTGTTTTCCCCCAATTCTTTGAACTTGTTACTGTAACAATTGCAATTCATAGGAACTCAATTTGTTTCTCATTGGAAAGTCTGATTATTTTTGAAATTATGCATAAATTTTGAATTTTTCTTCAATTGAAAGATTGAATCTTTTTACTTAAGAATTAGAATTATCTTTGTGGTACAAATTGTTTCCGGATCCTCTGTTTTTGTCCATGTTCGGCCGCTTCATAGACAAAAACAGGAAGAGTTGTATAGGATATGATCCTGATGTATTGTTTCCATTGATTGAGTATGTTTGTTCAAGCAAGAAACTTTATGGTCTAAATGTATGTATTTGTTATATTCATGGATTGTTTTGAATGAGCAGCACTGGTACAAAGACGAGAAGTACAGCACTAAAGTGAAGGACGCAGAGGGTTTCCCTTGTTTTGCACTTGTAAACAAGGCCACTGGTGAAGCCGTGAAGCATTCTGCAGGAGCTGCCAAACCTGTAAGCGTTTTTCTTCCTCTTTATGTCCTTTTGACTTTCATTATATCTTTGGTTAAATGTTTATTCATCTGTTCTTGTTGTATCTTTGTGTATTTTTTGCAGGTGCATCTAACTCGATATGATCCTGATAGGCTTGATGAGTCTGTGCTGTGGACACAGAGCAAGGATATGGGGGAGGGATATAGAACAATAAGGATGGTGAACAATGTGAGGCTAAACGTTGATGCATATCATGGTGACAAGAAATCCGGTGGTGTTCGTGATGGCACGACTATTGTCCTCTGGGACTGGAACAAAGGCGACAACCAGCTCTGGAAGATCTTTCCTTTTTGTAAGCTTTGCTTTAACTTTTTTATTATGTTTGCTTTGTTTAGAAAGTGATCCTCTATTTGGATTTTAACTGACTTTTGTAAATGCAGGAGATATGGCGGTTGGAGAGTGTGGTAAAAAAGTGGTTGTGTTGTTGTGTGTAATGAATAAGGAAAAAACAAATTTGAGATTTGGTATATTTGTTGATGTGTCTTGTAAGACTTTGAGTTTGTGCCGTTGGCATTTGTAATCTACTTTTGTTTGTATCTCGAGTGTACATTCTTACTCGTACATAGACTATATGTGGTCTATACCTATTATCTATTTTGAAATCTTTCATTTTGTTTTAATTTGATAAAATCTCGAAATTTCTAGTGAAAAAAAAGAAAAGAAAACCAAACTCTGCTTTAAATATGTAATATGAGGCAGTCAACAAGAAAAAATTGTTAGAAACAATTCTTAAATGATTGAAATATGAAATTGGTATATCTTTAACCCAAAAAAAGGAAATTGGTATATGCTAGAGAAAGACGTGTGTCTTCTTTAAATCACAGATTTTTATTGAACTATCTATGTTGAAAACTATATTTTAGCCGACTTGCGCACACGCTTACGTAGACACACATTCTTCAATTCTTTTAGGTAACTCAAATCTGGCATTATATACTTAACTATTAAGCTTGACCAATTAGCCAGCATGTGTTTTGTCATTTGTGCTGTGCGTAGTAAGGTCCTTGCTTCGTTGGTCAAGACTCAAGACCATCATGGGCACTAGCACTTGCGGCCGGCTATCAACACGTGTACGGTACAACAACCGACTTTTTTTTGTTTAATTTTGTTTTGTAAACCAAACCGACCGACCTAAAACAAAACACAAAATAATAGCTGAGATTGATTTTTCTTGATAAGTTTGAAATGTTCAAAGTATTTTGAGTATCTAGCTTAGCTAATCATCAATACAGACGAAAACTATCTGGACCAAGATCGTATAATTTATCCAAGGTTTAATTATGACCAAAATGATAGAACATATTGGTTTGGTTAGACCAAACTCAAACCGATAAAAACATATAAACGTTTGGTTAGACCAAACTGAAACCGATAAAAACATGCATATAAATGTTTGGTTAGACCAAACTCAAACCGATAAAAGCATATATACGAAGTTTTCATTATTCCAACATATACGATACAAAACGTCTCCCACACATTGTTTGCCCTTCCCACCATCAAGACGTGCTTGAGTTAGGAATCTTCACAGGTCCTTCAACATTGTTTGATATCACATCAGGCAGTTCAAGAGCCACGATCGGGACATCGTTCACATTGGTTTTATTTGTTGGTTGGTTCTCAGTAGATGTGAGGTTTGGCAAATCCGTTTTCTTCGGGTCGTGATACATCATGTATAATATCATCTGAGCTACACCGAATAGAAAACCGAGAATGTTTGGCATCTGAAAGAAAAAACCAGTAAAACATTAGAGATTAGTAAAGTAATTACTTAAAATGAATAAGTTAAGTGAAAATGTAATCAATTAATATTTCATTTACAGCAATGAACTTGTCCTTGATAAGAAGTCCATAAAAGAACCACATGACGGCGTTAAGAGTGAGAGACAAGGAGAGAAGAAACGGCATGTACTCCACACTCTTTGTCCTTATGACCTTTCTCTGCAACAAGTAACACGTCGTTTTTCAAACAATGAAACGGCACGATCTTTTATATATAGTATGTAAAAGAAGCTAATGAATGAATCACCATGACGCTCAAGGGAGCAGCAAAGACTGCGAGACTGTAAGCAGCACAAACCCATCCAATGGTTGAGACGCGGTGTTGTTTTGGAACCAAAAGATTGACCAGAAGAATCAAGAGACCAAGCCCACCGATGTTGCATATCACTATCAACTTCAACGTAGATATCTGACACGTGTACATCCACTTTAATTAATTACATATCCATATAGATAAGGAGAAGATCAAAATCAAGTTTACAGAAATAGAAACTGCTAGCCTACTAGGGATGAATATATAAACTAATCTGAGCCAAAAATGTTCATAATGAAAGCGAATAAACTCTGTGTTTCATCACATTAATCAAATAAGTATTTATACTTGTAACTTGTTTTATTGTTCAAAATATAAAATCAACACAAATTTAATCAAACAACTGACTAAATCAAAAAAATTATGTAATGTTATGAAATTTTAAACCGAATAAAAGGAAAACCTATAATAATCAAGCCACACCAAATCATCCATGAAAGCTTTTTCCTACTAAATAATAAAAGAAAAAAAGAAATATGAACCTTGGCCTCTTTGGGTGCGTAGATGATATAGAGAAACAAGTAGGAGATTTCGATGAAACATCCAAAGGTGTTAATGCTAATGATGAGATAAGCATGTGTCTTCATTATTCCGTAGTACAGAAGAAGAGTTGCACTTGCAAGTGCACATATGTACGGAATCGCCTGAAACCCTTTTGATGTTTTCTTCTTGTATATTCCATAGAACGTTGGCCTATATATTAAGATATGTTTGATCAAATACTTACATACAATACAGAAAGTTGTTAATATATATTATATTTCGAGTCTTGAAATTAGACACTTCATAGATGTACGTGTCTTACACTGGAGATAAGAATACCCCGAAAGACACAATATTGCCTGAAAACAAAAACCACCCTAAGATTAGTATTATCGCAATTTATTTTGTTTATATATGTTTAAGTAATATTACAAGTTCGTGTAAGTATATATGTTCATATAGTTAAGCATATGGGTAATATATATCTATATATGCATGTATTGTCGATTGAGAACATAAGATATGTTAGTTTTGTCGATGATTTTTTGTTACGGTTTCTTAAGAAGCATGGAAAAATATTGGGAATTATTTACCTAAGAGACCAAAGAGAAAAGCAAGTTGATGAACCTTGATGAACACCATTCTTCACTTTTCTCTCTTTCTCTCTCTCTCTCTCTGAGTCTTGCTTGTTTACGATTGCTTTGAGTTTGGTTTCTTCATGCAAACCCCCCATTTTATATTGGTCTAGCAGGAGAGTGAGTCATTCTTACTTTTACGTTAAATTTTCTTTCTTTCCCTTTTTAAACTAAACAGAAGAGTTTGGTTCAAGTTTCCTTGGGTTTTGTTTTTTGTACAAATGTTTCACTCAGGCGCAAAGAGAAGTTTTGCATGGCACTAAATTGTTGGTGACTTCTGATGTACTTGCCAACCAGCAAATTCGTGATATTTCGTTTTACCAAAACCAACTTTAATCCAAATATAATACTCGATTTGGTCGACGAAACCATAACTTGTATATACATATATTTTGGTTAATATCACAGTGACAAGTTCCATTTATTTGAAATCATAAGAGACTACTACAACGATGTACGAACTATATAGGTCCGAAAATTTACGAGAAAAATCGACTAGGAATTTTCTTGCAACGGAACCGTTCATATGTCTCTCACAGTTTTGCATCCTTAATTAGGTCGTTGTAACATTTCGAAACAATGTTTTTGGAGCGACATATTATCACTTAATTCGTTTTGCAATGTTTTTAGACATGTTTCATTTTTGTCACAAAATTTCACGACAACTAGTTCCATTGCAAGTTTTTACTATCTTTAAAGCAAAGGTTTTGTTGTAATGTATATATGACGACATATTTTTGGAGATCATCTAGAAGACTAGAAATAAAATTCGTAATGTGGCGGGAATTGTAATCACCGACTAGCTAGCGATCTCTAGTGGTAATCAGATACGTACAAATAGAAACGAAACGAATACTTAAATAAAACTGAAATACATGGATATAAAGAATTTGGCTACATCGCTTGCTCCACAAATGTAGAGCAGACCCACTAAAAATCAAGTTTAGAGTAGACCCACCAAAAATACTCACGAGACTTTCTACGTTCTCTACTTTATTACCAAATTGTTTCACTCATGCTTAATGAATCTCCTATATGCCCATACTGAAGTATACAATCTTTGTATATTCTCTAGATTATTACACTAGTTGAACATAATTTGCTATAAGAAAAATAAAACACTCGAGTCCATCAATAGTTACACACTTAATTAATTAATGAATCAGTGATCAATGTGATAATATTCTCTATGGTGTTTCAGTTGTTAAGGTTTTTTTTTTCATTGTGAGAAGTTAAAAGTAAGAGTGTTATTAATTATTATCATTTGGAAATTCTGTTAAGAAAAAGACAAAACAAGTCGATTCATGATTTGAGCCCAACCTCATAAAATACTGCAACCTCATAAAATTGTGTGTGAACCTTGAGACTTGTGGAGGAGTTTAGTGATTTAATGACATTAGCTTAACAACAAATAAAAGGTGATGGCAACGTATTGTCATTGGGTGTCGTTCCTAATTATTAGGCCTTCTTACGAATCCGACAAAGAATTTTGTATTAGGCTAAGAAATCTAGAAGTCGAATAATTTTCTGTCAACTGATTAACACATACCACACGCCTTAATTAAATAGCAATCTCTGAAATATGGTTCTGTTTCGTGTATATAACAGAATCAATTTAAAATATTATATTTAGTGATATGTAAATATGTAACAGAATCTACTCGCAACTACCAGCTAAATTATAAAATGACTTGCAATTGTGATATCTATTACAAGTGATAAGATTATTTGGTTGCACATATCACCATGAGAAGATTTGTGAAAATGTGAAATCTCTCTCAAGAGACAGCAGATCGAGAAAGTATTTTACAAGTAAATAAAAGTAAAACGAAAAATATTAGCATCAGATTATGTGGGTGAGATGGAGGCATGGATATGTTTGTTAGGCACATGTCTTGGGGCCATGCTTGTTTGGGCTATTTCTTTGTTAGCTTTCTTCTGCTTTTTTAGTTGGTAATGAACAAGACACAAGCTTTCACATTTCGACAAAACTAAGCATTAATCCCATCTTCTAATCTTCTAATAAGATTAACTTGAAGAATTAAATTAATTAAATCAAGATGATTCATGAGGTATGGGTTGCATTGCAATATCGAATGGTCTAGACAAAACTCATTTGCTATGTTTGTTCTTAGATTTATGAATGTTAAAATTTTATAAGAGAGAATGTGTTACTCAGTTCTTGAAAGTGTTTTTATCCTCCCTCCAAAATATTCAGATTTATATAAATGTATGGAGTAAGCAGAGATAATTTCATATTCATATTGCTTATTCTTCTTTCTCTTGAGAACTACAAAGGAAAGCTGTGAAGTCATGCCAAATTCTGGTTATATAAATTTCAATCAAAAATGTTTATTTCGATACTCCAAGAAACTGAGCAAAACTTGGATACTTGGGCTCCCATCCTATTTCAGCTCGTGTCCATGAGTTGTTCAGCTTCTTCCCTAAAGGACCACTGGTGCCTACACAAAAACCAAAGTTGTCACACTCTATATGAAGCTCTATGAAGACAACCACATGTCAGTGTCTGAAGAAACTCACTCGTGAAACCTTTGAACTTCTTATCAAACTTTCCGCTTTGATCCATCAGGTCCATCACCTCTTGCCTGAGAAGTATGCGTGAGGTTAAACATGTGAACATGTCGAGAATGTTTGAAATATGTTAGAGGTAGAAAGAAAGCAGTATTATTACCTTGACAAAGGATGGTTGTCACAACCCAAGAAAATCCGACCACCTGCTTTCTTCTTCATGATTGCAACCGCCAGCGATGCTGCATCCTGTTCTCAGAACAAACATTAGCAGATCAATCTTAAGCACCTATTGAAATTCATGGTCTTTGAACAGAAGAAAGGAGTGAGCAAAAATCACAAATATACCTCGTAGTGAATGAGATTCAGGATATGATCAGGACGAGCATCAACTGTCTCCTTACTCAACCAGTACGTATGTGCACCTCTAGTCTCTGTGTATAGAAAGTTCAGGAGAAACATAATGCTCAAATCTGCCAGAAACCCACAAAAAAAACCCCTTCAATGTTTTGCTAATTCAGTTTCAATAATATCGAAATTCAAAAGGATATGTAAAGCCCTGCCAGTCTAAGCACAGTCCCTCCACTTTCCAAGACTACTTTTTCAGCACTCAAAAGCACATCGGTTCTTGGGCTCTTTCCCAATGGCACTACTGGAGAATCCTGCAGTAAAGGAGAATCAACTGCATATACATTAACAATGACAACGAAGTTCCAGAATACTCTCCAAGATCAAACAGTTGTTGGATTGTATACTAGATTTTGATAGACTTCAAATGATTTAGAGACACTCTTTGTCCCCAAATTACGCCAACAAACCCAATCTCTCAGATGGTATTGAGTTTAACAACTTTGAAATAGTATACTAAGCCCTCTGGTGCTGAAAGCTGAAGCTAGGAAAAGATACTTTCAGGTACATGAGACTAACCTCGTTGCATTCTCCATTATCAAAGCAATCAAAAGGTGCAGAACTAGATGTGAATAAGAATGATCCTTCGCCGTTCCACTTTGATGCTGCCATCCTGATTCGTTTGTAAACACAAGCACAGACCCATATTAGTAGACACTAGACATGGTTGAATCAAGGCAAAAGAAAATTACTTTCTGTCTCATAAAACACCAAAATACGTTGAGTTTCATCCTCTTCTGTAGCTAATAAATTTAACACCACGATGGCTTTTCTGGCATTCAGTAGCAGAACTTAAGGCATAGTATTAGAAATAGAAACACAATTTAAGGACTCCAGTTGTTGAAACAAGTGATTTTCTTGTAATTACCTGAGCTCAGCAGCGTAGTCTGGGCTTTGTGATGGAGGAGCACAAAAGATCACATAGGAGAACTTGCCATCAAATTCAGTTCCTTTAAGACATGGTTTGATACCCAACTTCTCCAGCTCATCATGATGGTTTGTTGTTACTGTCTGCCCCAAGATTTGACAATCTGGATATTCCTGCTCCACATACAAACCTCCAACTCTATAACTTCCATATTGTGAAAACATGACTCTTCTCATAAACGTAGCGAAGAACAAAAACTAGTCAACAATCAATATCCACAAAGAATTGATGTTCACAATGTGGTAAATGAACACAGAAACTATACCTCTCTCCATTGTTCTGCAACTAAGCGTCCAAGAACACCTGGTCCAACAATTAGCAAATCGTTTGCCCCAATTGAAACTTGAGACTGGGCCTTCAAGCCAGCACTGGTCTCACCTTCATACAGAAAAAAAAATAATCAAGAGAAGAGCAAAACAAAGATAATGGTCACTACTTGGAGAAGCAGAATCACAAAATCTTTAATTTACCACACTCTTAGCTTTATACATGTAATCACAAAATACTAATCATTGTAAGACTCTAATTAACTCTACTCAGATATCAGCCAATTGTGCACTAAGCATCCGAAATTAACATCGGATTATCTTAAAGGTCAACGCGAGGTTCACTTAATCCTTATAGCCGTGGAATCGAAAGAGAAGAAATCATCGAAGAAGCAGAGAGTAAGGATACCAATAGTGGAGGAAGAAGAGGCTTGGATAGGAGTCGCCATTGTCGAACACGTTGTGAGAAACAATGAGAAATTGGGTTTATAATCGCGTATCAAAGCAAACTTAAGTGAGGATGAAGATGCTAAAGTCGACTGCTTGAAGAAATGGGTCGATGGAATTCTTGAATTGACAGTCGGAAATGAGGTGCAGGAGATGAAACCCATGAAGGAAAACAGAGAAAAAGCTTTCGCTTTTGACGAAGAAGATTGAATGAGTTAGCCGAAATACTGTAGGTGAGAATTTGGTGATGGGTGCTCTTGGAATGTTAACCAATTGGATGTTGACAGGTCACGAAATCCAAAATTTTCAGATTACTTTGTAGTTTTTGTTTTTTTTTCGCGTCAGAAATACTACTGAATGACGAAATTGACCCTGGTAAAGTCTTTATGGGTTTTTTCATTTATGAACACAAAAATGAAAACTTTTGTTGATAGATTACACAATGTTTCTGCCTATTAAGAATCTGTTCACATGAGCTCAGCTTCTTCAGTATCTCCATCAACATCTTCAACATCGTTCTCGTCATTCTCATCAGCTGCATCTGGGTCTATTCCCTGCAATGAATCACCCCAAAGTTATAATGCACTTGAGATCATTTCAAGCTTCATAAAGGAGAATATGGATTTAAAAACACTGAAATGTATTTAGGTTGACTCATGACCAACCTTCATTTGTTTCTCCAAGCGATCTAGTCCCTTTTTGGCTGCTTCACTCTGTGGATTTATTCTGCATTAACATTTCAACACTCGTTATAGAAACAAAGAGAACAATTAGGCAGCTCCAATTTTTAGAATCTCTTATATACCTTAATGCAGCTTGAAAGTGTGATAAAGCATCTTGTAGCATATTCGCTGCAGCAAACACTTGAGCTAGCTTCACGTGGAGAGAATCATCAGCCCAATCTTTGAGATATCTTTCAAGTAGTGATATAGCATCTCCGTTCCTCCCTTCCATCAGATGGAGATCAGCTAGTGCTAAGGCAGCTCCTAGGTACCCAGGTTCAAGCCTCAGTGATGACTCATAAAACTTTTTTGCCTGTTATAGAAGCATATCATTGTTACACCACAAATCTCTATTCATCATACGAAAATGCTCACAAGCTCTGAATAGTTTCTCAGATTTGGCGTACACCACAAATTTGCTTTTACCTTTTCCCTGCCACTTGATGTATTAGCATGAACATCACCAACTAATTTCAGAGCCTTTGCGGACTGAGGCATTGCATTCATTGCTTCTCTGGCGGTATACAATGCTTCTTTGGTTTTACCAAATGCCAGATAAGAATGGACTAAGCCTGAAATGACCTCAGCAATGCCAAGTTAGTTCACACTCCAACCTTGTCATGTTTGTTAAATGTGCATATCACCAAAACAGTACAACAATGGAAGTGTATTTCATTTTTTTCTCCCTCATGAAAACATACCTTGATATGAACGAAGATCAGACCTCAAATTCTGGGCAGCCCTGAAGGCGAGCGCTGCAGCTTCTGGTCGTTTTGCTAGTAAAAGAAGATTTCCCTGAAATTTGTGATATGAAAAAGTGGGTATGTATGCAAAACTGTTTTACAATAAATCAAGAATCCTCATTAAACTAGCTTACCTTCATTATGTAGCCGGGTATGTGCCTCTCGTCTACTCTGATACTCTGATTGCATAGTGAAACTTATCAGATATCACACAGAGACTTAGCACAAAATCTCAGTTTTAGCAAGCTAACCTTCTCAGCATAAGATAATCCAGTTCTTGCATCTTTCCTTTCCCATAGTACAGCCAAAGCAACAAATACTTCTGCTCTGGTATGATCAATACTTAACAAATCGTGGACGAGCTTATTTAGCCTGGAATAATCACACTTTATCTGTAGCAGCATCGCATACTCATCCATACAGGTTAGTGTGTAAGGATCAATTGATCGAACCTACAAAATGTTTTATATTAGTATATCCACATTCCATGATTTAAAGAAATAAAGGTACATATATCAGTCCTATAACTACCTTCTCAAATCTCATTATGGCCTCATCATTTTTCCCAATAATGGCTTCGACCTATACAAATGGAAATGTTCATCAACTACAAAGTTAACGTCAATCATAATAACAATAACAAAACATGTAGGTCTAATTCTATCTGAATCATTTTCGATTCAATCCCTAACCTTTGCTGTCTCAGTCAGCAAATGTACGTTATTTGGAAATCTTTGTAAAAGTTCAGCAAAGAGTTCCAGCGCCCCTGAGTAAGCACAAAAGCATCACACATCCATTAAGGCACATCGCACTAATCATTGCAGAATTTCCCACAAACTAAATTTAAGAACTAAATCTACAAAGACAAAGAGAGTTACCTTTATAAGCATGTGAAGCAACACAACACTGGGCCTCAACATAACGCTGCGAAAACGAAGAAAATTCATCAAAAAGACAAATAAGAAAAGAGCTTTTACTGCCTGATAAGCTACAACACCAAATCAACGAAACAACCATTCAAGAAAATGTATATAAAATTTTTTTAGCTCCCTGGTTGAATAGTCGAGCCGATGGTAAAACAAACACATAAACGCATTAGTTTATTTGAGGGAATACTATCAACTATCAAGACAACTGTATTCACTTTCCACTCATTAGTAGCTCTTCCCTATGTACAAAATGTGTAGTTCATAACACATTAAATATAACAAGGTCGTATTCAGGAGAACATAATAGGGAACATAAGACACTCAATTCACTCAGAATAAACACTGTTAATGAGTATGCTTACCTGCAACCACCGGGTAGGATCTATCTGATCGAGTGAAACCTTTGCACTTCTATTTGGGGTCTGAAATGAACAAAAGACACACAACAAATTACATTGTAGTATGGATTTTACACAGGAAAGGAAATTGCAAAATGGGGATAAAGAGGTGCAAAACACACTGACAGAAACGGTGAAAAATAAAAGCAAGCGGTAAAAAGAATCTCGTAGAAAGGACCACCTGAGTAAAAGATGAGATGATATCCTTCGCAGTGACTCCAAGCTCAGCTAAACCTATGACAGCTTCGAGTACATAAGGACACTGCCTGCAGAGATTAAAAGATTATGTACATTATATGCAATGTGTTGAACTAGGTAGTTGAGGTAAGAAGTGAGATACTATGACAGTGATTATATGCAAGGAAATGTTGGGAACGAAAATGAAAACAGACCTCAAACACTCTTTATAAAAAGTAATAGCACCACGATTATATCCAGAATTTCGATGAAGCTTTGCCATCAGTATATTCATCTCCAAGCTCCTGGTCTTGACAGATTCCATCTGGCACATAAAGAACAGGTGCAATACTGGATTATAACTACGCAAACCATGGTTTATCATCCCTAAATACTCAAGCTTGATAACCAGAAGACAGAAGTCATACCTCAGCAATAGCTGCTTTCGTTTCGTTAAGAGCAAAGTGAGATGAAGCAATCTTGAATTTGACCTAGGAAGGCATTAGGAAAAGAATATACTCATGAACTTCTATGAAATTAGACCAAAACACATCATTTTCTGGAATAAACCAAAATGATGAAGAAGAAACAACACACTAATTTACCTCGTTCTCATTAATACCAGAAACGCCAGAGGCATTCACAGATAATCTGGTGGATAAAGATAACGAACTCCTCGAAATACTGGAGTTTTGCTTCGGAATCCTTGTACAATGATGCAACGCTTGCTTGTACGTATGCTGACAATAAAATTTAGAAATGCAAGTTCAGAATTTGACATGACTACAAAGCTTTACACGGCAATTCTGAAATTATCTCTGCTCAGTCCATAAACTTTATAAAAATCAGAATTTTTGTTTTCATTTAGTTCAGTCATAGTGAAGATCAATGCATTCTTTATAAAGTTTATAAATTGGAGGCAGAATTAAAATTTGAAGAACTGAGTGACATTTCTTTCTCGGCAACAGAGAAACATAAAGAATTTTCTACTCAAAGATAAAAGAGAGAGAGCCAAATTGATCTTACAATAGCTCTCCGGTACTCTCTCTGGTGAAATAAAGCATCGCCCAGTAGAATCTGAAGAACAACACAGAAAGAATCAAACTTCAATTTCCAAGAACAATTATCGAGGATTACAAAAACTAACGAAGTTAGCTACTGAAATTAAAACATCGAAAGGAGAAAGAAGCTTAACCAAATTCTCCGCCTTGAGATGAGGACTAGTCTCGGCGCTTACAGTAGAAGAGGAAACGAGAAAGCTTCCCTGGATATAGATAATTTTTATCCGTTTATGAAAACTAGGGATTTAAGAAGAGAGAATCAAAATGGGTTTTAAAGGTAAGAGAAGTTACGAGCATTTCAGCGGAATCGTAGAGCCCATGCTCCATTAGAGTCGCGATCTGTTCCTTTGGAACCTCCATTTGAGAGACAAGAGAGTTGCTGGGTTAGTTTCAGTGGCAATGGTGAGGACTTTAGTGAGAGAGAGAGAGAGAGAGAGCTTCGATGATGAAGAAGGGGATTGATCTTCACGCTCGCTCTTCGTCATTTTGAAACGAGCAATCTTGAACCGAACCGAAATATTACCCGGTTATTCGGGTGAAATCCAACTCGGTTCATTATAACCCAATCGGGTCGGATCTTTAAACAGGGCCCAAAAAGTTTGAACTTTGATTAGAAAGCTCATATCTAATTAGTTTGGCTCTTGTTGGTCAAATCCTGTGTAGAGAGACAGACACATCCTGTGTTAGCAGCGAGGAATATTAGTAATCCCATTTGGAAGAATTAGAGGATCTTAATTTTCTTTTTTCAAATTAAGAATCACACGTGGAAGGGAGACTCAATTTCCTAAGATGTGATTAAGCTATCAATAGCAAAGAGGTGGAGATGAATAATACCAAACTGAAAGCCAAAACAGAACTGAAAGCCAAGGAGGATCATAGTTATTAGTTACTACAAAACAGAACTGAAGAAAAGTTTTACGCATAAATAATAAAATAGGAAAGCCAAAGCGGAGGAGCAAAGTCATAGTTTCGAATAAAGCTCCCAAAGGAGTCTCCGATCCCATTTCAAAGTGGACACTTGCCATTGCTTTTGCACCTCGCGCGAGTCATGTGTTCCTTTGTTCCTCCAAAAGATTTGGTTGCTCTCCTTCTTGTTCCTCCTGTAGATTTGGTTGGCTCTCCTTTTTGTTCCTCCGGTGGATTTGGTGGCTCGTGATTCAGAGATAGCAACTCATCGATCCGTGCTAAACCAAGTTTAGCATTGAATCCGTTGTCCTCTAGCTGGAGGAGTGCCTCTTGGTATTGATAGAGGAAGACACTGCTTCTGGGAACGTCCTCCATTAATGCCGCTACCATGTCCTCAAAAGCTTTCATAAGAACTAAGGCACACTTCTCGCGAAGAACACCATGGAAATGGATCAGTGGAGCAAAGTGAGGACGTTGTGGTATGGCCCATTTCTCTTCATACTCTTTCCACTCGCTCAAGGTTTTCGCAAAAGGGAAAACAATTTCTGCAAATAAAACAATGAGAGAATTGCTTTATTAATAATGCAAATAAAGTTCGGCGCAAGGACACAACTAAAGAGTAGAGTGCTTTAAGACATACCAGCCTCCCTGAGGTCTGAAATGGGCTCTTCTTCTTCTCTTTTCCTCTTAAGCGTCTGTGCATTAAATACATCTCAAAGATTATACATCACGTACCGTGTTTGGGTACATAAACTAAACATGTTATTGTTACGATCGAACAAGATTTAGCTTTTTTTTACCTTCTCTTCTGATGATGAATCGTTTCCCAGCCCAGTGGATGCTTTGATCTCACTCTGATCCTTCTCCATAGTCGTTCGACAGCAAAACCCTAGAATTGAGTTTCGTTCGTTTTATAAAAGGAAGAAGGGATTGGATGAGATCCTTCACGCTCGCTCTTCTTCTTCTTTTTGAAACGAGCAATCTTGAACCGAACCGAACCGAAAATTATACCGGTTATTCGGCTAAAATCCAACTCGGTTCATTATAACCCAACCGGGTCGGATTTTTAAACAGACCCGCTTTTCGTTGAAGTCGTCAATTCCCATCACCGGAGCAAAAAGAAACTCACCGGTCATGCGGGATCTGCCTCCATCACCGTCGTCAACGGCGACCTCGTCCTCGGCTGAAAAGTATCGTCGGCCGAAAATCGGCGAGAAGTTTGCGGAGAGATCAATATTTACTGCATTAAGAGGGAAATCCTGTCCGATCTGCCTCGAAAATCTAACCGACCGACGAGCCGCCGTAATCACGGCGTGCAAGCACGGCTATTGCCTCGCCTGTATCCGAAAATGGAGCGGCTTCAAGAGGAATTGTCCTCTCTGCAACACTCGATTCGATTCCTGGCTTATCGTCTGTGATATTGCTTCTAGAAAGTACCACAAGGAGCACTTGCCAGCTCTCCGTGATGATCGTCGGGATAATCCTTCCGGTCGCCGGAGGTTACCTCTCTCTCTCTCTAAGATTCGTCTCTTTGGGTTTATGCGAAATCAAAAACGCATCTTTTGAATTACGGTTCTTTCACTTTGGTATTAGGATAATTCCGAGGTCAAGAGACGTTTTGGAATCTTCTAGCTCAAGAAGGTCAAGGCCATTGCCATGGCGGAGATCATTTGGACGGCCAGGCGAAGTTCCCGATGATATTATCTATGAGCGGAAGCTTCGGTGGCGAGCTAGGTTGGTTTGATATTGCTTCTCTTTGTTCGTTCTGTTAGTTTTTCTGAGTATCTTAACTAGTTTTGGCTCTAATGCAGCATATACAATAGGCAATCAAGAGCTGTTCGTTTGCATTCAAGGCCAAGCTTGGAACTTGTAAGTTCAATAATACGTTGTGTTGTTCGATTGTATATACATGTTTCGTGTGTCATCTTTGAAACAGTATGACAATTGTAGAGTTTTTGCAGGTGAACGATCAGGCGAAAGCAAGGATCATTGAAAGAATCGAGCCATGGATTAGAAGAGAGATTCAGGCAGTCCTTGGAGATCCTGATCCATCAATCATTGTTCATTTGGCGTCGGCGCTTTTCATCAAGAGGCTTGAGAAAGAGAAGAATCAACAATCTGTGGAAGATGAAGTCTCCTCTCTCAGAAAATTCTTGTTTGATAAGGAGGATTTATTTTGGCATGAACTAAGGTAAGATTTTTGTTTGTACACTGTAATTACGGATATAGTAGTAGTTGACAAAACATAGAGGCTGAATAGTGAATACTATGGTTGAGAAAACTTAAATTCCAGTGGCTTATAAGTTTGAACTGGTGTATGCTTTTGGTCATCATATGATTCATGACTGTTTTCTGATGAGAAAGAAAATTATATTTTCAGATGTTACGCTGAGAGTAGTCTGAGGATGGAGACGTATGATGCAGTGGTTGAATACAATGAGGTGGAGTAATGGCAATCAAACAAAAAAGGTAAAGAAAAATGCTTGGGAAGTAATTTATCTCTGTATGGATAAGAACCGGAGTTATAGAGTAGGTAAGAGTGAGATGTTGAGATGATGCAAGTTTAGGTGTGTGTGTCAGTGTGTAACTTTTGATTTGTTCTTCTTAGCTATTGGTGGATTCTTAAATAGCTGACACTTGTATTTTCTCTTCTTCCATTAGTCGAAACGAAAGTTTAATGTACGGGTCTCATTACGGGTCACAAAAGTGTTCTTAAAATCCAACGCTTTTCATCAACTCATCAATTGTTCCTTAGGTTTCAAGGACCATCCGTTTCAACTACATTAACTAAAAGGGAACTGGTATTTGTGTATTACATTTTAATTGATCTCTTCGTATACTGATTTGTACAGACAATATCATTTTGTCGCCGTGCGCGTGGGGCCGTTTCAGACAATAGGAAGCTTCTTGGAAGTACATAGAAGAAGAGGAAATGTCATTATTTTCACTTCTAATTTAAACCAACCTTAATGGCTAAGGGTAGAGAGCACGCGGTGAATAATTACAGATAAATTATTTAATAAATGACGGTTTCTCAATGTATTGATGATAATATACAGAGAATTAAAAAATTAAAAAACGTCTATGGGTTGGTAAGCGGCAAATCCAGCTGCCAAGCCTATTTGACTTCCCTTCCGATCATGGTGAGCTCGTCTTCTTCTTCTTTCTTCTTCTTCTTCTTCTCTCTCTCTGCGTTTTTTCTTATGCTTTAAAGCTCTCTCAGTCATGAACATGAAGACCCCCATCACAACATTCCTTTCCTCCTCATGAATAATTCTACCACATCAGGTTTATTCTCTTCCCCTCTCTCACTTGCTCGCCTCTGATTCTCAACACTCTTAATTGCCACAATTCTGTTTTGTGTAATTTATCAGTTTTTATTTTAATATTCCTGCAAGATTCTCCGAATATATGGTTGAAATGCGATGATTCTGTGTTGACCGATGCTGTTTGATTACTTGATCTGTTGTGGATTGAATTTGATAGTTCTGTTTTTCCGTTTCTTGATTTTGGAATGTGGAACTTTTTTTCAAAACAGTGAAGAGTATGGTTTCCTCAAGGGCAATGAAATGCTTCTACTTCAGCAAAGAAAAGCCTCATGATCAAGAAACTAACAAGACGAGAAAATTTGATTCACTGCAATCTTCAAGAGGAGGAGGATCAGGCTCTGACTTTAACTCAGAAACAAGTACTGCCACTTCCATCACTTCTTCCTTGCACGTCCTCTCCGAGACACACAGTAACAATCTCAAAGTCTTTGCCCTCGATGACCTCAAAACCGCTACCAAGAACTTCAGCCGCTCCTTGATGATCGGCGAAGGTGGCTTCGGTGGCGTCTTCCGCGGCGTCATTAACAACCCTCAAGAACCTCGTAAAAAGATCGATATCGCAGTTAAACAACTCAGCAGAAGAGGTCTTCAGGCAAGCCAAAGCTCTCTCTCTTTTCGGTTTAGTTCGGTTTGGTTTGGTTCTGATCTACCCTCCAAGGTCTTGAATATCTAACAACATCATTTACATATATGAACAGGGGCATAAAGAATGGGTGACAGAGGTAAATGTGTTGGGAGTAGTGGAGCATCCGAATCTGGTGAAGCTGATCGGTTATTGCGCTGAGGATGACGAGAGAGGGATCCAACGGCTACTAGTTTACGAATACGTACCAAACAGAAGCGTGCAAGACCATTTATCAAACCGTTTTATAGTCACTCCTCTGCCTTGGTCCACCAGAATGAAGATTGCTCAAGACACTGCTCGAGGTCTCGCTTATCTTCATCAAGGCATGGAGTTTCAGGTCTCTTCTCCATCTCAAAAATTCACACATTTTATTTTATATGTTCTTGAAAATGTATATTTATTCATCTTATATAATGCAGATCATCTTTAGAGACTTCAAATCCTCTAACATCCTTCTTGATGAGAATTGGAATGCAAAGCTCTCTGATTTCGGACTTGCTCGAATGGGTCCATCTGATGGAATCACTCACGTCTCCACTGCGGTACTCACGTGTTATGTCTCAAATTGATTTTGTTTGTTTCAATGAAACCATAAACCGAGACTCAAGCCGTGATCACAGGTTGTAGGAACCATCGGTTATGCAGCGCCGGAATACATCCAAACCGGACATCTCACGGCCAAGAGCGACGTGTGGAGCTACGGAATCTTTCTATACGAGCTCATCACAGGGAGGAGACCGTTCGACCGAAACCGTCCAAGAAACGAGCAGAACATCTTGGAGTGGATCAGACCGCACTTGTCTGACATCAAGAAGTTCAAGATGATCATCGACCCAAGACTTGAAGGAAACTACTACCTCAAATCTGCGTTGAAGCTAGCCGCGGTTGCGAACCGGTGTCTGATGGTTAAGGCAAAGTCAAGGCCAACGATGAGTCAGGTGGTAGAGATGTTAGAAAGGATAGTGGAGACATCAAATGATCCTCCTTCTTCTGGACTTCCATTGATGAAGAGCTTGACTCCTAAAGATGCTTTTGAAGCATCAAGAAGAGAAAGAGTCAAGAGAAGATTCGTTGAGCTTGTAATCGGAGTTAATGGTTGTCCTAATTTGCCTTCTTGGTCTCCTAAACTCGTTACTTCCATTTGATTTTTTTTGAGTGAGTGACAAAAAAATAACTCTAAACATTTGTGTTAATGCAAATATTATTGTGAGTCCATTAATTAATTATAACTATAACAAGCTTAAATTAGGGTTTCTCTGGATTCAGACTATCTTCTTCTTCCACAATGCTCTGTATCAGCCGTCGTGCCAAAACCCTAAAAACCTTAGCTTCCTCTTCCACCCAGAAACGGAGTTATGTCGATGTGTACATGAAATGGAAGAAAGATCGTTACTTTGACAACATCGAGCACATTCTCCGATCACCGCAGCTCAAATCCGTCGTCGCTCTGAAGAACTGTATCGCTCAGGATCCGAATGGATGCATTCCGATATCTTCCGTCTCCAAGAAGACGCTTCAATTCGACGTATCGGTCAAAATCGCAAAGTTCTTACGGCAATTCCCTTCGATCTTCGAGGAGTTCGTCGGTCCAGAGTACAATCTCCCTTGGTTTAGATTGACGCCGGAAGCTTCAGAGCTCGACAGGGAAGAGAGACTCGTTTACCGAAACTCCGCCGACGATTTGCGCGATCGGTTGAGGAAACTGGTTCTGATGAGTAAAGACAATGTTTTGCCGATTAGTATCGTTCAAGGTATGAGATGGTATCTGGGTTTGCCTGATGATTACCTTCAAAACCCGGAGATGAATCTGGATTCTTCGTTTAGGTTTGTTGATATGGAAGATGGAATCAAAGGTTTAGCAGTAGACTGTGATGGAGAAAAGGTGTTGTCTGTGTTGCAGAAGAACGCAATGAAGAAGGAGAATCGAGGAGGAGACTATTCAGAGATTGAGTTTCCTCTGTTTCCATCAAAAGGTTGTAGATTGAGAGTAAAGATTGAAGATTGGTATAAAGAGTTTCAACAGCTTCCTTATGTATCACCGTACGATGATTACTCTCGTTTGGATCCGAGTAGTGATGTGGCAGAGAAGAGAGTTGTTGGGTTTCTCCATGAATTGCTCTGTCTCTTTGTTGATCATTCAGCGGAGAGGAAGAAGCTGTTGTGTCTCAAGAAGCATTTCGGTTTACCTCAAAAGGTTCACAAGGCGTTTGAGAGACATCCACAGATTTTCTACTTGTCTATGAAGAACAAGACGTGTACGGCTATTCTGAGAGAGCCTTATAGAGATAAGGATAGTGTAGAGACACATCCTGTGTTAGCGGTGAGGAAGAGATATATTCAGTTGATGAAGAATTCGGAGTTGATTCTCAAGAGTAGGAGGAGTATGTGTGGGTTTTCGAATGAAGGTGTTGTTATAGAGAAAGATTTGGATTTGGATTTGGATTATGATGGCTAGAGGAAAGGATTATACATAGAGAACAACCTCTTCAATACGTTCCAATTAATCTATTTTTGTGAAGTAGCCAATCTTTATTGATCAATGACATCTTCAACAAATTTGTTACGTCAAACCAATTTAAAGATGCAAATCACCACTTAGAATATTACAACAAAACTTGTAAATGCAAGAATCATTTGGTATATATATCAGCGAGACTTAATATCACGTTGTTTTTAGTTTAAATCTTGAAAGAAGAGATAGACTAATATAACACTAGAATGAGTTGGAATACTAAATCCAGCTTGTGAAGAGTTTTCTTACTAACCAAACCTCAAAGACTACATTTTCTTGGTACTCATACGATACTTATCCATGCATATCCATATATTTCGCCAAATCTTATGCTGTCTTCATTTTCTCTCTTTCGATTTCAGTGAACTTCCATGTATCACATTCTCTCTTGTGGTTTCAGTGAACTTTCATGTATGACGTATACACCACAGTCAATGCCATTAGGCCATTAGGTTGTGTAGGAAAGGACACATGGGCTTTGGTTAGTTTGATTTGGTTTGGTCTTTTACTACCACATGTTTTCAGCATACCGCATCGCCATTGTAATTGAGACAACTGCAACAAATATAACCATTAAAATTGGTTGTTATTCTGAAATCTTCAACATATGTACACTATAAGTGCAATCATTGGAATGAACTAGTTGTTCCTTCAGTGACATTATTGGTGGTTTAAGCTTTTAAATCTCCATTGGTGTTTTAACCTTTTTTTTTACTATTTTAAAAATTAACGGATACAAAAAAATTTGATTGCAAATATTATTTAATCATTAATTATAATAGATAGTTATTCTTTGTTATATTTATGACTATTAAAAAATATATATACAAGGTAAAATGATAGGGTAGAGTGTTGAATTTTATTAAATAAACTATTGTAGATTGGAAATTTTTGAAAGAGTGTTAGAATTAATATGTGGAGTAAAAAGTAAAGTTAAAGGCTTAAAGCACCAATGGAGAGATTTTTGTTCTCTTTCTCTTAGTGGAGTCAGCATACAATTAAAAATTTACAAGAAAAACTTAGGTTGCGTTTTGCATTCCAATATATTACAATATGGTTGCCAATGGTTAAAGACTTGAAGATCCAAGACTTAAAAGAGTTTCAACCCTTATACGATGATTACTCTCGTTTGGGTCCGAGTGGTGATGTAGCAAAAAAGAGAGTTGTTGGGTTTCTCATGAATTGCTCTGCCTCTTTGTTGATCATTCAACGGAGGGGAAAAACTGTTATGTCTCGAGAAGCATTTCTGATTGCCTCAAAAGGTTCACACTTCACAAGACCTTTGAGAGACATCCACAAATCTTTTATGAAGAACAAGACTTGTACAGCTATTCTAAGAGAGCCTTATAGAGATAAAGCTAGTGTAGAGACACATCCTGTGTTAGCTGTAAGGAAGAAATACATCCAGTTGATGAAGAACTCGGAGTTGATTCTCAAGAGTAGAAGGAGTATGTGCAGGTTTTCGAATGAAGGTGTTGTAGAGAAAGATTTGGATTTGGATTATGATGGCTGAGGGAAAAGATATTATACATAGAGAACAACCTCTTAAATATGTTCCAATTAATTTATTTATGTATAGTAGCCAATGTTCAACAAATTTGTCAACGTCAAACCAATCTAAAGATGCAAATCACCACCACTCAGAATATTACAAGAAAGCTTGTAAATGCAAGAATCAACAGCCAGACTCAATATCACGTTGTGATGAACCAAATTTCTACAAATGAGTATGAGTTGGAATACTAACCATTAAGAATTGTTCCTAACCAAACCATGAAGAAAACAAAACCTTTTCTCTATATTGTTTTGGTACTCAAATGAGATTTATTGAGATAAAACCATTTCAAAGTTAATCATATACTATAAAAGTTGCCCAACACTCTCCAGTGTGTCGCTACGTCAGCACTGGAGAGAGTGCCACGTGGCTTCTTCACACAGAGTTTCTATCTTTAGTCAATTTAATCAACGGTTTTTGTAAACGATTCTTTTTCTTTACCTCACGCCTGGCGTTTCATCTCTTCTTTCTCTCTTCCGCTTCTATTCAGCGAACCACGCCGTTTCGGAAACTTCCGCCGCCGCTCTCTGGCCAACGCAAAAATCGCAGATTCACTTCGGCTTTAACCCGAGAGGCGATGGCGTCTTTTGAGCGTTTCCACGACATGTGCGACCCGAGATTGGAGCCTAAGAAACTCCGAAACCTTCTGTCCGAGTATGTTCCCAACGAGAAGCAGCTTGTGGCCAATTTTCTATCACTCTCCGAGGTTGTTTCAACTATCGCCACCCATAACCTATAATCGAGTCTCCAATGGTTTCAATTGAACAGAAGCTTCAAACTAAGTTCAATCCCACTCTTCAGTTCCTCCGTCGCTGACTAAACAAGGTGGTGGTAACGGAGGACTCAACGGTGCTAACGGTGGTTTCTTCACCTCTGCAATGGCTTTAACGGTGCCGGAAATGGCCCCGTCAACGGCTACGGTAACGAAAACGGCGGTTTCCGACGGGTAAGAGACACTATTCGCCGTCAATTGTGTAACTTCAATTATGCGATCTTTGTGTTTATTGAGGTTTAGCTTCACCGAATTGTCTTAGGGTTTTGTGTTGTCTTCAATCTAGGATTCATTTTCGTTGTGGATCTTCAAAAAAGTCATCTTTTTGATTCCTGAAACTATCTTTATATCCATAGCATTCGTCTGATTGTGTGTGTGTGGTGTAGAAGAAGAGCTTTGGTCAAGGGAAACGGAGGATGAATGCTCGAACAAGCATGGCTCAGCGAGAAGATGTCATCCGGAGAACTGTCTATGTCTCTGATCTCGATCAACAGGTTGAAAAAAAAAATCAAACCTTTACTCTCTAATCTATGATTGTTCTGAGACTTTTCTCATCTTTGACTTTCTCTTGTGCGTGTGTGTGAATAGGTCACTGAAGAGCAGCTTGCTGGTTTGTTTGTGAACTGTGGGCAGGTTTGATAATATCCTCTTAAAGCTCTGATTTTTTCCATCTTTGTGTGTTTGTGTGTGTTTACTTTACTGTGTTTTGGTTGAGCAGGTTGTTGACTGCCGCATATGTGGTGACCCAAACTCAGTCCTACGGTTTGCATTCATCGAGTTCACTGATGAAGGTATTACAATTCGTTTACTCGTGAGCAGTTTTGAAGAATCAGTGGTCTTGTGCTTAAGTGTGGTGTTTTTTTCTTTCTCAGAGGGTGTGATGACTGCTCTGAATTTATCCGGGACTATGTTGGGATTCTATCCTGTGAAGGTTTTGCCATCCAAAACAGCTATTGCGCCGGTGAATCCGACGTTCTTACCAAGGGTGAGATTTTCTTGTCCAATGCAAAAGTCTCTGACGTTTGAGACTCGGAGAATGATTTTTTTGTTGTTGTTGTTGTTGCAGACTAAAGATGAGCGTGAGATGTATGCAAGAACTATCTACTGCACTAACATTGACAAGAAGGTAACTCCCTTCAAATTGATTCACTTTCAGCTTTGATGATGAAAGTATCTCCCTTTTCAAAACGTGTGCTTTTTGCTGTGTTTAGGTGACTCAATCAGACGCGAAGGTCTTCTTCTTCGAAAGTATCTCAGATCGTTTCTTTACTTCATATTCTGTTTGGTTTAACAGTTTATTATCACAAATCAAGGTATACATGTAGCTACTTTATGGTGAGATTTGTTCCATCTTCTACCATTTTTATGTTCAAATTACATGATTTGTGATTGTTTTTCAAGCAGAATCCAGAAAGTTCTAGAATTAATCGAGTGGCTTCATGTACCTCAACCTCTGATCTCCTTACAAGGTCCGTATAAACTGGAATCTGTTCTACTTGCTTTTTCCTTTTTTTGGTTTGTGTGCTATTTGTTATCTTCAATCCATCTCGGTTATAATGGATCAAATCCTGCCATTATATACACTGGAAAAGCTACGTTAATCAGATTGATTATTCCATTATTATATTTGTTTGCTCTGTGTTCTACTGTTTCCCTGGGTTTGTTATCCAAGCTTCCTGTAACAAGGAACCTTTGGGAATCTAAGATGCTTTTTTATTGAATCAGACTGTCTAGGTTTTCGAATACGAAGAAAGATGCAGTGTCACATGCTGCGAAAGTAATCCTGCCTATTATTAAACTATTGGAGGAAGATCCTTCGGAAGCACTATGGGTAAGTGCAAATTTTAAAGAAGGTCACATGAAAGAAAAACTTAGCTTCATCCCTATAATCTTGAAGCTAAGGTTAATTTGTTTTGTGTCGAATCTAGGAAATGATGATCTGAAATAGATTTTGGAGTTTTGGGATAGCTGTTTTACTATGAATTGTTCATCTCTCTGTTCGTTGAATCAGCAAATGTGTTATTATCAATGTAAATTTCACTTGAAAGTATCCAAATTTCGATATTTTGTGTAGTTCATTAGAGATTGTATCAATGGCTGGATTTGGTTAGATTTTTAGCGGTCTTGGTGCTGTGTTCACGTCTTAGTTTCCTGTTTGTGTTCACTCTACATGTGAATCACCTGAGTGTTCTTCAAGCACAATCCTATTTTAGAGCGGAACTAGACAAAAGCAAAAATGACAAATCTTGGTTCACAAGAACACTCGAGAGGTTTCAAACAACATTTGCTTTTCCTTTTCAACACAAATTTATTAAAGTAGCTTAATAATCTTTTCCTCTTTCCTTTCAGATTTGTTCAGTTTGTTAATAGCCCAGAAGTTTTGGAAAGAGTCAATACATATGATTTGGAGATGTCACAGTTGAAAGCAGCTCGGACATTATATTCTCAGGGTCTGTTAAATTTCTTCCTTATTTCAATCAAATTCTTAAGTTTAAGACTAAACTTGATCCATTTTTTTTTTTTCTTTTAGGCGATGGAGGTGTAACGGATGCAACAAAGTAAGTAAAGCTCTCTCTGCTTTTATCTTTGTGTCAAAGACTCAAAGTGTTTTGCTGATTGCTTTTCTTTGTCTATTATTCAGGAAGGAGCTCTCAAGAGCTATAGATTTAAGACTTGATGCAATTTAGAAGGACTTAACCACAGCGATTGCTCACGCATCGGCTAATGGTTTTGATCCTCATTCTGTTTCTGATCTTCAACATTTTGCTGATAGATTCGGCGCACCTCATTTGAAGTAAGCACTTCTTTTTCATGGTGTTGTTTCACTTTCTTGCAACTTTGTTTTAATTTTTTATCCGAAAATCTCTCTTTACCAGCGAAGCATGCAGAAAATATATCTCATTATGGCAAAGAAGACCAGACCTGATCACGGAGAAAGACCGTCGATGAAACAAACATCAGTCAACATCAAAGTGCTAAAGAGCAACAAGAAGGATGAAGAGGAGTTAAATGAGAGTTTGGATGAATCTTCTTCTACGGTTAAGGCAAGTCAACTTACAAGGAGACTCAGCGTGCAAGATCGGGTTAATCTCTTTGAGAGCAAACAGAAGGAGAATTCAAACTCTGCTGCAGGAAACGAACCTGTGGTTGCTGCTGTTGCTAAATCCACAGAATTGAGGAGACTTTCTTCTGATGTCTCATCAGATGCTCCTGCATTCCCTGAGAAGTCAAGATTCAAAGTAGGAAAAGAACAGGATGTTTTCTTTTTAACTTCCCTGCTTTGTTTTTTAAACACAATTTTGAATTGGTAAAATGATAAAATCCCGTCAGTAATGTATAGTACACAACATTTTACGGATTAATATGTCAAATATGTCAATTCAAATCTTATCGCCTTCGAGTTTATTTATAAAAGACATGTATCTCCAAAAATTATCTACCGAATTCATTTTATAATAGTATAACATAAAACCAACGCAATCAAAATTGAGTCCATGATTAAGTTATACATTGTAGTATTTTGGAACAAAGTCGATGATGTATTTTGGAACAAAGTTGATGATGTATTCAATCATGTGTGACTTTCATTCTCCTAATTGAACTCAAATTTAAATAAAATGATTTATTAACTGAACAAGCCGGTATTTCACGTATCTATAAGTTATTGATGTAGTGCTGCCAAATCTATGTCTCATCTCGATATTGCGACCCAAAAACTACAAAAGAGTGGCAAAAAACCTTCGAGGAACTAAACGAAACATTGTGACAGAGAGATTAGGCCTCGGATTTTGGGTGGGGTTTAGAGATATGGAACCGTTGAGGTTTTTCAGTTTTCTTTTGGGTTTTAGGTTTTCTTGGATTGCAGATTTTTTGGGTCTGAGATATGAAAACCATTTAAGTTTTTTTTAAAATTGATTCTGATTTGGTCCGGGTTTTGGGTCAGATTCTAGATTCAAGTAACAAAAAACATCATATTTAAAAAATATATATAAATATTTACAGAAATGAAAAAAAAAATTAAACGAAGAAAAAATGAAAACACCACCGCGTGTAGCGTAGCCTTCAACCTAGTAAACCTAAAAGAAGCAGAGGATATAAGTAAACGTGCTATAGATAACGAAAGACCAAATCAAGCCTCACCTAATCCGTTAACAGAAACAAAAAAAGGACAACAAAAACACGATTTATAAAGAGGCAATACTATCAACGTGATGGAGGGAGACAGAGACATTACAGTCGCCAAATAACTTAAAACGGCTCCTAAAAGCTTGGTCGTGTGCAACCAACTGGATCTCAACTCTTCTCATGTCTTTAGTTCGTAGGTTGTAGTAGAAAAAGTAGAAGGGTTCGGGATCAGGTGAGACTTTTTTGGAAGCAAAAACGATTTCACCAGCCTTGTTAATGCCAGGGGAAGTCACATCGACCAAATCGTAGGGAAGCTGAAATGTTTGCCTAGACCATTCCTGTTCCTTCACATCCTCTAGTATCCATAAATCGAAACCGCCGAAGAAGGCAGAGTAGCCGTGTTTCACAATGACAGCGAGCTTGCCTTTGTATTCTATCAATTGTGAATCACAATTCAGGACATTGGGAAGCGTTGTGATAAAACTGAACTCCTCGTTCCTCACATCAAAACACACAATCACCGTCTTGGTTCTTTTACTATTTCCCCACGCACCATAATACACGAAACCATTCAAGCATAGTCTCTTGGTTATAGGGTTATAAGCCTTGGTGGTTACGCTACTGCGAGATGATGATTCTCCACCTCTTCCAAGTGTTATAACCTCGTGCTGTGTAAAACAATTAGGACCACCTTCACGAGTAGACAAAAGGGTCAATGCTTTGAATTGCTGGTCAACAGGATCGTATCCCAAGGTTGTGCGGACTCCTTTAACAGGTAAGGTAACGACTTGGCCCGTGCCAGGGTTACATATAGTTAGCCGATGACCATAACAATAAGCGACAAAGCCATGGACGGAAGGACACTTGGAGCCGTAAGGCGTGGTCAAGTAAGGTATTGTCATGTCGAGATTGGCAGCAAGCAAAGAAGAAGAAGAAGAAGAAGAAGAAGAAGAAGAAGATTGCTCTCCGGAGAAGATGAAGAGACGCTTGGAAGGTTTCTTGACGAATACACCGTTTCCGAAAACGATGACAAACCGCGACCGCGTGGCAGAGGACATAGCGTAGTAAGAGTCGATGAAAGCTTGGCTTCTGATGGAAGACCACGTCTTTGACACGCATCGTGACCTCATAACAGACTTTACCGGCAATCTAGTTAGTATCTCCACCTCTACTACATCCAGAGGGATCGGTTCTAGGTTACTTTGCCTCTTGTCGCTCTCATTGTCCTCCTCTCGCTCCCTCCATACTTGTTTCTTTTGGTGTGGCTTACTTGGCCTCGTGGCGCTCTCATTGTCCTCCTCTCGCTCCCTCCATCGGGCTCCGCAAAAAACTCGTTTCTTTTGGTGTGGCTTCACCTGAAACTTGAATGGAAATTCAGTCGGTTCTGATCGGTTCTTCATTTCTTGAACAAAGGCAAACCTCTCGCGAAGAGCATGAGGGAACGATCTCAGTGGATCAAAGTGAGGACGTTGTGGTATGGCCCGTTTCTCCGCATACTCTTTCCACGAGCTCGGGGTTGAGTTTTTCGCAAAAGTTTCTGGTAATAAAGAAATGAGAGAATTGCTTTATTAAGTTTGGGCGGAAGGAAACAAGTAAAGAGGAGAGTGCTTTAAGACATACCAGCAGCCTCCCTGAGGTATGAAATGCGTTCTTCTTCTTCTCTTTTCCTCTTAAGCATCTGTGCATGCATTAAATACATGTCATTGATTATGTACCTGTTCTTTTAAGAGTCGCTGCGGCTGCGACTGCGACAAATCAAAACGACAAGGACGAAGGTGAGCAACATTGCAAAACGACAACAGCAGAGCCAAAACGATGATCACGGAAGAGCCGCAGGAGAGATAAAGAGTCGCAGGAGAGAGGGAAACTGTCGCTGGAATATTGCAGCGACTATCGCAGCTGCAACTCAACAGTAAAATCGACTCTTTTTGAACATAGCTGCGACTCTTTTCCACAGTTATACCTGTTTCTATGTTAATTATTTTAATCGCAGTCGCTGCCGCAGCGATTATGAAAAGAACATGGCCTATATATCACGTTTCCTTGCCAAGTGATTACTTGTGTTTCAAGGAACAAGAGAATCTAGTGGCGACCGTTCCCTTGTCTGCGATTCACTCATTAGTTAACAAATGAAGGAGTTGGAAAATCACAACACGGTGAGAATCAAGTACCAAACCCACCCAAATCCAAACCAAAACTAGAGAGACAGAGTAAAGGGAGCAAATCAAATCTACACAGTTTCAACCTAATCATCGGATAAAATAAGATTATGTTACGATCGAACAAGATTTAACTTTACCTTCTCTCGTAATGAAGCTTTTCCCAACCAAGACCAAGAGGCAGAGTGTGCTTCCATATCACTTCGATAGGAAACCCTAAAACTGAAGACACCCAATTTTTTTTTATGTTTTTCCCCCGAAACCTAAACCTAGGAGTTTTGTTCTTTTATAAGGAAAAATGAAAAAAATTGGGATTTTAAGGCTAATTGATTAAATCCTTCAATATGTTCCTCGTAAATTAGTTTTTATATGCGCTTCTTTTTGTATAACTCATCAAATTCGTTCATGAGTCATGCGTTAAAGGCTTATAGCACCAATGGAGATTTGTTTTCTCTTTCTTTTTGTGGAATCAGTTAAGCATACATTTAGAGATTTGCAAGAAAAACTTATGTTGCGTTTTGCATTCCAGTATATTACAATACTAGGGGTGACCCGCGCTTCGCGCGGGAATTGAAATTGTTGTGTTGATTTTATTATTTTTCATAAATTTAATTTAATTCTATGATTTATTATTATTTTAAAAATGTCATACACATATTAATCAAATATAATTAGGGTTACTCAAAAATTTCCGAAAATTAAATATAATTAAGTTTACGCAAAAATTTTGAACCATCATTTCTCATTCCTCCCATTTTGTTCCTTTTATCATGTCCGTTCTTTCCCGTCCCATTCGCCATGTCCGTATCGTCACGTGCAATCCCATCATGTCTGAGACTGTTCCATCCCGTTTTGTCCAGTCTCATCCCGTTCTTTCTTTCCGTCATGTCCCTAAATATAATTAGGGATATGCTAAATTCACTTTTTTCCGTTCCATTATGTTTCTTTTCATCCCGTCCTTTCCGTCATATCCATCCCGTCTAGTCCCATCCTGTCTCATTATGTTTTTTCCTGTCTTGTCTTGTCCCATCTTGGTCTTTTTGTTTCTTCTTGTCCCGTCTCTAAATATAATAAGAGGTAGGCAAAATTTACCTCCTATCCCGTTCTATTTCCCATCTCGTTCCTCCCCGTCCTATTATTCACATACCGTTTTGTCTCGTCCCGTTTCCTCGTTCTGTTTTTTCCCGTCTCGTATTGCCCCATCCCTTTCTTCCCGTCTCGTTCTGCCTTGTCGGGTATAATTTTGGCCTCGTTATGTCCCGTCCTGTTTATTCCTTCTCGTTTCCGCCTTGTCCCATTTTGCACCGTCTCATTCATTCTCATCTCATTTTTCCTCATCATGTACATTTCCTTTCCGTCTCGTTCCTTCCCGTCCTATTCATTCACATACCGTTTTGCCTTGTCTCGTTCATTTCTTTCCATTCTGCCTTATCTTGTTTCTTCATGTCTTGTTCCACCATGTCCCTTTCTTTTCTATCCCGTTTTGCCTCGTCAAATTCATTTTCAGTTATGACTCGTCTTGTTTCTTCCCGTCTCGTTATCATACAGTTTTGCGTCATTCCGTTCATTTTTATTATTATTATTATTGTTAAATTATTAAAATCTATTTGATAAAACTAAAATTATTAAATTAGAATTTATTTAGATCAATATATAAAATATTTTCTTATACAAAATGACTTTTCAAATTCTATTATGATTAAGTGATAGATGTAATAAATTATTAGTCTTAAAAGAGAATTGGAAGAGCATTGTTTAAAAGAGAGTTTGCTGACGTGGCGCTCCCAGAAGAGACCCCAACTGTGTTTTATATATATAGATGGTCCAATGGTTAAAGACTTGAAGATTGAAGACTGGTTAAAAGAGTTTTCAACAGCTTCCTTATGTATCACCTTACGGATGACTACTCTCGTTTGGATCCGAGTAGTGATTTAGCAGAGAAGAGAGTTGTTTGGTTTCTTCATGAATTGCTTAGTCTCTTTGTTGATCATTTAGCGGAGAGGAAGACGCTGTTATGTCTCAAGAAGCATTTCGGATTGCCTAAAAGGTTCACAAGGCCTTTGAAAGACATCCACAGATTTTCTACTTGTCTATGAAGAACAAGACATGTACAGGTCGGCTATTTTTAGAGAGCCTTATAGAGATAAAGACAGTGTAGAGATACATCCTGTCCTGTGTTAGCTGTGAGGAAGATATATATCCAGTTGATGAAGAATTCGGCTTTGATTCTCAAGTGTAGAAGGAGTATGTGTGGAGTTTCGAATGAAGGTGTTGTAGAGAAAGATTTGGATTTGGATTTTGATGGCTAAGGCAGAAAAAGATTATACATAGAGAGCAACCACTTCAGTATGTTCCTCATGAAGATTTTCTTTTGTAAATTGAGAGTTTGAGACATATAAAGTAGCCAATCTTTATTTATCAGTGACATGTTCAACGAATTTGTTACGTCAAACCAATTTAAAGATGCAAATCACCACTCAGAATATTACAACAAAACTTGTAAATGCAAGAATCATTTGGTATATATATCAGCGAGACTCAATATCACGTTGTTTTTAGTTTAAATCTTGAAGAAGAGAGATACTAATATAACATTAGAATGAGTTGCAATACTAACCATTAAGTAATTCCAGCTTGTGAAGAGTTTTCTTACTAACCAAACCGCAAAAAAAACCTTTTCTCTACATTTTCTTGGTACTCATATCAGATTTATTGCTATAAGACCACTTAATTGGTAAGAATATTTTCTTACAGCATCATCTCAACATCTTCCTCCTACCTACTTTATAACTCTTGACGACCTTAAAGGTAAAAAGTTAGTACTTCCCACGAATCCTTTGTGAACTTTAATGGACAAAACAATTACTCACACGAATCCTTTGTTGAACTTCCCACCATCCGTCTTAACTCCAGCGTTTTGGCTTTTATTATGTCTTCAGAGCCTTTCTTTTGTTTCTCCAAAACCACCTTTTTCTCTAGCACTTCAGCCATCAGCTTTGTCCATTGTAGAATTTTATTATCCACAATTTCAATGTTTTCTTGACAGAGGTCAATACCCTTTTGTGCATCCAAAACTTCATTTTCTAATAAATGCATCTTCTCGAGGTCTCTTTTCCTCTTAAGCATCTGTACAGTAAATACATGTCATAGATTATATATCACTTTTCCTTGCCAAGTGTACTTGTGTTTCAAGGAATTGAATAAGAGAATCTTTTGGCGACCCTTCCCTTGTCTCATTTAGTTGGAAAATCAGTAGATTCCGGTGAGAATCAAGTACCCAAACCAAAACTAGAGAGACAGAGTAAAGGGAGCAAATCAAATCTACACAGTTTCAACCTAATAAACGGATAAAATAAAATTATGTAACGATCGAACAAGATTTAACTTTACCTTCTCTTTTCCCAACCTAGAGGCAGAGTGTGCTTCCATTTCACTTTGATCCTTCTCCGTAGTCTTCGATAGGAAACCCTAAAAGTCTAAAACTGAAGACACCCAATTTTGTTTTATGTTTTTCCCGGCCCGAAACCTAAACCTAGGAGTTTTGTTCTTTTATAAGGAAAAATGATTTAACTGGAATTTTAAGGCTAATTAAATCCTTCAATAGTGTACATAGAGAACCTCTTCAATATGTTGCTCGTAAAGATTAGTTTATACAATATGGGCTTCTTTTTGTATGATGAAACAATTGAAAGTCGCCCAGTCTTTATTAATTAGTGAAAACATGAACGAATTTTGTTTCTTCAAACCAGTCTAAAGGTGCAAATCACCACTCAGAATATTACAAAAGAAACTGTAAATGCAAAGTGCTACATGTGAAATTAACAGACAAACAAACAAACAAACAAAAAGAATTCAAGTATTCCCCAGAAGACAAAATGGGTATATAAGATTTGTATTAAAAAAAAGAAAAAAATAGAGATTTATGTTCAGCTGCTCAGTTTCTCAATGATCTTAGAGAGAGCTGAATATGAGCCAATGACGGAAGATATCGCTCCTACTACGATGATCAAGACACACAGCATCATCTACAAAACCAACCAAACATGGTCCATGAATCTTATAACATTAGAAACAATGTTTTCTTTTGTGTGATAAACTGATATAAATACAAAAAATGCCTTAGAACATTACCTGTGTCCGGGTCACTTTTCTCCGTAAGATGCTCAAGAAACAAGCTGGCGGAAGTATTAGTGTCTACATAAAACAAGATGTGAACTTAAATATCCAAAACTTAAAAAACCAGAAAATAATGTAAGGTCATATTATAAAGCTCGGAAAGATAGATAGCTTACGACGAGCATTGTCAACAATGATCCAATCAATGACATGACAAGACCTGCAAGATTTTTGAGTGTTACATTAATAGTAAAAGTATGATTCTGAAGAAGATGAGCTTTTACATCAGATGATCTTACCAAAGAAGGGAATTGAAAGACCGACAACCAGAGTAGAGAAGACCAATGCAGTTCTAATGCCAATGGCGTACCAATGTGAATTGTTATGCCTTGATGGTATCAATTCCTCAAGACTAAGTGCTACTGGAGATATGGTCAAAGCATATGTGCTTTCTTTTATTAAGGACACACACAATGCAAAGATGATCAATTTTAGACAGCCTAACGGAAGTCAACAGTAGAAACAAAAAAATGAATAATTTTTGTATTGGAAAGGATATTTTGTAAATGGATTGACCACCTGAAAAATGGTTTAAAGAACACAATTTTAGATCCCATGTGATGATAACCAATATACAATAATTTTGAAAAGAAAACATATTTGATCTAATTACCGTAGTCCACACGGCAATCTTAGTTGCAACCAAATCCTGAGGCAAGTTGAGAGTAAACTGTGATTGTGTTGATTCTCCAAACATTGTATAACCCATAACAGCAACGCCGGCGTACATCAGAGTACAAATACCAAAACTGCAAAAAGATTATCAAATCTTTGTGCTATCAAACTTCTTGCATATGTGATATACACTAGAGATTCAGAGTTAAGGTCAGTTTGTCTAAACTTTACGCTTACCATGTCAAGAGAACAGCAGGGTATTGATTTGGCTTCGCCATAGAAGTATAAATATTGGGAAACACAGCATGTCCTGAGTAGCAGTAACCGTAAAGCCCTATAGCTACTGGTAATGTTGACAAATTCAGTGTAGTTCCTTTACTGTGAATTCCAACTTCATCTACTATACCAATCCAAAACAGACACAAAACCACTAGCACTGATGCAATCACTCCTCCAGCTGAAAAAATGTAACAAAAATAGTTATGTCATGACCAAATCTAGAAGGGTTTATCGAGTATAATGATCAGTATATCCTTTAAGGTTTAAAAAACAAAACTAAACCTGAGATATAACTCAGAACACTGAGATCTCTGAGCCAAACGGTGGGGAGAACAGCGAGAGTGGTTACCAATGCAAATAGATGGCGAGCATCTAACTCAAATCCTCCAATACTTAAGGCAGCATTTGGAAATAATGAAGACAAATTATCACTCTCCAATATTATATATTCAACACAGCACGCCTGCAATATGAATATATACAATCATGTAATCTTATACACTCACATGTTTATTGAAGTAACATCTGAGTATTTTTTATGATACACCTTTGACTCTCTATGGTACAACAAACAAATTGTGTAAGAAACAAGAAGACCCTATAAGCCATTTTTTAGACCAGTATTGGCCAAACTAATGATACCCAAAAAAGTCACATCTAAACTAAATTGTCAGAAAAAAATCACTATTCAGCTAATCATTTCAGAGTAGTAGCTTTTAAGAAGCTTTAAGGGACCATTCCATCTAAAAATAAATCTTTGCCTCCTTAGTGACGTCAAAAGCAGCTTTAAGAAGGAACAAATAGGAACAGAGAGAAAAGTTCAAAACAGCCTCAGGTAAGTGCCAAATCTAGAATGAGCTAGTGGGAGAATCTATGGGTCCCTCTGCTTAAGACTAAAGTGTTCCACGACATGGGGTCATTGATTCTGTAACATACTTAAGATATCTTCTAAACACCACTTGGAATCTCTTTAATTATGTACTCGTCTTGACAAAAAGTGTCATGTGATTTCAATTTTTTTTTATAATTTAAAAATTAAACGTCAAATTGCTGGACGAATGGAAGAAGTACTTACGTATAGCTCCAAATAGAGTACTATCTGCAAATGCATAAACAAAAAAAAAGGATAAATAAATATAAAATGAAAATAATGATATCAAATTCCACTAGTAAAGGTGGGACAAGCTACGAGAGAGAGAGAGAGAGAGTAGTGTTCTCTAATACAGTACTTGAATAAGCGCAGAATACTAGTATTTTCTTGCTTTATTTGACGGAATATATTAAAAGTTCATTGACTTCTGACAGAAATCTAATTGCATCAACAAGGGTGCAACAAAATTGGTGATATATAGGAAACTATTTGTAAGTGACTGATTGACTGATCCAATTTGGATGACTAAATAAATCTTAATTTTTTTTTCATAAAAAGAAAAGCAAATAAAGATTCATAAGTCAAACAAAAGAGGAAGAAGTTGTCGTCCTTGGCTTCCATCAGTTCAAAGGCCAAAAGGCAATTCTCTTTTAGTGGAGGAATATTCATTCATTCAGGTTTCTTAATGCAATTTTTTTCTCTATGTGGTCCCTAAGTTTATATCATATTTACTATATCAAAAGATTAGAAAGAAAGACAAAAATTAGTCCCTTACCGAGACAAAGATACGTCCGGTGGTACCAAACGCAGCTTGGCCAATGTCGGGATAAGTCTCGAGATCAGACTCACTGTCCAAGCAATAACGCAAGAGGATTCCGGTGTAGAAAGAAAGAAGACCATATACAAACAGTATCATTAGCCCTAACCATCCTCCTTCTTTCGCAGCATAAGGCGTTGATAGTATCCCAACTCCACATAGAACGTTTAATCCTGCACATGCCCCACATGTTTATAATATTACCAAGATCAAAAGATAACAAATCAAGTTCTTTGAACCTAGACGTGTCCATGTGCTCCATGTGCTATGTGACAATAGAGTTGATTGATGTTTTGTACGTTTTCTACTTATTTTACAAAGACAAACGTCTTCAAAGACCTAAGAATACGGTCTACGAATAGGGCCCATACACACACATTAGTATATTATGAAAGTATCTAATCAAAGAGTATCCGAATATTTCATATTCTAATAACACACACATCCTAGAGTTGTATACTGAGAAAACACAAGCATTGTGATGAAGACTCACCATTAAGAACAGCTTGTCCGTATGAGCTATTGCGAGACATAGGAATCTCATGAGAGACCATGGTTCCTTTCTCGTCTTTTCGCATTGAACCTCTCCTAGAAGGAACAGGAGAGAGCAAGCCATGAGAGCTAAGTCTGCGTTTTGGTGGTGGTGGTGGTTGTTCATCAGCTTGTGGTGAGAGCAGAGGTTTTGTAACAGCAGGTAATGATTCCGGAGTGTGTCTTCTTATCAGTGAAGAGGACATGAAAGAGCTTCCGAATCTCGACATGGAACTGTTTCCAAGGAAACCAATACTTGGAGACGGTACACTACTGTAAAGATCAATCGACTGCCTACAAACAAACATTACCAAGAACACAAAAGAGAACAATCAAAGATTTTGCATATTCCTCTTGGCCAAGAACAAGAATGGGCCAATTTGAGCAAGAACATAAACTCTGTGGCCAAATTACAATAAATCGAAAATAAGGATAAATCAAAACAAACCTGTAACTCTGTGGCCAAGCGGTGGTGTATGAGCTAGGCTTAGCCTGAGTCTGGTTATCATCAGAGGAATCAGAATGGCTTTGATCACCATCTTCTTCCTCGTAATCTTTCCTGTCATCTTCTTCTTCGCTCTCAATGTAAAAGCTCTGATCAGAAGGTACGTGATTCATTTTCGTAAATCTTATCCTCCTAATGAAATCTGATTGATGCGGACAAAAAATGAAATTAGGAAATGAGAACAATCAAATCCGAGATGCAGAGAATTAGGGCTCGAGATCCAAACCTCAAAGTCAACAGCCTCTGTTCTGTTTCTTTGCCTTGAACGAGCTTCAAAATATGAGTCCCAAGATCAACACAGAGAAGAAGAAGAAGACAAAAACATTATTCAGATTGTCGGAATTATGGTGGCGAAGAAAACAAAAAGAAAAAAGCGAATTCGTTAAAACATGATACAATTACAGGGGAAAAATACTCCAAAGAAATCTCATTTCTCGTAAGGAGGATCAGAGAAAGATGTGAAATGACTCGCAGAACAGAGAATTTGAAGAGAGAGAAGAAAGTGACAATTGTTGTTTGTATTTGGTGTTACCTGAAGAATTTTTCTGGGATCCAAACAATAATGAGCTTCGGAACAAAATAGCTGCAGAGAGAGAGAGAGAACTCTGTAGAGGAGATAGAGGAGAGTGGAAGAGAACGATGTAAGAGGAGGGAGAGAGAGCGGCTTTTTCTCTCTATATACCTACAATTTACAAATTGACTCTACAATCTGGTTAAATGTAAAAAAAAATATGTGGAATTTAATTACTAATCAAACTTTCCGTTTATTTAATGATTACTAACCATAGTTGAGACATTAGGCTGATGACTTATTTAAATACTGCATACGTGTCACATACGTAGGTTCTTAGTTAAGGAGGATGAATGTGTGACTTGCGTACAACAATGATCATATATTAAAAAATATAAATTTCTATATAACACAATATGTTTCTAATTCTAAATATAGATAGTATATGATTATATGGTAGTCAATTATTTGCAAAAACGGATTTTCGTTAATAAATTAAATTATTTATTTACTAAATGCTTAAAAATAGCATCACTTGATAACAAATACCACGCTATTTTATATGATACTATGCTAATTGTATAATTATACACACAAGTATTTACGATTTTGTTTCTATGTATTTCTTGTCAGTAAAAGCCTATCAAATGATAGTTTAGTATACTAGTATTAGAAGCCTTTTTTTCAAAAAAATCACCATATATTTATTGAAATTTCGAAGTTTAAATCTAAACATATGATCCTTTTATAACGTAGAACTTATTAACGCTTTTGCAAGACAAGCTGATAGCGGGAAATATACAGTTTTCTATAATTTTGTTCTCACATGAGTTAGCTCTTTGTTTATAGAGAGCGATCGAATGACATGACGAAGGCGAATTATAGATTTGTATTAAGACCTTACTACTTTTCTTACAATCTTAGGCGTTTGTGTGTACTTGCGTTTGCGCGAGTGGAATAAATGACAAGAATACGGCGTTTAGGACAACAAGGAGGTGGACTGGATGACCACGAGAAACACAACTGGTAAGCCGTGAAAAGTGTGATTGGTTAAGTTTAAGCAGCTTATTACATACTCCCTCCGTTTCAAATTAATTGATTAGTATTTAAGTGTGATTAGTATTTTTTATTTTATTTTGGGTCGGCGTCAGTTTTTAATCTTATACTTTGCATCTTTTGTCTTGCTTTAGACAAGAAAATGTCATTAATTTACACAATTATTAATTATTAGATTAAGGACACAATTATTAATTATAAGGGGATGACTCATAAGCGGAATCGACGGGTCGTTTATGTCACTTACAAATATAATTTGATTGTGATTTTCTTCATTTTTTGGCAGGCAACCATATCTTGCTTACCGAGATAATTTAAATTATTTATGCAATACCTCAGCTCTAGGATAGTGAAATTAAATACGCCAAATCTCATGCTTTTACACTAAAATAGAGAAAAAGACTAGTTTAGAGATATGTTTTTATCTATTTCGGAAAGAAACTAACCAAAGGATGAGTTCCCAACTCCAGGTAGAATACAAGAGAATGGTGGTAGTGGTACTCGTATATTTGAAAATTTGAAGTATGAGGTATAAGGAAAAAGAAACAGAGATATTCGAAAACAAAATCTCAATCACGAAAACAGAATCACATGATGTGGAGATCAGTTGTCTTTTCATTGGACTTATCTTCTGAAACGATAACTCAAGAACATGTGCACATTTGATCTCTCTTTGTTGATTCTCCGCTTCTATCGACATATATCTTCATCCTCACATGGTTCATTATTGTTTTTTCTCTACTACAAAAGAGGAGAATATCATGCCCACAAACATTTTGCATTCATATTAATTATTGATTCGATGTACTATTATTGTGTCTTTTTTTTTTTGGATATGATTTATCTTTTATCAACATATTGTCCAATAATCTGTCTTCTAGTGATGATTTATTTTTCGTGACATAAAATGCCTATAACCATAACAATGGTATGTGTCTAAGGTGGGTAGATTTGGAGAGAAAGGTTAAGCTAATATAGGTGAAGGAGTCTAAGAAACGTGAAATGGAGTATGAATAACGTCGGACACATCAACCATGCATCGTCTTCTTGCTTGGTAGATTAATTTGTGAAATATGTAGGTATATATGATTCATTGATGTGTTGTGATTTTGGTTGTTTTACCTTTTGTTTTCTCATTTTATAGTCGAGTCCATGTGTCTTTATTTGTTGATTATCTGTTCGTGGAGTGTCTGTCTCTTTACTCCCAGATTTACAAGAAGAGAGTAATCTCGTATTGTGGTATTTTTCCAAAGCTTCCTCAGACTTTAAGTTCTCTATTGCTGTAGATTTTAAAAAGTGTCACCAGTCTTAATGTTGATTGCTGGTCATAAGTGATTTGGTGCAAAAATTAGATAGGACATAACTTATAATCACACTGATTTTCCAATTCCAGAAACGACAAAGTATCTTCACGCACATTATCTAGTCCTAGGCTCTAGAATTCTTTGTATTTCTGACTCTTGAGAGTTTTGACCAACTAAAATATTAAAACTAGGTTCTCAAATTCCATTGATATCTACACCTTGTTTAAGCCTTATTAGACATTAGTAGCATGTAACACTTCTCCTGATGCTGTACATATTCTGACGAATGTGGACGGTTCTAATGAAAACAGTGTTGTAACCTCTTATTTGACATTTTGTAGGTTGTTAAACAAAACAGGTTACATTAATTAATCTATTACTGTTGGTTGCATGGTTTTTCTTCCAGCTGAATAAACTTCTTTTCTGTGGGACTATGCAGGTTCACGAGGGAAGGAACCATGAAAGTCAGGGAACTGGTGAAAAGTGCTGGGCTATGTTGGTTTCTACATTTGGTTTCAGGGAACTATGTTTCTCTTTCCGTTCTTGTAAAAGGAATTTCAACTTCTTGTTATGCAGGAGATTTTGCACATAAGCTTTCCCATCAGTCATCCAGTTTACCAAAAGATTGAGTTTGCTCTCATATTCCTTTTCACAGTACCATTTCTGCTACTCATGGTTAGGTGATCGTCATTAGTGTGATGAACCTATGGTTGAATAGGATTAAAGACATGGGCTATTTCATATTATATACTTCTTAGTGAAAAACTGAAAATACAGTTAGATGCTCATCGCAGAGTTATTTTGTGTGCTTTAGCTGCTGCCGCTTGTAGTGGTCACCAATTCCAGCCATTGTTGTTTGACGCTTTGATCAACTTAGTTGTATTCCCTCAAGCACTGATTATTTCCTGGAAAATAATTGCATTGGTTTTGCAAGTTCTAGGCACGACTGAGTATCTCCACGCACATTATCTAGTAACTAGGATTCGGTTTGTTTCTGACTGTGAGAGTTTTGACCGAGCTTAAAACTAGAATGTCAAATTCCATTGATACATAGGCCTTGTTTAAGCCTCGATGGCCTATCACACTTTCCGTACGGTGTACAGCTTCTGAAGAATGTAGATGCTTCTAATGAAAGTCGTGTTGTAACCTCTGGTCCGATCTCTTGTGAGTTTATAAATCAAACACGTAACATGGTTATTTCAGATTAATGGTTTCTTTCTCGCGTGTGTTGCACCATTTGTTTTAGGCAAACTCTACTTTTTTTACCTTTGGGAAAAGATATTGTTGTAGACTTTGGTTTTTTTTTTGGGAAAAGATATTGCTGTAGACTTTGTGATTCCCGAAGAGCATCATTATTTGGTCTCTTAACTAATATTTTGTCAATAAAATTATTTTAAAATCTCTTGTAAGAGACCTTTGTTTTTGGCTACTCCAATGGTAGAACAATAAGAGACCATTCTCTTTGGACCAAACAAAAAATAAGAGACCATTCTCCTTCCAATATTTCAATTTTGTTTTTACTTGTATGTGCAACTTTTGGTTTTGTGTTTTGATTTGTGATGGGAATCAGAAGTTAATACAAAGAAGTATGAATAAAGTCATTACCATACCAATGATCTTAAAAAAAAAACAGAGGATTAAGAGTGTCTTTAAAAATGACCCTGAGTTAGAGTAATAGCAGGTAGAGATACATGAGAATTCACCCAGTGAACAGCAAGCCAATGAGGAAGCCACGAGCCATGAACCTCTTGCAGTTCCCTAGCCTTTGTGGCTGCTTCATGCTTCATCCGCAACATTTCTTCCTACAATTTTATTTTGATAAGCGAGAGTTCAGGGGAACTAAAACTTAATCCAAGACCATCATCATCATACCTCAGAAGTTTTAAGAGCACGCTCAAGTTTTCGAATTCTGCTTTTTTGCTTTTCATTTGTCATGTGAAGCTGCAGGACATTCATTGTTAATACTGGCATACACAAAACACACATATCTATCAAGCAACTTAAATACACCTCCAAATATCTAAATCCAGATCAAAACACAAGTATGGAAACCTCCAAAGGAAAGACCATACAACAGAACGAGCCTTATAGCAAAGAATGTAGAGTGCTTGAAGGCATCGGTTTGCCTTTTTCATCTTTGTCTTATATTTATAGTAGGTCTTCGCATTTCAGTATATTCGTTTTCGCTCTTATTCAGTTTCTTTTCTTACTCTTCTTTTTCTTTGTGTTCGTCTTGGTTTTTGTTTTTTTCTTCAACTTCTTTTTCTTCTTGGTTTCAGTTATTCTCCATTCTTCAAATTCTGCATGACTCCATACTTTTGTAAACAAATTTTGTGTAAGCTTTTTTAATTTGATATATGCTATAGAAAATTATCTTTATTGTTATATTTCTTTTAAAATTATAAGTGGATATCAATATAACTGAAACTTTTTATTTAAATTAAGAAATTTTTCTAATTTAATTCTATGTAGATTTTGTTGTTAATAAAAGTTATATTAATATCATTTTTTGTTTAAAATCCTATATAACTAATCTACAGTATAACTTAGTTTTATTTTGTTGTAGTCAGAAAATATTTTATATTTTATTTTCAAAAGTATTTAATTAATAAACATTTCTGGAAAAAAAATAAAAGGAAAATAATTAATTAATTTTAGTGATGATGTGGATCGGAATGATATTAATTGGTTGTTTAAAATCTCATATATATATATATTATTTTTTATTTTTTTTTACAATATTTATTGAAAATTTTCTTAATCATGTAAATAATTACATGGACTAATCATAATATTGGTTGTTTAAAATCCTATATAACTAATTTACTAGTATAACATAGTTTTATATTTGTTGTAATTAGAATTTTTTTTATATATTTTTTAAAGTAATTAATTAATAAAAATTTCTGGAAAAAAAAAGTATTAAAAAGTATTGATCTTAAATTAGTTTTATTTTGTTGGTATTAGAAAACTAAGTTATAAATTAGGAAACAATATCTTTGAACAAGGAAACTTTTCTTGAAACATAATATAGAAATTATTTAATTTAATAAATAACTAATCCTTTTTGTGTGGGATGTGGAATGATACATTGATTGTTGGGATTCTTTGAAAAATACCTTATTTATTTTTAAATATTTGAAAATTATCTTAGTTTTTTGTGTTTTGAAAAATACACTTTTATGTAAAAATACTGCTTTAATCTTTTTTTTAATTATTAAATAATTATTAATTATATACAAATTCGAAAATATTATTATGAATGATATTATTTGATTTTTGTTCAGATAAATATTACTATATATGTCATTTATTTAAAATTTCAAATTAAAAAATGATAAATCTAGAGAAACTTTTAAAATTTGTCTTCAATATATTTATTTATTTTCGGAACCTTATATAAACAACTTTGATATTAAACATAGCATAATATTCATCAAACATTGACCATAATATTGAGCCACACAAAAAAAATACAAAACGTTTTTGAGAAATTCAAAACTACACTTATTGAAGTGCAAATTTTCAAAAATACACCTCTATGGTGGTGTCCATTTTCAAAACTACACTTTTTCATTGAGTAAAAGAACTATAAACCCTAAAATATAAACCTAAACCCTAAAATCTAATATTTAACCCTTAAATCTAAACCTTAAACCTCAAAATCTAAACCTAATCTAGGATTAGTGAACCCAAACATATATATTAAAATTAGGAAAAAATCGTACTTTTGAAAATTGTCACATTATAGGTGTAGTTTTGAAATTTTGCACCTCAAGAGGTGTATTTCTTAAAATTTCTCTTTAACTATCTAAAACTTCTATAAATGTTTGTGTAAAACTATAGTTGATTAACTAATCTGCGGTCTTCCGATTTCTGTTCCAACCTAGTATGATTTCAGAGTATTTGGTTGACCTCCATGGGACTAAGAGACCCCAATTTTTAATCTCAACTTTTGGGAAAACAAAAAACGGCGAGCATGGGTCTTTAAGCATGGCTGTCCTCCCCGGTCATACAATATGATAGACTCATATTACAGATGAGACATTAAGCGCTATTACCGGGTCTCTGTCAACAACACTGTTTTCATGGTACAGAAACTGTGCCTCGGGTATATTGAGAATATTGTATGACCACTAACAAATGTGGAGAGCGCATGCGTACAATTTAGTTTACTTTTGTAAATGCAGGAGACATTAAGCGTCAGTTTCTGTACCATGGTACTGTGAAATATTACCATGAAAACTGTGAAAATTACAGATGAGACATTAAGCGCCTATTTCTCTTACCTATTTCGTTTACCTCTTTTTTACATTAAGCAAATATTACATATGAGACATTAAGCAAATATTACATATGAGACTATTTCTCTTTTTTACTTGTAAACTTGCAGGGTCTTGTGCACGAGATCACTAACAAATGTGGAGACGCATGCGTCTGCGTTGATGAGAACAAGAAGAACAAGAAGAAGAAGTAGAGAAGGTGTTGTTTACTGTCGTGTCAAGTGAAGTTGCTAAAGATCTATGGGTATGGTCGTATGGAGAAAGTAGTAGAGAAGTGAAACAGATGCAACATTTCTTTGAGAATTTGAGGTGTCTTCAAGCGGTGAAAGTTGAGGTTCAAGTGGATCACCAAGACGAGTACTTGCAAGTCACCAACGAACTAATCAATCTCCTCCCTCCAGCTCCAACTTCTTCTTCTAAGTGCAAGTTGCATTTCATTTGATTATTCTCTTCTTGTCCTTCTTTTTGGATTCTCTCATTCTTGTTAATGCTACTGATTATTGTTTGATAAATAAAAGATCTTTGGTTTGTTGATTAAAATTCTCAATGAGTTAAAAAGAGCTTTGTGCTATTTGTATAAATTAAATTAACTTTTTTAGTATACACCAAAGGATAAAAAAACAAAAGCCCCCCCAAACCGTATTTCTCTATCTATCCATCTTCAACCGGCGAAAATGGCGTCGGTGGCATCATCGCCGATTTCCTTCGCCGCCTCTTTCCTCAGAATCAAATCATTCCCTCTCTCTCCTCGCTCCTTCCCCGTCCGTACACTCCGTTGCGCTCTCTCTTCCTCCACCTCCTCCTCTGAGCCCATCGAGTTCGATATCTCCTTTGCTCCTTCCAAGCCGACACCTTCCTCCACTCTCGGCGGCGGCGCATTCCAGCAGCTCTTCATCCCTTGGATCGTCCGCGGTGAAGACGGAAAACTCAAAGTCCAGTCTCAGCCTCCCGCCCAATTAATCCACTCTCTCGCCGATGCCACCACTCAAAACCCGAAGAAGAAGACCACAAAGAAGAAACCCCAAACCGCATCCGCCGCCGCATCTGCCTCCACCTCCGTCTCCTCCTCCCCGGCTTCACGTTCAGAGCCAAAGCTCTCCAAGGCGGCGCGTAGGTTCTACAACGAGAACATTAAAGAGCCTCCTCAGCGTTTGAGCAAGGTTCTCGCTGCTGCTGGAGGTAACCATAATCACTCTCCTCTGTTTCAATTTGAAAATTTGATTTCTTTGAAAAAAAAATCGAAAGGATGTAACTTTTTATCTAATGTAATAATAGTTGCATCGAGAAGAACCTCTGAAGAGCTTATCTTTGATGGAAAGGTTACTGTCAATGGTGTTCTCTGCACCACTCCACAGGTATAAAAAAATGTCTCCTTGTTGGGATTAAAATTGATTGTTCAAAGTTTCAAACTTTGATAAAGCCATTGCAATTCTGTTTAATTGCAGACTCGAGTCGATCCAGCGAGAGACAATATCTATGTTAATGGGAATCGTATTCCCAAGAAACTTCCTCCAAAGGTTTATTTTGCTCTGAACAAGCCTAAAGGGTTCGTCTTTACCTCTTCTCTCACTTCACTTGTAGCTTCTTGTCTCAATTATGGATTTTGTCTCACAGACTTTTAACCTTTGTTTTTGTTATGTTGGATCATCACACCATTGCAGATACATCTGCTCTTCCGGAGAGAAAGAGATCAAGTCTGTTATTAGTTTGTTTGACGAGTACATGTCCAGTTGGGTAATTGCAAGCTTCACCACAATTACATTGAAAGTTGTTCCTTTTCAAAGTGTTGTATTAGAAATCTTGTGTTTGCAATTTAGGATAAAAGGAATCCGGGGACTCCCAAGCCTCGTCTTTTCACTGTTGGTCGTCTTGATGTTGCCACAACAGGATTGATAGTAGTTACAAATGATGGTAAATTATCTTGGTATGTTACATTTGCTTCAGGGAACTTTGTTTTTCTTCCCTTCTTCTAAAAGGAATTTCAACTTCTTGCTATGCAGGAGATTTTGCACAAAAGCTTTCACATCCTTCATCTAGTTTACCAAAAGAGTGAGTTTGCTCTCATATTCCTGTTCGTAATTAGTATACTGAACCTTTGGCTGGCTAAGATTAAAGAGAACAGATACTTCTTAGAGAACCTTTAGATAGCTGCTGGTAGTGGTCACCAATTGCAGATATTGTGGTTCGGCGCTTTGATCCACTTACTTGTATTCACTCAAACATTGATTCTTATCCTTGGACATGTATGCTTCATCTCAGTAGTCCAAAGGTTTTGTGTGTTGATCCTGCTCTAATTTTCTGTTTTTTTTTTTTTTTTTTTTTTTTTTTTTTTTTGTGAAACGGCAGATATATTGCTACGGTTGCCGGTGATGTACACAAACGGCACTTAATGACCATTAGCGAAGGGACAATGGTGGAAGGAGTCCAGTGTGTACCAGATTCAGTTGAGCTAATGCCAAAGCAGCATGATATACCAAGAGCACGTCTACGTATTGTGGTATTTTTCCAAAGCTTCCTCAGACTTTAACTTCTCCATTGCTGTAGTTTCTAAAGTGTTGTTTGCTGGTGATAAGTTACTTTTGGAAAATGAAATGGAACATATCTTATAATCACATTAACTTTCCAAGGCCGGAAACATGAAAGTATCTCTACGCACATAATTTGGGCTCTAGGATTCTTTGTGTTTATGACTGTGAGAGTTTTGACCAACTAAAAGTTTAAAAGTAGGTTCTCAAATTCCATTGATATCTACACCTTGTTTAAGCCTCACTAGCCTGTAAACACTTCTCCTGATGCTGTGGATGGTTTTAATGAAAATAGTGCAGTAACCTTTTATTCGACATTATCTGACCTATTAGTGTTGGTTGCATGGTTTTCTCCAGCTGAATATAACTTAATTTTCTCTGTGGGACTATGCAGGTTCACGAGGGGAGGAACCATGAGGTCAGAGAACTAGTGAAAAATGCTGGCCTTGAGGTCAGCTTTCTTCTTATGCATGGATTAAAATCTTGAGGTCACAGTCTTATTTGTTGCAGTTGATATCTCCATGCTAATTGTTTTTGCCTTTTACTTGCTCAGGTTTACTCATTAAAGCGTGTCCGTATAGGTGGATTCAGGCTTCCTTCAGATCTTGGGTAATGTTCTTAATACTAACCTCATTTTCCTTGCAATTCTGGCTTCGCCTTTTGAGTTATGTTTTCGCTTTTAGTTTCCTTACTCAACTGTTGATTGAGTGTAAGTTCTTTAGTATAAGATTATATCTAGTACTGGTTTCATATGTGTATCAGCTATTTGCATCAGCTGAAATAAACCAAAACTTAATAGTTGCTTACAATGATCCAATGTAGGATATGTGATGATATGTTAGTTACCCTACAGGTTAGGGAAGCATGCGGAACTGAAGCAGAGCGAGCTAAAGGCAATGGGTTGGAAGAGTTGAAGATCTGAAATATGCTAATTTTTTTGTGCCATTTCAATACATAGATCTCTAGTGACTAATTCCATTAGATTTTGGTATGTTATGTTTGTAATGTAAAAAGAGTTGGCTTAAAGAAAACCATAAATCAACTTGGCTAGATCCACATTCAGATAATTTTTTTCTTCTTTTAACTCATTAGCTTATGTTCGTTCTTTGAACTCAAACTGTGTCCATAAAACAACGCTATCAAATAAAACCCTAAATCCTCTCAGCAGCACGTCTATCAACATCTGCATCTCCATCCATATCTCCAAGCCATGCCTTGAGACTCGCTTCTTTACCCGCCTTAAACTCCTCGAACTTTGTCGTCTCTACCAAATGTTCACCTTTACTCAACACTTCTTCTTCTTCTCCTCCTCCTTCTACTAACTCATTGCTCTCCACATTGGGGCTTGACTCCACCTTCTGTTCTTTAAAATCAAGCTGTGGCCATTTAATGTTGCTTGCTTTCTCCTTAGCCGACTTGAACACCGATGTGAAATAGCTGCTGCCTTCGCTATTCTCCTGGCTGTAATCAGAACCACGCGTCGTCGTCGTTGCTGTTGTCAATACACTGCTTGATCTGCTCCAAGGGCTCGCGGCGGCGAAATTGTTGACGATCACCCCTCTCTTGGGTTGTTTCGAAGACATGATCGCTAGAGAGTTCTTGATGTCTCCTATCATCTCATCAGCGATAGGTGAGCCGCACTCTTTCATCGACTTCACCATGGCTATAGAGTCATCCAAGTCTTCCGTGTGGAGAAGCGTCTCACGAGACTTCTCCAGAACGCTGTTGTTGAGGTTGAGGACGTTCGGCGCTGCGTTTCGGACGTGCTGCTGGATGTAGTAAAGCCCCACCGATGGTTCGTTTGCAATGTACTTTATCATCTCCGCTAAGCTCTCGTTTATCTCCGCAAAACCATCCACAGTAGAGAACTCATGCATTCTGCACAAAACAAAAGAACAAAATCAAACTAAATCATGCCAAATTCAGTTTTCAGCTACACTACTAATTAGATGATGTATGTATTAAAGCAGAACCAATCCGAATGATATCACTATTGACCAAGAGAGAGGTTTGAGATGCTTCAAAAGGAATCTGATGCAAACTTAAGATTCACAAGCGATGCAAGAGGAGATGAAGTTAACAAACGAGAGCCTTAGATAAGCTATAATCAATCAATCAATCAACCTCTAATCATTTTGTGTAAGAACAGAACAAATTTGACTACAGAACAAATTCAAAAAAGATATCAAATTTTGCTCCGTAAGCATCATCAAAGCTCAATGGATCAAATGGGCAATACAAAGAGTTAAGCAATCAACTAAACACCTAAAATCTCTTCAGAATCTATCCAATTCGTGGCGGCATTGAAAAAGCCCAATTTTTTAACAAAGCTAGGTCGCGATAAGAATCAAATTGGAGAAAATTACCAAACGGGAAAATTTCGTCGCAACACGAAAGCAGAAATTGAGAAACAAGAGAGAAAGAGGAAGCTTACAGGAAACCCTAGATGACGACGAGGCGAATTGGATATAATCGGTTTCCTCGATGATTAATTTCTTTGTGAATAACGAATTGGAATCTTCGTGTCTCTCCTGATGTGTTCCTCCTATCATTTGATCAAAGGCAAAACAAAAATGCAATTTTCTTCTGAGCTCTAAAAGGTAAAGTGCAGACAAAAATTGGGCACAAGGAAGAAGACGACGACAGTAATCCCCAAAAATGTAAGGTCCACTTTTCTGTGCCACACGTCATCACTCGCACGTGCGTGCCTCCTCTTCCTCACACGTTTGGATGGTAATCGTTTGTGAGAAACTGAGAATCAACACAACAACAAAAAGTTAATAACTAACAAAAAGATACTCTAACTTCTATACCAATAACAAGATCCTCCTTAACCTTTAGAAAATACATTTAGTAGCCTCATATAGTTTAAGAGATTTATTTTTTTGGATTTACGGTTTGTTGCACCAAGGCTAAACACAAAACGAATATTTAAATAGTCATGTCGACTGAAAAAATGGTCATGGCCTCATGGGCCAACAAACGGTCAAAGGGGTCAAAATTAAGTTAAAAGCCTAACTCCTAAGCTAGTAGGGTCTTAGAAAAACGAATGTCAAGTTTTCAACCATTGCAATTTGCACCTACTCTTGTTTTTTAATCTGGAGTTTTCAACCTTTGATCTGACCAACTAACCATTAGACCATCTCCTACGCTATATCTTATTGGCTAGGGACTGTTTATGCTGGTATACATAAACTAATTAAAGATGATGTGTTATTCCAACATAGTTTGAATACTAACTAAACTTCTCTGATTAATTTGGTTACATCATGTTTCCTCCGCCTTGTTCAACAAATAAGGATGATTTTTTTTTTACTCGGCCTTTGATGGTAAAGCATGACATCGAGCTTGCTTAGTTCGTTGGAAACTTGTTGATGTAGTTTTTTTGTAAATTTTTTCAGATTAGATAACCAATCTAAAGCCCTGGTTTAATAATGTGATTGAGAAAGATAAAAAAAAACACATTTGTGATTACAATTATCCGTCTAGATCCGATCATTTTCGTCTAATTTAGAGATATATGAGTTTGGGTAAAATAGTCCAAGTGGAGTCTAGAGAGAGGTCACGATTTTGGTAGAAACCAGCTAGATTTAAGAATAAACTTTAGTTTGCAATTTAATCCATAGTTTGGGACTTAAGAGATTGTATAAAAGATTTAGCCAGGGTGTGTGGATTGATTAGCTGGCACCTAATTTGCTTGGAGTGGTATAATTACGATTAATGCCTTTACTATATAACAAACATTCTAAATGCGGTCACCATTCACATGATGACATCAACGAATTAAATTATGCAAAGTGCAAACTTTAAAAACACAAATACTTGTAAAACAAATGAAACAAATGTATGGTTCGTGTAAAAAATCTAGTATAATTTCGAAAGTCTTTAGAATGATGTACACACTAGTACTTGACTTCTAACACGAATGCAACTTTTTATTTTTCATGTTTGAATGCAACTTATTTACTAAAACCAAAATTTTGAGGAAATAGATTCACAGAATACACCCGATGCAGATGGTCCACAAACTTACCATTATTCATTCCATAGATACATGTGAGCGAATAAATCTACGTACAACTCACACATAGGAACACACAACAAATATGAAAATATATTATATAAGGGTGCTTGCGCATGCATATATTTATAAAGACATGTGATAATTGGTGGGTAGACAAAAGTACAGCAAGGATTAGGTAGTAAACACTATGGATTGTTCCTTAGTCTAAATAGAAGAGTCAAGCAGAGAATCTTAGTCTAAAGTTTAAACATTACTTCACTTCCCTCTATACTTTCCTAAAGGCAATGTCCTCTCGCTAAATAGAAGTATATCTTATACTGTAACAATTATATAATTAGTTGCAAGATTATTGGTCGTGGCCTTTCTTTTCATGGTTTGTTTTTGCATTATTACAGTGGACAATATATGTGAGGTGTGCCATATTTCCCGGTTAATAATATTAGCCTTTATATATAAGAAAAAGTATATGTGCATATTCTCAATATGTGAAAGAAATGCAAATCGAAATTGAATTATATGCGCAATTGAAATGATAATAATAAAAAATGGAGTGTGGAAAAAGGTGGAGGAGATAGAGGAATCCATGTGTATCCAAGCACTTGTAGACAAAATGAGCTTCAGAGAAGAGAAAAGCAACCTTTAGCTTTTTTTAAGACCACCAGACTCAGAAAAGGAGATTTCAAACACACTCTCTCCTCTTTTAGGGTTCTTATAATTTTCTCTCTCCTCTTCCTTTAATTATGTCCTGAGAAATTTCTTTCCTTCTCACTTAATCATACCCACCACCATGATGCCGTATCTCATGCTCATGCATGTGTGGTATGGATGGTGATGTGTATGGATGTCTATATTTAGTGAGGGGTGAGAGGATGAGATGCAAAAGCAACCCCACAAGTAATCCTTGTTTCACTCTCAAAAGACTAAACAAATTAACCAAAAATATATTTATGCCCTAACTTTAGCATTTGCCTTTACCCCTTCTTTCTTGCCCTTTCCTTAGGGTTTCTTGTGGGTCTTTCTTTTTCCCTTTGCTCCTTTTTCTCTTTTTCATTTTTCGTGGTTTAGTTTTATCTTTTTGACCCAAACACATCTCCTTTAATTTGCTTGCCCCTTGTCTACATATATGTATGTATTTACATATATATACACATCTGTATCTCTCTCTCACCCCAACCTTAATTGTTTTATATAAACCCTTTCTCCTCCTCTCTCAATCACCTTCAATCTCTCTTTCTCTCTGTCTCTCTTTCTCTCACTCTCTCTGGATCGCCAATTCACCCCCATATTGAGTTTGTTAATCCTCATCTTCTCTTTTGTCTTTTCAACAAATCGTCAGTTAGGACTTCAAGAACAGTAACCACAATTCTTCCAGAAGAGAGAGAATACCAAAGATCTCTTTAATTCCATTTTCGTACATGCAAATCACATTCCATGCTTTAGATTGTTTCTATTCCTCCTTATTTATTGCTTATACCTGTTCAAGCATGTCCAGGTGGAGAGAGCATTACTTAAAAATAGAATTAGATATCTGGTTTAGGCAATTAGTTTCCATACATAGCATGTATATATAGATAATCATGAGGCTTATACATAGATCCTATTCGTAGATGTATTATATATGTGCCTGGCTCCCTGTATGCCATACACTTAGCTCTTCGAGTGTCGATGACCTCCGTGGATGGCGTATGAGGAGCCATGCATATCCTTATATACATATACATATTTCTCTAATTATGTTATGGTACCAATCAAATTGTGTTGAGCTTGTTTTGTAGAACTCTCTGTTAATTGCGCTCCATCAACTGTAGAAGATTAGAAGGTACCTCACTAAACTTAACTCTTGTGCTTTTTCTTTTGGATTCACATTATTTCAGTTGTTAGATATTTTGGTGACCCTCTGAGTCCGTTCTTGTCTTTAGATTCGTATTTTTCGAGTACAAATGTTTGTCATGTCACAGCACTTTTTACGAGGATTCCTGCTGTGACCACATCAGTGTAGCTCCTTTGTTTTTTTGAAGGAATTGGTTGATTGTATCGATAGCTAATTATTACATTCCCGTACGATTCAAGAGCTTTTGTATCTTTTCAATCATTTCGATTTCATATAATATATTTGTATTTGTATATAACTTGTTACCTACCCTTTTATAAATCTTATATATAACCTAGTGGTACTTAGTAACTTGTGGTTTCAATCGCACGATTGTTGACTGACACATGCACAAAGTTGCATCACACATTTCTTACTTTGTTTTTGTGAGGTATTGCAATAATTGCATTTGGTTTGTTGATCTCAAATTGAAAATGCTATTGTTAGTTACGAAAACGTATTCTAAATTCCCTCTTCCCTAAATATTATATATTTCAATAATCCACTGAAAATAGATCATATTTATGTGAGTAAGAACAATAACAAAACGAACCATTCAAGGTAGTTAAGCTAACGGAACAAATTCAAATACTCTTTCAATACATAAAAGAAAAACTCTGAACTAGTCAATTTACCAATATATATACAACAGCAAAAAGACAATTCACAACGTGTGCTATAAATAATATTCAACTCAAGCTGTTAAGCTGTTCGTCTCTACGCTAAAAATAATGTTTAACATCTAGATCTAGTCGTTAGTCTTGTTTTCTTGTTGTCAATGCATGGTTAATAATAAAAACTATTGCAACATTAAACTTTACAAGGTAGTGTTGTTGATCTTTTAAAGAGATAATTACAAAATTACTTTAAAAACGATTTGTAAGAGAGCTTCAGGAACGATACAATAGCTATGTGTGAACCGATGATACGAAGAGGCTTCAAAAATTAAAGTCGTCTGTCTTGGTCTATAAAAATAAATCTTACTATTATCATTTCTCTCTGGCCAACTAACTTTACAATAATTTGTTGTCAATAGCATTTCATCTGAAAATAAAAATGAAATGTTATTATAGTATAGGAAAACGAGAAACCCTAGGAAAGGGTGAGCCTGCGGTGCCTGTAATTATTCCAAGCATCCATCCAACCACGCGTGAGACTGTTCGACACAAACACACATGACAATGTATAGCCTTTTTCCTTTTTTTTTAAGGAAGTTTAAATCTTTTTATTGTAGTAATTTCGCTAATATAAAACATACATTCGTCACAAAAGTGAAGAGAAAATGTTCTAACTTACCTGAAAAAATAAGTGCGTAAGAATTAGCTCATGGTCTGCATTTGAAAGCAGCCTTAAATCTGCACGTACCCAATGTCGTTTTTCTTTGTTATCGACGTAAGAAAATTCTAGTTAGTCTCAATTATTTGAGTTCGTCAGTTAGTCAATATTCGGTTTATAGAATTGTAGTATATCACCTCGCTGAATAGATATTCGTTTTTTTTAGTTGGAATATAAATTATGGGTGGTGACTGGTGAGGTAATGATGAAAGGAAAATGGAAAGAAATAGTGTTTTTATTATGCTTTGGAAATCAGCTTTTTATATCATCAACAAATATTTGTATAATCATTAAAGAAAATATGGTTATAATAATAATGATAAGGGATGGACCACACTAGTACCTATATCTCTTCTGATTGGACATTAGGGAATGATGAATCTATTTTTCTAATATATCAGTCAAAGTAGGTCAACAAATAATTTCAACAACCGAGGGCCACGCTCAGCATTTTTAACAAAGTTAAATCCACTTTTTTACTCAATTATTTATTCGTATTCTAATCTTAATTAGGCCGTTATCGCACTGTGTGATGTGATATGTTTGTATTTTACTGCGTATAAGACAGATATGGGTGTATTTAGTACTAGTATTGATATGTTAGTTTCGTCAATGCTAATTCACTACTAGTATAACTTATTGTCCATATGTAGAGATGTTACTCTTAACTGCGGAGTTCTGATGGAATCCGATACATTAGTGCTGGTATGATTGCACTTTTTTTTTTTCAATTGAAGTGGAATCATACATTTTCGAATCCCTAAAAGTTCAATGGATCAGACTGATATATTAGAGTTTTAAATTGAAAATCGATCAAATCTACAATAAATTTAGTGTGTTGCAGAGAATCATATCCAGGAAGCAGCACCGATTCAGGGAGGAGACGAAGAGCAGCCCGATATCAACCATTTTGTCGACGATGACGACGAGATCTATCCACCTGCTTTCAACATCCAAACTCTCCCGCGTATGCATTTCACGCTCGCTCTGAGGGAACTTTTAGAAGCATCAACCGTTCGATTCCTCACGGTCCACGAGCTCTTCGTGTTGTTCACTTACAGAAGGAACTTCCTGCCACCAATGAACCAAATAACCATCCCACCGTTAGAAACGGGTCTATTCAGGGCCGATAACGGGTATGCCAAGGACATAAACTTAGTTTGGCTCGAGACTAGCAGGATAATCTCATGCAGGAGTGGTGTTATCTTCAATGTTAGGCAGACTCGTATGATGGAGATTGATGGTATGCAGTTTACCCGGAGAGTATATCGCTGCAGACACTCTATAAGATTCCGTCATGTATGCTTCATGCACTATCTCTTTTGCGTGGTACTTTTGTGGTCATTTGCCAGAAAATTCTATCTGCAATTTTTACATACGGGATGCAAAAAAAAAAAAAAAAAAAAAAAAAAAAGAGATGTCAAAAACTGTACAACAGTTTACCAAAAAAATAGATATCATAAAAATTCACTTGGTCTTAAAAACAGCTTAATTTTGAAATTTCCACTATACATGTCTTGTGAAATTTCAATTTATAACTTCATTCTCTTAGAAAAAAGAATGGTGTAAGTAAGAAATGGAGTTACTCCATATTTGGAGAGAAATGCATTACCCCATTTAAAAATTGAAAACTGAGTGAAGTGAATTTTGGGACAGAGTTCGAAATGCTCTAAGTCTGCACTTTCATATGAGTTTCTGGTTTGCTTATCTTTATAAGTGTTGCAACTATTTGTAACGTGGACAAATTTCTTCACACAAAAAAGTTAAACAAGTGAAAAATTAATTGTATTTACAAGTGGAAAATTACCCGTGATCCAGTTTTAACAGTAGTCGTATTTGTGAACATGTGATTATTCCGCACCTAACAATATATATAAATATAATTGGAAACCAAGTATATACAAAACCCAACAAATTTATGAAATCAATAAGTGTAACATAAATTAATTTAGATAAACAAATCGCAAAAACAAATGAAACAAGGCCTTTTAGACTTATGCACACAATTAATAAATCATAAAAAAAAATCAAAATAAAACATATTTTTATCATTTAACTCCAACACAATTCAACCAATAGAAAAAACAAACAACATAACTTACATTGTCAAAAAAAAAAAAAAAAAAAAAATCTTAAAATGCCACTTGTTGCCTTCTTGGAGAATAGAGAGAGTACAAAATAAAAAATTTGTCTAATTGGATAAACATGTTTATTTATATAATAATATGGGTATTACATGTTGAGTACAAGACTTTGAACATAGCCTGCAACTGGAAAGACAATGTACACTATATTAACAATCTAAGTAGAACACTTTCTGATTTAGTTTGACAAACAAATCTATCGGTTTATTACTTTGATGACCAATTATCATACATTTTGTAGCGAAAATAAAGTAAATTAAAACAATGCTGAATACATTTTTTCACATGTTTGAGAGAGGCTTCTGCAAAATCAAAACGTGAGTCCAGACTTAACAATGAGATCAAGAAAACTGAGAAGATTCCTGATACTTGGTCGCTCGTTTGCGTTTTCCCTCACAGCAAGCTCAGCTAACTCAGCCAGTTTAAGCAAAGGCTCTACATTTCTCGGCAAACCAATGTTCCTATCGATAATCGCCGCCGCTTTTCCTTTTCTGATCAACGGAACCGCCCATTCCCCGATCCCGGGAGGATCACACTCTCTATCGTTAGCTTTTCGACCACTCAGTATCTCAAGAAGAACAATACCGAAGTCATACACATCACCTTCTCTATCACCTTTACTCGAATCCCTCTCATTCGAACTCACCAATCCAAAATCAGCAATTCTTGCACACATCTCTCCGTCCAGCAAGATGTTGGACGTTTTCACATCTCTGTGAATGATCGGAGGATCTACTTCGTTGTGTAAGTAGTCAAGTCCTCTTGCGGCTTGCAACATGATCTTCAACCTCATGCTCCAATCCAGCTGAGAGAGATCTCCATGGAGATGATCATGGAGCGTACCGTGCGGCATGTACTCATAAACCAAAAGCCGCTCACCCATCTCCGAGCAGTAACCTAAAAGATTCACTATGTTGTTGTGCCTGATCTTGCAAAGAATCTCCAGCTCGGACTCGAAACCTCGGTTGTTCGAGTGGATGATCGTTGCCGCGTTCGCTCTTTTGACCGCTACTTGTAATCCATCGGAGAAGACAGCTTTGTAGACAAACCCGAAGCTCCCTCTCCCGAGCTCGTTGAACTCTTTGAAACCGTGAGTCGCGTCTTTCAGCTCGGAGAGACGGAATATCTTCGTCTCTCCGAGAGAAACCGCGGTCGGGAGAAGAAGAACCGACTGCGGAACAGGATCAGGATCAGCTTCGACTGAGTTCTTGTCGAAACAGAAGCAACAAGTCATCTTGCTTCTCTCTTCCTCATCTCTTTTGCTACCTTTCGTCATCCTCGGAATGAAAGACAAACCGATCAGCATCACCAAGAACCCCAAAACAGAGCAACCGATGATGATCACTAGCCTCCGCACCTCTCTCTGCTCGTGCGCACGCGATTTCGCCGCCGGGATGTTACAGATTCCGTAGCAAGAACTGCTCTGACACAGCGAGCAAGGCGTGCAGACTCTGTCCGCGTTCGGATTGCAGCTGCTGGAAGAGAAATATCCGTCCAAACAATCGATCCCGCAGCGTAAGCAAATGTTTAGGTTATGAAACGAGCAAAGGCTCGTGAGTTCCGATTCTTTCAAGATACTTGCGTTGAAAGCAAACGAGCCCTCACCGCAATTACCGCGAGGAGAGCACAAACCGGGGCTGCATAGCTCCAATGGAGGACTATAATCCGGTTTAGAAGAATCATGGACTCTCCAGCAATCAAGAACCAAATCAAGCTCTCTAATCCCGCAAGTCGTGTAATCAGAAGACGAAATCGCTACAAAACCTGACGTATTAGGAGCTGAAGATGACGAATTTAGGTTTCTTCCCCAACACTCAACACCATGATCGTCTTCTCTGATACCGCAGTAATGGTTCGCGCCAGCTGAGAGAGAGATAAACCGGGACCGGTTTGGTATTTCTCCAAACTCTGTTTCGTCTCCAAAGCATTGAAGTTGACCTGAAGCTTTCGAGACTCCACAAACAGAGTTTCTCCCGGAAGCTAAAACCTCGAATCCTCCTTGTTCGGTTTTGGAGATACCCAACCGGTTCGATTTCGGTCCCCAGCAAACCAAGTCTTCGTCTTTGGTAACACCACAAGTGAATCCATCTCCGGAGACGATCTTACGAAACATGAGACTGTCTATGTAAGGATTGTGAAACGACGAGTTCCAAAGAAGTCCGGTTTCAGTGTATTCCCAGCAATGAACGGGTCCGTAATCAGGACCCGAATAGTATAATCCACTTATAGCGCAGACATGGTTGTTACCGGAAGCGATCTGCGAGTAGGAATTGTACTGAAAAGCTCGAGGGACGAGGTTTTGAGAAGGATCTTCGAGGTTCCAGCAGAAGGCACGCGAGGTGTTCGACGTAATGGCGCAGAGAAAACCTTCACCGCCGGAGAGAGAAGACATCGGAGGAGAATAGCCGGAGATTTCTCCGGGAGAGTGGTTTATCGATCGGTTGGTGTTTCCTCTGTCCCAGCAGATGACTTGTTGCTTCCCGCTTGCGTCAATGGCGCAGAAGAATCCGTTTTTGCCGAATGCGGCGGCGATGGTGGCCGTCGAGCCGTAGCCGGAAACTGTGATGAGAGATGAGATGGAGGTGATGAGGAAGACGAAGGTGTGGAGATTTGGCGGCATTTCTGGGTTTGAATTTGATGAATTTTCGTGAGGTGATTGGATTGAAGAAGGTGGAAGAAGAATCGATCTGAGAGAGAGGTGATTGAGTGGACATGTTAATGAATGCTGTTCTTGGTTTTGTTTTTTTTGTTTTTAAAAAATATAAAAGAATATTAATAATAATGGAAGTGAGCTGTTTATGTCTGCGCGAAGGTTCATTGGAGAGAGACACAGTTGAGTTGCAAATTGGTCAGGGAGATGGAACTTACCATAACTGAAATTCATTTTCTTTTGATTTTCTCAGACAGTAACTGTACGGACATTTACTTCGATTGACTGAGTATTGCTATTTGATCAACATTCAACAAGTTCTTTATAAATTTAGCGTTAACCAAGGCAACAGAAAAAAAAAAATTACTTTATAAATTTTCCGTTATAACCAAGGCAACAGAAAAAAAACTCACAAGGCAATGTAGAGATATTCCGTAGAAACAAAAAAGGTAGTGTCGTGCAGATTAGAGTACGGTCAAAAGGATTAATAGTTGACTTAGCATTTAATCATATGGTGGGAAAAAGCACATGCTTTTCTCCACGTGATACTGCTTAAACAGCGCCGTTAATTGCATGAACCAAATGATGGAATCTATTAAATATACTACTTACAGTTAAGCATTGTCAACATCCATATTAGCAATTTCATTTTCCCTATCTACGTTTCTTAGTCATTGACATCGACAAATTAATCACGGCTAGCTCTATTATTTTCAATTATACACACATGAGTTGGTTCAATAGTATGTCTTCTATTGATTTTGGATTTTGTTACATTAAGAATTGAGATTTTATGTTCATATTTAAACGGCATGAAATCATATGTGGGATACGCATATTCAAAATGTTTTAAAACACGGAAACAGTTTATACTGTTTTTGATAGTAAATATGTAGGTTCATCTTAATATATGTTCACATCGTATATATATTAAGACCGTCATGTTCAAAGCCACAATATTTGAAGTCATATACTGATCGTTTTCATTCTTATTCTCTAGATTCCAAAGTATAATCACTTCAACAAAAATCCCTGCTGGTCACTCTAATTCGCCTAACCACGCTCGATTTCTCATCCCAAACATACTTAATCTCCTCCTGAAGAACTGTTTCTATGTCCTAAAAATATCAAACACACTTTTTTGCGAGTAATAATGTTGGTATGTTTCGCATTTACCGTGGAACAAATGCACCAAACGTGGCAACTGTTCACGGTCAAATTAGAATTTAATTACTAGTGCAATGTTAAGTCTCCGTTTATGTGCTTAAGCATATTATTATGTACAATAAACTCCAACGAGAAACTACGTAATACGGTAATAGCATGTGAGCATTAAATTAAGGATATAAAAAGGGAAAAAAGAAGCAAGTGTTGGGTTTGAACAAAAAAAAAAAAAAAAAAAAAAAAAAAAGAAGCAAGTGTTGGGATAATAATAGAAGAAGATCGCACAAGATCACACCAGATTTAGGGCAAGCTTGGTGAGAGAACACAGTGTTTGGAAGGGAGAGAACATCGGCTTGTGCTAAGCGGGCCAAGTAGATTCTGTCTTTTCTGTCTTTTTACTCCAACCAGTGTTTTTAAAACCGGACCGGAAGGCGAACCGAATAAGCATCCGGGTCATGGTTTAATCTGGTTCGACCGGTTTGAACCCGGTTCAAAACATTTAAATTATATTTATTTTTAAATATAAATTTTAAAATAAAAATATAAATAGTTAAAAATTGATATATATAGGTATAAATATAAATATAATAATATTATAAACTTATATTTTCATTGTTTTAATTAATTATTTATAGTATAAACATATATAATCTCAAAAAATATCAAAAGTGAAAATAAATAAAATAAAATAATTAATTAATTGATCGTATTAATTGTTTTTGAACCAGACCGGAGACCCAACTCGGTCACATGTCCGGTTCATGGTCGAACCCGGTTTGACCACCGGGTCGGTCCGGTTTTCAAAACACTGACTCCAACTCATTTACATACATGATACATTCATCAAACATTTCTATAATACATATACAGATCCACTTGTGCGTTTTTGTTGTCATTGAACTACAGGTCGTTCTTACACATTTTTCTTTTATTATATATCCTCCTTATGTCACTAAGACAAATAAAACTATCTATCATTAGGAATAATTAACAATTAGTTCACACATAGGTGGTTGTGTCCGGTCGTCACGGGACGAGTTAGAAGAATCGTAGGTTTTGTAGGCTAAACACACTGCACATTGCAGACTGAAGAAGTCATTGTTTCATGCAAAATATAACAGACCAGACCGTGATCACCTTTGAATTGTATATGATTTTTTTAAACGACGAAAATATAGATTTCAATATGATAGTTATGCTAGAGTATATCATATTAAACTTAGACAAATCATAGATTTACACTATTATTATCAATAAAAGCAATAACATATCTTATGTTAAAAAGGAAAATAAATTATGTTCGATTTATCATGTTTGTGAATGTTACATAAATCATACCAAGGAACGTACTACGATTTGGTTTGGTTTTGCTATTAATTTACTATGGTCCGGTTACATGTTACTATTTAATCGTTTCTTCGCGGTTGTTTGATATTGTTAATATGGTTAATGTGCTACCTGAAAATGTGAAAGGTATGTAATTATATATAACTCTACTCGGTCTATATATTGGTTTGACCGTAAATTCAATACCACAAAAGGGTTCAAATTCTTTCACCTAAAAAGCCTACGACAACCTAGGGGTGTTGAGTAGCTTTGCTAGATTTCCACCAAGTAATTTTGTTTGATAGCCGTTATGCATCAGAGATTAACGTATTTGTGACCTCTTTCTTGTTTTAAAACTAATCAAATATACGGTTAATTTACGTTTTCAATTTGTTAGAAATATATGTATTAGTATTAAGCGTTAGATTAGATAAAGTACTGTTGATGCAAATACTGTACATTTTTGTTATATATTTTGCCTAGTTTCTATTTTTTCACCAATAAGTAAATCCTCAAGTTCATCCAACTCATCCAGTCAGCGGTCTGATATAGTTGAAGGCTGTAGAACACATGAACGACCACCACACTTTGAATTTATGGGAACATCTGAAATACGTTCATACTCAAACATACTCCATCATGTTCTCTTTTCCTCAACCGTTACAAAATTCATAATGTTCCGTTGACCCATAATGATAGTATTCCCAAGCTTTATCTGTTTTGACTTTCCAACTATCTTCCACTTTTCATCTTAAATTATATGATATTTTATACTATAGTGTATCATAATTATTTTAGATAAATAGTTTATTATCAATAAAGGGCGGTGAAATATTTTTATCTCATGTTTCTTTTTTTATAATAAAAATATTTTCATGTTATGTCAAAAAGGAAACTATTTTCGGCTTTGTTATGTTTGTGAGATGTCTTACATAAATCATACCAAACTACGATTTGGTTTGGTTGGAATCGTTTGCTAGAATTCCATCAAGTACGATTCATTTTGATTGACGTATTAATATCTCTTTCTTGTTTTAAAATAATCAGATATTTAATTTGTAACAACTTCATATATTAATCAAATATATATCTGTGATTGGTGATATAATGAATAGTAATGTATTACCGAATTTTTAGCGGTACAAAAGATAACAGTAAGAAAAACATTGGTACAAAATATAGCAGTACAAATAAAGATAATAGAAAATGATATTACATACTTAAGTTCCGATTGGTAACATTGTAGCAATACAAATAATGTATTTTTAAATAAAAAGGAAAATCAGTTAAATTTTTAAAAATTAAAATGGTATCTAACTGTATAACACAAAACATTTGATTTTTTTTTGTTACAAAATTAGCAACACATTCACTCAGTTACATGTTTTTTAAAGACATAATAATTTAAATTCCAAAGAAAGTTTGACAATTAATATTATTTGAAAACAAAAAAAGTTAGTCAGATGTTAATAAATATGTATGTATTCAAAATGTTCAAATACATCACATTACAAATAATATGTCTATATGTCCTCTGTTTTCATATTTCAATTTATACATATATAAAGATGACTAATGCACATTATTAAAAACACCAGCTCTGAAAATATTTTCACTTTACCATTAAAATTAATCATTCAAACAAAATTGAACATAGCTAATAAAAGAGAATTATGTCTTATATTTTTAACATTTTTCAATGATGTGTGTTTTTCAATGATGTGTTATACATTTTTTGTTAGTTAACACTAAAATATAATTATTGACAAGCAATTTTAATAATAATATATATCCAAAAAAAATCACCTCTCACAAAATATAGTATCAGTTACAAGTTTTTAAAATAACATCATTTTGAATTTTGAAGAAAATTTGATAATTTAAATTGTCTGGAAATCAACAAGAATTTTAAATTCACAAATAAAGAGTATTCTAAGATGATTAAATTTTTCAAATACAACACCTAGAAAAATTATTTGTTATTTTTTATTTGGAGATATATATTTTTTTAATAATTCATTGATTCATAAACTATAATTTTTAATATTGAGATGTAATATATATATATATGTTTTATTTTTTAGGTCTACTAAAATTAATTTTACTTTCTTAATTAGAAAAAATATTCGTAAAGTCAAATAAACATTAATAAAAAAAAAATAGTTCTTGTTTTTATATTCTCAACAAATTCTTAGTGAATTTTCAACCATATTTCCATATGTTAATAATTATGAAAAGACAGAGTTATTGATAGCCAATAGTCAATTTTGATAACTATAGCCAAAACAAAAAAATTACATACCAATTTTACAATTTTTAGTAGTAAAAAAATTACTTGTACCATCACTTTTTTGTACTACTTCATCAAACTATCATTACACTTGTACCATTGTTATGGCAATTGAACCATTATTATTTGTTGTAATGCTTACTTTTTTGTAATGTGGTGTTTTGTAATATTAAAAATGTAATGTCCATTT